ACACCCTAGCAACATTGGGATAAGCAACCTCCCATCACAGTCTCCTGTGACCATGGCAGCTGATGTGCTCACTGATACGGAGCACCCTGATGAAGAGCACACAAAGCAATCTTGTCAAAAAGTGCCCAAGTCGATGTAGCCTTTGAACAGTTCCCCACGAACAGCGCTTAATACTTTCCAAATCTAGGAGGATCAAGCTTGCCAAAATCAGTCATGTGTCTCGACGCGGGCCAATTCAGTGGCAAGTTGCATTTGTGCAAGGCAACAGCAGCATAGAACGATATGATCTGGGTTTCTCAGGACTGCTTGTAACCTGGTTTGGGTTGGTACTTCATGGAAACCAGGAAAAAACCCTTACCGTTTCAGGAAATGGACCGACTCCAATTCTTGAAACTGTCTCATGAGACATTTTGTCCCCGGGACATCTTTCGCCAGCGTCTTGTGCTCTGATAAAGGCTGGGAGCACCCCGGAGAAAACCAACAGCCCCAGACACCAGCTAATCAATTTCCCAATGGGTGGTTTGGTTTGGTGTTTGGTTGCTTCCCATTTACCCAGAAGAAGAACCAGAAACCCGTTCAATTCCCCAAGCCACCAATCCAAAGGACAAGCTCAGAGGACCCGAGCTGAGGCTGAGGCACTTTGCCATCAATCCGCCGCGCGTACGAGGCGTGCAGAGACCACAGACGCTCTCATACCTGTCAGTCAATGGCCTCTCAATCATGTCCACTGATGGACGAAGCAACACGGGCGTTGTTGGGCGATGTGCGTCGAAAAAGGGGAAGCAAGTGTCCGCTTTGTGTGTGTGTGTGTGTGTGTGTGTGTGTGTGTGTGTGTGTGTGTGTGTGTGTGTGTGTGTGTGTGTGTGTGTGTGTTTGTTGTTCAAGTCTTTCCTGAACAACACGTCCCCAATTGCAGAATGTTTCGCATGCAACGCGGAGTACTAAAATGAACCTTCGTTGCACTCAAGCATCACAACACGTCAGACGACATTCCGTACTTGAATTTGCTTGTTGCATCACGTGATGGACAAATCCATTTCGCACCAGTTGGGAAGTGGCTTGTCCCAATATTTGAGGGCTGATCAAAAACTTTTACATGGGATGACCATTGGTTGGAAAACCACTAAACACATGACCCTCCAGACTGAGGGTTCTCCGGGGACTGAACTGCGGGCCGAATGGAATATTGATCAACCCCCATTTGTAAACCATCCAAGTAGGCCCATCGGCGCGGAATTTGCAGGAATCAAAACGCTGGGAGGCCCGGTGCCGAAAACAGTTGGTGCCAGGTTTTGCGCAGGACTGAGCCAAACCCGCCGGCAATTTGAATTGTTCTTTGCCTTTATTCTCAAACAATTGAACAGTCGGCATTTGGGTTTCTGGGTATTCAACAACTTCTTTCTTTCTACACACTGGTGTGCCGTCAGGGCGAGAACATCCTTCGGTTCAAGACACTTGGTTGGGTGCGATCATTTGGGTGTGTCCTTTCTTAGGGCGACAAATTAAATGAGGGCTTTCCTTTTGGTTTCCTGTTAAAATCACCAAAGAAGGATACCCTCAAAAAAAAGACACGGTGTTCGCGTGCAAAGGGCTTGGAGTGCTCAGCTTCTCCCCTTCTGAAGCCTAATAGCTGTGCTTCCGTCCTGTATCCGTGAACCAACGTTTCACAATTCAAACGCCGCATTCCTCACCTGCAATCTCCAAAGCACTGGGGGAGTTTGCCACTATTCAGGTTTCTTTTCGCCAGCAGCACCCGCACCGAAGCGTTTTGAGGCCTCCATGCACTCTGTGGCGCCGCAACAACGGCTGGCAGTGTTGTGGACTTCCCCACAAAGGCTTTCAAAATCACACAGTCTCCACTTGGCTATGTTTCATCCATGAATTTTGATGGGGGAACACCTCAAAAGTGGTTAGTGGGCATGAATCCCCACCTAAATTTGATGTCCGTCCAAGGCTCCCCCAAATAATCCCCAAATAAAAACTCAGCGCCAGTTTTACCGGGCGCTTGGCATCGCACAGAACCCTCTCAGGAGGCTGGCTGGCCCACAGCAGGCCAGTTCTTCTTGCCGTTGGGATCTTCCCGCGGCAGCTTGCTAAACCTGGCAAGGCTCCAGCCCATTCGAAGTCCAACTTGGATCCTTAGGATGTATTTTCCTTTTGGTTGGCGTTTTTGTATTTGTTGTTTGCTTGGATTAAACTCAGAATGCTGGTGGTAACTTGCTGGTGCTAAGCACGGAACGAGGACATGGCCCTTATATACCATCCAACTAGTGGTTTCCTGTAAGGGGACCAAAGCCTGGGTTCATTCCATTTCTCATTCCCTACCATTTTCGCACCAAGCTTGGCACCTCGGAACGTATATACCAGAATGACCCCCGAAAAGGTCACTCCTTCAGCTTCCGGCGCAGTGATTCCAGACTCTGACCCCTCCTGCTTCCCCGAATATGGGTGCCTGGAGTCTCTATGTACCCAAAATAATGGGATCATGGACCCATTTGTAAGGGTCATGGAGACTCCAGGTGTGCATTTTAACATTTGGTTACCTTGGTGGACAGTAGAATTTGGTGGGGATTCACGCCCCTTCCGACTCTTAAGACTTCTAGCCACATGGGTTCTAAACCTCAGTTCAATGGGATCCGGGGTTTATAAACATGTGGTTACAGCCGGTTGGGGACCTTGTGACACGGATCTCCTTTAACCCGGGCTTCATTTTGTGCCGCGAATTGGTGTCCCCAAACGTCCCCAAAAGGGGCGACCAATTTTGTCAACCCCCGCCCTTTGCCCCCTGCTTGTTGAACACGGATCTATCTTGCAACCGCCCTCTCTTTGGCCTATGGATGTTGTTGGGTGCCCCCTTCCCGCGTAGGGGGACCACACACAACTGCGGCCTTCCTGTCCGGTTTGCCTGTAGACCAAGCCCACGGAACTGGGGCGCAGACTGGCCCAAGGCGGCCTTCTGCCCAAACGGCCTCGAAAGACGTCCATCCACCCGACGGCGGTTTTGGGTGGGTCCAAAGCATGGCAAGGTCCAAAACCTCCATGAACTCCAAACAAAAGGCTGTAATACACGTGTCCCTGGAGTCTCCATGGCCCTTTAAAAACTGGGGTCATTACCTAAGATAATGGGGTCATGGACCCATCATGAAGACTCCAGGTCCAGTTGTATTTGCTGGTCATGGTCGGCCACATGCACCACATGTGGATCTGTGAGTGCAGCTTGATGACACCTCCTAGCCATCGCCCAGCCAACGCACAATGACAGTTGGACTTGGAAACTTCCATGACACAGTGTGTTGACTTTTTGGTGGTTTTAAAGGAGAAACCGCAAGGAAAGCCAAAATCGACGTTTTGGGCCCAAGTCAGCCCGAAAAATTAACCCTAGTTTCTGAGCAAATGCCATCTCGACCTCAAGGTTGCTCCGACTCTCAGGCTCCGGCTTGCCCTCTTTCTTGTAGTGGTCTGGCCCAGGCCACTTGGCATTGCGCTTCACCTCGGACTTTTTTGGTGGAAATGATGTGCCTGTGGCTCCAAGTCGAGTCACAATCAAAACCGATCGGTACAAAAATGGTGAACCCAGAACCATGTAAAGAATTAGAAAGGCGGCCGCAACTATTTCCGGCTGGGACTGCCCCTTACTAACCTTCATCTACCCGGGTTTTGATTGTGGCCCCAAGTGTCCAGGGCAACCTGTACGACATAACGTGACTTGTTTTTGAAGGCGCTGGATGCACAAGCCTGGAACTTGGCGGCCCTTAATGGGGGATCGCGCGAACGGTGTTTTCACGGGCAACTGCGGGCAGCTGTGCTTTTTGGCTGTGTTGTTTCTGCCTAAACTGCCTGAAATCCAAAGCCGTCCTTTTATCAGGGCTCTCGGTTTGAATGTCAAGAAAATCAAACCAACGAAGCAGACTTCGACCATGTGACCCACGGCCGGGAAAATTGTGTTGTTTTGTTTTTCAGTTTTTTTCCGCAGTTGTCTTGAGTTTTAAGTTGTCGCCTCCGCCACACACCACCAGTAGACTACCAACAATACGCTCAGTCGGTCTTTGTGAGCCAAGTGTCCTCACTTTCCCCCTTTTGTTGTGGTCTCATTTGGTGGTTTGGAGCTTAGGGTGGACCTTCCGCAGTTTGAGACCAAGTGGGGCTATCCCCAAGCCGCCAATCCAACACACGAAAGGGGGTAGTTCAGACGAGCAAACACTGGCCGGCGGTTGGGTTGCTGGGCCCCGCCTCGGTGAACAAGCTGCCAGCCTCGTTGGGGGCCTCGCATGAGGAAAGGGAGTGACATACCCAAAGGCAGAAGCTGAAACAACCAGGCGGGTAAACAAATGGCACATCAATGGATACTGATACACAAATGTTGTTGGATTAAATAGATTGCCGGGGGGACCCTCTCTTTCCAATCATGAAAGCTGACAGAAGCCCAGTCCTCTTGATTGGGCCTCTTTCCAGATTGAAATAAAGGCAAATGGAAAGCAAGCATGCTGAAAGATACCAAAACAACAACAACAAAAAAAGGCGTCATGCACGTTGAATGAAAAATATCAGGCCCCCCCCCCCCTATTCTGAGAAACACCCTATGTCCCCCGCTCCCCCCGGTGTTTGTTTTGGCCACTGGCCGGACCCAAGAGAAAACAGGCGCGCCATGAGCGACTCGTGCCCTGGCCACCCCTTTGCTTGCACCAATGCCACCGCAAACCATCCATGGGTGCGTCTCTGCGTGTGTGTGTCTCTGTGTGTGTGTGTGTCTGTTTGTGTGTCTGTCTGTGTGTCTGTGTGTGTGTGTGTGTCTGTGTCTGTGTGTGTGTGTGTGTGTGTGTGTCTGTGCGTGTCTGTGTGTGTGTGTGTCTGTGTGTTACTGTGTCTCTATGTGTGTCTGTGTGTGCGTGTGTTTGTGGTTGTTGTTTTGGCTTTTGTGTTTGTTCGTGTTTGTGTTTGTGTCTGTGTCTGTGTCTGTGTGTGCGCGCGTCTCTGTATGTGTGTGTGTGTGTGTCTGTGTGTGTGTGTGTCTCTCTCTCTCTCTCTGTGTGTCTGTGTGTCTCTGCGTGTGTGTGTGTGTCCCTGTGTGTGTGTGTCCCTGTGTGTGTGTGTCCCTGTGTGTCTGTGTGTGTGTCTGTGTGTGTGTCTCTGTGTGTTTGTTGTTTCTTGTTTTTGTGTGTCTGTTTGTGTTTGTGTTTGTGTTTGTGTTTGTGTTTGTGTCCGTGTCCGTGTCTGAGGCTGTGTGTCTGTGTGTGTGTGTGTGTGTCTGTGTTTGTGTTTGTGTTTGTGTGTTTCTGCCTGTCAATCTGTCCGTCCATCCATGCCCTGTGTTCGTTTGTGTGTGTAAGTGTGCAAGTGTGCGGCACATAAATGTATGTATGTAAGTGAGTCCTCGTGCATGTGTGTGTGCGTGGTTGCATCGCAAAGCTGCCTTGGGTTGGCATAGTCAAGGCCCAACCAACTTGCTTTTGCAAAGGCGAACTCGATTCATCATGGTAAACTATCAAAGGATTTCCGGTGGGCTAGCAAATTCTATGCTTTCCAAAAAGCTGTGCGCCCAGAACCAGTGCGCTACGTCCGGGCCGGGTGTTCCTCACTCAAGAAAATGTACAGGTCGCTTCCTTTGGATAACTGCGTAGAGCGCATACGCAAGTACATGGGTGCATGGACCTAGAAATGCCTAGCCTAGTCAGATTGAGCCAAAATAATCGAAATTCACGGGACAATACAGTATAATCATATCCCATCCCCTCCTCACTTCAATACCAACGCACACCGTCTATCACCCCTGAGGGTTTTCCCTTTGACTTGTCTGACTTCGTGATTCACTGACCCTGATCCCGAGTCCCGCCGGCGTTTCGTCATCTGAACCGCAATGGGATACGACTTCGCTAAGGGCGTAAATGAGAGAAGCCAAGGACAACCGAAAGCAAACCGACTTGGTCTGGCCAGAAAGGGGAAACCCACAGAAAGAACCACGGCTCCGCCGCTCCGCCGGGAAAGCGCCGCGGGGCCCGGGGCTCGCTCGCCTTGGGCATAGTGCCGCCGGGCACTGTGAACTCGGAGCCCACCTTGGGGACATGGTACCTGAAGGCAAGGAGAAAAAGGGAAGACAATGCTCTGTTCAAACTGATGCCCCGCTAAAAGTGACTAACTTTTAGTGGGTTTGAAGGAAACTAGCACTAAACCAACTAACCATATCCAAACAAAGGATCCGGATGGGAACTTTTGGCTGGTGGGCTCTTGGACTCGTTTCTCGGCAATCACGTGGCCAAGGACCAGGTCAGGTGGCAGATATATGCTCGGTTTGGTGGGCATGATTTCTGTGGGAGCGCCTAGCTGCCTTGGAATGGCGAAGACATTCGACTTATCCTGTGTGCCAGTTCTGTTATATAGCCTGGGATGCCTTGCAGAAATCATAATACAACATGTGCAAAGTAAACATCCGCGAGGTGTTGGCTGTCAAGCTCGACCCAACTGCGACAGGAATCTTGCAAGTGACAGGCTCTGGTCAACTCACTGGAGACTTTCAAGGTCCGCGCTTCGGGCTTACCACGTGTCACTTATCTTAGAATGCGTACAGTCAGCGTAATTTGATCCCTGGGTTGCAAGCTTCACCGCGATTGAGGACGTCACAAGCACAAGTTGATTGAACGCCTGGGCATCCCCACAAGGAAAACCACGACGCAAGGATTGAGGGTTGATTTTGAACGTCTCATCGGGAAATTCTCAAAATGGGTCTGTTATTTTGTAAGGCTGCCCCTTTTGTTCTGTTTCAAACGAAACCAGAGCAAGCCGATTTGTTTTGGGGAGTCCGCTACAAGAATTTCCTCTCTGGACACCTCGAAAGGTCCCAGGTCATAGCATCGTCCAGCTTCAAACCATGGCCAGTCTAGCACCCAAGTCGCATCTGCTCGCCGATGTCGACGAAAAGCAAAGGCGCCCACCAAAGGCAACCACATCAGAACAAATCCGTCAAAGCCATATCCTCAAGATTGCCAGCCAAATGTTAGTTCAAAGGGAAATAACCCAAAAAACCTGTTGAAAACCCCTCAGACCCAGGAAAATGAACATTGCAAAGTATACCAAACTTGCATGTGTCCAAAACAATAAATGTGTGCCACGTTATCTTTCTTCCAGAGCGAGATAGCTCAACAAAGGCCTAACCTGTTGCTTGCCACTAAAACGGCCTTATAACCGGTGTGAGTTGTAGTAGATCTGAAACTTGTCAATCACAAGGCACGGAACCAGACCTCTGCCAAATGGGTAAAGACTGAGGATCCCTTTGAACAAAATATGTGTAAAGTAAAGGAACCAAAAAATCATAGGTCAAACGTGGGAAACTTGCTACCTGGAGTCTCCATGACCCTTCAAAAATGAGTCCATGACCCCATCATTTTGGGTAATGACCGCATTGTTTAAGGGTCATGGAGACTCCAGGTATCCCTTTCACGTTCAAGGCATCCAAAAGGAACCGCGCTTCAAAGAGACCGCGTTTCGACAGAGCAACGCCGACTCGAACCCGAATCGACCGATTCGGAGGATTCACGCGTCCAGCGCGAAGCCGTTGTCGTCCATAAGCCTTGCGGCGGACCCGAAAGGCTCCAATATGTTCCCAGTGAACGCATGGGGGTTAATCAAAAGGTCCTTTCCATGATCTGACAACCACTAAGACACAACATATTCCCTACATGGGAAAAGCTACTCATGGTCATTTGCGGGCCGAACGGAATATTGATCAACCCCCAGATACGTTGCTCGTGACAAGTGCGTGCCCAGGGCAATGTACAGCGGCGTGTCAGTCAAACAATCCATGTGGAACTATGGGCTCAGCACGTCCAAAGGCAACACTAAACAACTCTAAAGCTCTGGTTGGTGAAGAGCATAGCTTTGTGTCTGAGTCTGCATATTTACATCAAATCTCACAACAGCATAAGGCACACGCTTTGATGAGCACACGGTTTGGTGAGCGCGCGTCAGGTGCATGCCATGCTTCCACAACGCGGACAAGCACAAAACTATGCCTTGTGATCAATGGAAATAGCCCTTGTTGCCTCCTAGTCTGTGAAATTTGCACCAAATGCCACCCTGAATCAAGGCATCCGCAAGATCGGACCCGTGTTCACGGGCAACATCGGCCGTGCAACTCGAAACCTCCCAAGGCTCGGTATGCGTCCTCAGCACGCCTCTCGAAAACCACAAGAGGACCCGGACTTTGTGCCTGTGGATTTGTAAAAATAGGGGTATACCACAAACCGCCACAAACTGGGATGGTGTTCCTTTGAACTCCCGTTGAAACAAAAACAAAGCAAACAAAAAGCAACCAATTTTTCCCCAAGCTTGAAGCTGTGCGGTGCTAACCCCCCTGCTGCTCATCCAAAATGGGCACTGTCTTTTCCGTGCCACCCCCCCCCCCCCCCTTGTGGTTTACCATGGTTTCCATCCGAACTCGCCCACTGGTTCACAGCTACTCGCAAACGTTTTCATCCAAGCCTCACTGCACGGCCGCTCTTCAGCCGAGGAATCCGCAGGAGTGCAACGGCACCTAACGGCGGGGCTTGGTTGCTGGTGGGGGTTGGGGTGTGCTAGAGATCTGGGCAAATGAAACAGATCACAAACACCTTCAGGCTTTAAGATTGTTATTTTGCAAGAGAACCTTGATTCGCTGATAGTGAGGTACTTTCATGGATGATGAGCTTGTTGGAATTCGTCCAGCAGGAATTTGGAATTGCCCCGGCTGATGTAAGCAGCTGCCCTTGTTTGCTTGTTTTTTTGGTGTGTTTTTTTTTTCGTGGTCAGTTCCATTCGTCAAGTGAGGTGGCTGGATCTTGCATTGTATCTCCAAGCTTGATAGAATTCTGCAAACTCAAACAGAGGGCAACATGTTGCCATGCGTGGCTATTGAATTCTCCATATGGGGTGCGCGTTCCCAACTCAACTGGCGTATCATGCGTATCACACCAACCCGAACAAACAACAGCACAACTGGCGATGTCGCGCAACATGCGGACGTGGTAGCTGAGTCTCGTCGGATTTCGTGCTGCCTCCCCGGTCCCATGAGCATCCACTCGCTGATGGGCAAGCACCCGATGCGAGTGCTTGCCCATGGAAAGCAAATGCACTGGAAACATATACGCGGGTTTTAGTGGGTTAAACGGATTCTACCACTAAACACTAAAAAGCTAAAAGGCTAAGGGGATGGCTGGGAGCCACCAAGTGTCAATTTCGCCAAACCTGAGCCAAGTTGCAGCAACCCTACAACCCCCCGCATTGGCCAGGGGGGATGACACCATGCCAAGACAAGGACGCCATGAGCGGACCGCCAAGGACCAGCAGTCTGCACCGCAAAACGTCGACCACTCACGTCGAAGGATGGGTCGGCACAGGGTGCCAACAAGCTTGCAGCCCAAAGAGTGCCAAATGGCCATGGGTCAAAATATCGTACCCCCGGTGAACATCCCAATCCCCACTAAATAGACTAAAATGGGTGGTGCACCTACCCTAAAATGATACCATTGGTTTTGACCCACAGCCAAATGAGTACAGGGTGCGCTACACTTGGTACGGTGCAAAAGTTGCCCATCACCACCCAGAAAAGAAGGACAGAAACTACTGGCATTGCAGCCCAAATTTGTTGATCAAGAGAAACCAAGAGGAAACCCAAGTACCTAGAGGGGTCGTTGCAACTAGTTTTAGAGAAACACCCAAAAAGTAAAAGCCCATACTAAAATTGACACAAAAGTCAAGGTGCATGAGGAAGCCGCAACAGATCAGGGAAAGGAGCTGGTAACTGGATGGCTAATCCAATGTTGACCCCGGACCCCTGGTTGATTCATATTTTGGGCGTCTCTTTGTGGGGATCCTTCACTTTGGGTGACACGTTCTACGGGCTTGTTACTCCCGGGTTCCCATTAGCAGTCCCTCTGCACTTAGCTCAAGAAGGCCATCAGCCTTGCAGGCGAATAAGACACATTCCAGATAACTTGGGCTCCCGGCACCACGGTCTAAGACCAAACTCATCCGGCCCGAGCCGAGAAAGCAAAGGAAGGCGAGGAATGGTTTGAAAGAGTTGCTTGGGACTGGGTACATCGGGGCCGATTGGAAAACATGTCTATCACATGAGATCCATGCATGGCTCCTCACATCCTGCTTCTGCGTTGTCGGGATTGGTTCACTTCGGGCGTCACCCAAGCAGCAAGTCCTGCTGGCGTTCAGCCGACCTGAAATTAACAACAGTCTTCACCAATGCTCACATGCCAAACGTCACTTCAGCCACGTACCGTTTACAAACAATCATATTTTGATTCTCGCCCCAACATAGACAAGCCACTTTCAAGTGATTCAATGCCCGCTAGGTGGAGGGCTTATATTGGATGGCTGTTTTTAGAATGAGAGAACACACCTGAACCCCAGTGAACACGTAGCACCTCGCTTAGACTGGGTCCCTGGATGAGCACGAATCTGAGGATCATGGCAAGAAGTGCCGAGCTTGCGGAGGATATTTGTTCCTTTGGGTGTGTCTCCAAATAGTGGAAGCCCATGGAGGGGTTCCTCTTGGATCTCTTTCAAGCCATAAGTTGATTAAATTTCAAGAGAGACACTCGTATGGCTATGGGTCAAAACCCCGGGTGCCCGGGTGAAAACCCAGAAAGCCTGTTAAAAAGACAACAGTGGAGTGGTAACCGTCCTCAAAAAGGCACCTTAGGTTTGACCCACAATCGTAAGTGTCCCTTCAAGCCCATCAGATTCTACGCTTGGAACCCCCAAACCAGGAAACCAACAATCCCTCGAGCAGCGCCATTCACCGACCGAGAAAACAAAAATCAAACCTGATAACAGGAACCTTGGTGACATCGCCAACGCCCACCCGGTCCCAAAACGTGGAAACAGAACTCGTTTCAAGAACAACAGATTCACAGAACTAGATCTGCAGAATTTAAGACCCAGATCTCAAACAAGCTTTCCTCAAACACACAGTGAGTAATTAAGCTTGCGAACATGTTTCCCCAGATAGACACCACCCCTCCACTCGCCGCTTTTTCGCTTTTCCTCCAGTTGGGCCCGCAATAAGCGCTGCACCCGCTGGAGTTGCGCCAAGCGCTGGTCGCAGCCTTCGCAAACGAGGACTGGAGTTGCACATAGCTGGAGTCGGAGTTGCTCAAACTGGGGGCATTGCAACACACATACTAGCATGTCCGTACAGAACTCCTGGTAGCTCCTTGGCTGCCTGTTTGGATGCAAATTTGGATACCAGAACCAACAAAAAAACATACCAGCATTACAAACAAAAACATACCATCCAGCACCAACCACTGATGACCAACCACGGTTGCTTTTTCCCCAAAACCAAAAGCACTGTACACAAAGCAGTCACTGGGGGGGGGCTGGAACATGCTCGGAAAAGTTCAAGGTTCTGCAAGCTGCTCTTACAACTGCCAAACTGAAAACAATACTGTAAACTCATCTGTGATTGAGTACGTTGACCAAAATCTGACACATTCGCACCAGTTTTTTTTCCGCTTTGGCACCCATCGATTTCGCGGCCAGACTGGCTTCGCGGAACAACCGCAACACTTGAGCGGATTGACCCCCAAACTGTTTGTTTACCAAGATGGTCTTCCCAAAAACAGAGAGGAAAAAACAACAACACCCCCACAAATGCATGTTCCAAACCACTGCCCCCGTTGGAAGCAAAACCAAGACCCGTTGGCCTGAATTCTCAGCTTCTTGTAGGCGATCAGCAACTTCTTCTGCATGGGAGTGCAGCTTCATGGCATAGTCTGCCCGAGACTTCTCCTCCCGATATCGCGCTGTCTGCTCCTCCGATATCGAGCCGAGTCTTTTCTTGTACAGGAGTCGAATCCTTTGTGGAAAATGCCGGGCTTATGAAACACCACCTCAGTTGGTTTCGGCCCCGGCCACTGGCAGCGACTCGATCGCTGCCAAGGGGATGCTCTGCGTTCCGTGTGACTCAGCTTAATGCGGCAAACAACATGTTCCACGTTCGTCAATTGTAATTTCGGCTCATTTGCCCCAGCCCGACTGCCGGATGGCGTATTCCTGTCGTGCTAAGTTAGCACTCTTGTCAAGAAGCCAAACAGAATTCACCAGAAAACTAAACGGGTGAGTGTGCCAAGTCGTAGAACATGTGCTCCAAGTTTTGCATTGAATTGCGGGTCCGAGCTCCCCATGTCGTGGAAGCCGCAATCCATGCTTGAATGTCAAGTTATTGCGTGTGTTGCTCCAATGCGCGGGTGAAGTAGCAGGGCAGCACAAAGAATGGGATCGCCGCTCTGTTGGTGTGCAAATGAGCAAGTCCAACCAAACACGCGGCAAGAGGGTAATGCTGACCACATACTAATCAACCCGGGGGGTGTTCCCTTCCAAAAGTGATGATTCCCCACTAAACCCAGGCACACCCAACAAGCATCAACTCTGCCGGTCTTCAAAGTACAAGCTTGGCCAGCCGGTCGCAGGTTCTTCAATCAGAGCCTTGCCAAGAATCGCCGTTTCCAAGGGCAAATCCGCTTGCCACCGCTTGCTTGAAGCTTCAAGGGCCGGGTTCAACGCGCGAACATGGCAACCCCCCCAAGCACGAAACAAATTCCAACCTGCAGCCTGCCTGCTGAAACTGCTTGGCCGTCGCTGTTTGGTTCTCATTGCATTGGGTCGTAAACGTGGCAAACCCCATGCAAGAGATGTCTAGCCATTCATAAGGAAACCACCCGAGAAGTTGCCAGAGGCCATGCGCCGATTGAAGTCAACCAGCTGACAAAACCAAATCAGGCATGCTGCGCTGGCCCGTTTTTTTTTTTTTTATATTATTATTATTATTATGTTTTTCCGGGAAACAAAGGCACCCCTGCAGGTTGAGAGACTATTCCTTTATAAAGGGAAGTCCCTTCGATTCTCTCTTGCAGAAGCTACCCGGACCCCAATCTTAACAAATCTGACACCCCACGATTTCGATCCAGTCCTAAGGGTTGATGGAAGTATACACAAAAAGGATAGCCCACTTGGCCGCAGCTGGTAACAGGTGTTTCTGGTCGGAAAAGGGAGCACCTTGAATTTTTTGCAGACATGGAGCTGCCAGTTGCATTGAACTGGTCAGCAAACCTCTACCAAGCTTAGCGAGCAACTTCGCGGATCGATCCTTCAACTCCGCAGAGAGCTGCTCCAGCTCCTCTTTGGTCTGCTTCTTCTTCAGCTCCATCCTGGCCGTTGCACCCGTCAGCCTACCCCTGGGTCCCGCCTGCCCGCGCGAGCGCTCAGGTTGTGAGTGGCTTTGTGGCTGTAACTCGAACGTTTTTGCCGTCAGCCAAGGAAGTTTGCGCGAGAAACCGCTTGCTTGGCGTGTTGTTTTGGGGGCAAAAAGGAGGAATTTGGCCGTGGCTTGGTCGCCGTGGCACCTCGGCAAAGGTCGGAGCCTTTTATGGCAGGTGTCAAAGCAGCAAAGCATCGAGTTCCGGTAGGATGAACTCATCAATCTTCTCATCACGAGGGGCAATCACAGGCCGGCCTTTCTGGCTGTGATGGGTTCCATGAGCCAAAACACGTTTCACGTTACACCGGACCCGATGCTTTCTGCCTCTGTTTGCCCATACGAACATCTATTCTGTCAGCTTCAGCTGGTGGTTTGGATTTGCGGTTTGGAGGTTGGGGGGTGATTTTTCATTTACCAGCTAGGGGTTGTAATCTCCAAACCACAAATCCAAACTACCAATTAAGGGTCCGGCATCTTCTGTCATTCTTTGATGCTACCCCTTCTTGGGTGGTTTTAAATACAACCAAAAGGAACCGGAACCATTTTGGCAGCTCCAATTCCGAACAAACGACCAACACACCCCGTGCGGTTTTCGTGTCCTGTCAAGCTCCAAGAGCAACTCTTCGGCCGTGGCCGGGGCAAAGGCCTCCGCACGCAGGAGCTCCTCCTCCTCGACCAAAAACGCAAGTGAGCCATGGTCCAAACTTGGTTGACGTTGGAAGGGGAGCTAAAATCTGATTTTTAGCAGTTAAGTGGGGATTTCCCACTAAACCACAATAAGCAAAAATGTAAAATGTTTCCGAACAACGACCATGAAAACTACCAAGTCCCCACAACATGGCCATTTCGGCGTGATGGTGAGATGTGGAGCCATGGTCAAAATGTCCCAGGCCCCACATGGAGCATTTTTTGGGCGTGTCTGGGTTTTGTGGGCGAAATGGTCAGCTCGTCCCCTCGTTTCATTGGACCATAGACTGGTAATGTTCACCGAATCCATGGCGGCATCTCTTGGGAGTGCAACTGGAGAGACACGAGAAATCCCACAGAGCGGTGGAATCCCCAGAGAAGGGTCTGGAGTCTCCATGACGCTTGAAAAATGGTTGGTCAATACCCAGCTGCGTAGGCTTTCAAATGCAGTGCAATTCTTTCGCGACTGCGCAGATTGCTTCGTATCTAGGAATCTAGGCCTATTCCTATGTTCTTCATTGGATTTAAAGCAGTGTTGTGATTGATGACCTCTCTAGAGATTCCCCATTTGTTCAACCATTGTTCTTTTCAAACACCTCTTTCCTCGGGGTTTGGGGGGTTTTCTGGAAAGACAGCAGCAGGAAAAAGGGGACGTTGGTGGCCAGTCAACTTTACTTGACTGTCAGACACCGGGTGCAGGGGTTCTGGATGCAGGCGAAAAAGCCGGAAGAACAAGCTCTGGCGCTGCCAGCGAAAGAGACGGAAGAACAAGCTCTACTGGCGGAGGCAATATGGAACCTTTAGCACAGCAAGAAAGCAACATGTGCAGGGGGTTCTGCCAGTGTCCGCCCAAAGCGTGTTCGTCTCCGATGAATCGATCTTGGGATTTCCACTGTGATGTATCCATCCAGGCTTCTTTTGGTAGCGAGGGCTTTGCGACAGAGCTTCCACCAAACAAATGGGGTCATGGACCCATTTTCAAAGGGTCATGGTGATTGCAGGTAGGTGTTATCAAAAAGGGCCCTTATAAGACAACGGGAGCAACATCTGATCTCTGAGTCATGATCCTTCAAGTCACCAAAGCAGTATGCATGACCATTCCGGAAGTAGCTCAAACCCCAGGCAAGTTGGTCTTTTGGCTATGGGAATTGGCTTCCTGGACTCCTGTGAGCTCCCTTCGACCCAACATGAGGGCAACCACATGTTAGATTTTAGACTACCTGCGAACCAAATGAGGCGAGACGTTGGTGAAAACCCAAGATCTTGTGTGGTTCCATTCCAATCTGATGCAGAGTTCAATATGCGCTTGAAGCTGGCATTGGGTGTGTCTTATGGGAACCAGGGAATCCTCAAACTGCCCAGCAAGTCCAAAGGACAAGTTAAACGAGCCCGTTTGATAAAAGTGCTGCGTTTCCTGGGAGCCCTAGCATGAGTAAACGAAGGGTGTCTTTTCACACTGTTTTCACCGGGTTTTCGCAGTCTTTCACGGGTTGCTCACGTACCTTTCACGGTTTTGAAAGCCAGCCTCTTGACAAAGGGTTGGTTAAACGGGCACTTTGCGAAAGTGCCAGTTAAACGAGCAGCGTTGGGCTGGGTAGTTTCCATTCCCTTTTAAGCCCCCAAAAGCTGCTGGCCACGGAATCCGCCAGTGATTGCCGCAGTCCTGTTCCAGCTTCTCGACGAACTCCCGCTCCAGCACCTCCTGCGTGTCCGGATCTCAGTTTCGAAATGACCGGAAGCTCGAAACTTCCAGCCCTCAGGCATCAACTGCCCAAAAGGAGAGGAGTTGGATGTTCCAACTGCTGCACGGCCCGAGTTTTCGCATCAAACACCGGGCTCCCTAGGTGTGACTGAGTAAGATGGTACGGGACCTGCCAATCGGAGGATGAGGAAGGATGCTGCTTGTGTGTGCTGGCCCACCGTTGGCTTTGAGACTCTCCTTTACCACTGGCCCTATTTACCCCTCCCTCCCTGGACCGTGTGGTGGATGGTTTTGTCCTAGGTCCGGCGCATTGTTTTTTTCCCGCAAGGTTCGGCGGGGCGGTCCCGGCCCAGAAAAGTTGCAGAGGGTTCACTTTTTTGAACGAGCCATTGTTTAGTGTGCGTGCCTGGCTTGGGTTCTTCAGGGTGGGTTTTTGGTTGGTTCAGGTTGGCCAGGTTTGGGGTTGGTTTAGTGCTGGTTTAGGGCTTAGGGTCGGGTTTAGGTGAATTTAAAATACCTTTAGGCTAGCTTAGGAATCACGAGTGCTGGTGTAGGTTGGTTCAGGGTTGGCTTCGGGTGGGTTAGGCTTGGTATAGGGTTTGCTTGGGGTGTGTTAGGGATTGTTTAGTCCTGGTTTCCGGTGGGTTTAAAGCTGAAGGCTGGTTTAGGGTTGGCTCAGGGTGGTTCAGGGCTGGTTTAGGGGTGGTTTAGGGGGTTTTAAGGAAGGATCAGGGGCAAGCCCAAAAACCTCGGGAAGTGTGGGGTGACCACATCCCCTCAGGTTGGCAACGTGGCCGGGAGGGATTCTCATGGGTCTGTCTTGTTTTCGAGGGCACCCCCCCCTTTGCGGTTTTAAAGGAAAAGTCTGGCTTTCTTGACGGAGGGGGGGGGCCAACTAAACAAAAGGACGAGCCACCACGAATGGGACTGGGTTTTTTCCGGGGTTCACATGTGCGCTCACATCCACCCCGAAGTGAGTCCCCGAGTCCCTGCGGATCTCCTCCTCTTTGAGCCTTTCAATCTCCTCCGCCAGGGCGTGCCACCGCCGGTGGTTCCCCACTTTGGAGCTGCCCAAGCCCAGGTTCTCCAACTCCTCCAGCGCGCCCAGGATGGCCTCCACTACCCAAAGATCGGAGCGGAGACGCCAAAATCCGGAGCGGGGCACACCGAAGAAATAGGGGAAAAAACGGCAAGAAGCAGAAAAAATAGGGTCCCCACCTAACCTGAATTTAATGCAAAACACAAGATCATCTGACTCTGTTCCATAGTTTGTCCACTCGAATACATCAATATATATGTATAGATTCTTCTTATTATTATTATTATTGTTACTATGATTGTTATCATTTTAAAGTATGATGGAAGAAGATCCCACACCTGATTGTATGAGCATCTCAGTAGCAACACGTCACAGGCTTTTGCCCGGGTCCATTTGAGCAGGGGCCCGACAACCCATAGGCTAAAAGGGTTCGTCCAGGCACGTGTCCACCTCGTTTTTGTGTACATCAGATCAATTTGGCTATGAATTTTAGACAGGAGTGGGGAGATAGCGGAAAATCACAACCCCAACTCATGCAAAACTTGTGGAAAGGATCTTTGACACTAACATGGCTATGAGAATGAATGTAGACGGTTCTATGCTTATTCAAGCTGGCAGTAAAGCAATACTGGCTTTGCGCTGCTCATGTGAGCTTGTCACATCACAGACCCCCTAAAAACAACAGAAGAGAAACAAATAGAAGGTCCCACCACAAAAACAAACAACAACCAAAAGTCCCCACAAACAAAGACAAGCCGGTGTCAAAGTAATCTTGAGAACCCCAAGTGTAACCACTTTAAGAAGGTCAAAAGCATTCCCAGTAAATCCCAGGCAAACCATTGGCAACCGGCCAGGGTGGTTCACTTGCGTAGCAATACAAAGAAGTGGAGACAACCCCGCAGGGACCGGGGTTGGGAAATTGTTAACACCAGCTGGTATCACACCAGCTGGTATCCTTAAGGGGAATGTTGAAGCGCGGGGTGCTCAAGCATGTTTGCTCCAGGGCTTGGCCCGACCAACAAGGATACAGGTTGTCAATCCCTTGCCAGTGGAAATCAGTTGACACTCTGGTTCTACATTGTCTTTCATTTTCCAAGGGAAACCATGGCAGTTGTATAAAGAGAGCCCCTCCAATTCATGGCCATATTTGTCAGCCGGAAGAAACAAACCACCTGCCCTTCTCAAGTCGACCACGTCAACCTGCCATCCCAGCTGTCTTGCTTCTGAAAAAGCTGTTGCTCAAATGGTGGCTCCATCAGTACATCCAGGTGTTTGCCATCTTGACGTTGGCCAATGCCAAATCCAAATCCATGCCTGTACAGCAAGCAAGGGGACGAGTTTCCTCGTCTAGCTGATAGCCTGATAGCCACGTTCCTCCCTTTTGCAGTACATGACGGGTCGCAAAAATGACAAGTAAGAGGCCATGCCCGTCCTTCGTGCTCTTGACGCCAATTCATTTTTCAGTATATTTCTACGGTTATAAGTTTTATGAGGGCCCTACGAAAGCCCACCGGGTCGAGAGAGGTGTTGGGCGCCTGTCTTAAATGAACGGCCGAGGCACCTCCAGAATGCACGAGGAGTCCCCGATGGCCCCTTCGAACATGAGCTGCTTGCAGCAAGAGCTGCTGACAGATGACACGCTTTTGCTCTCAAAGTCCGGCTCATTGGCCCCGGACAGCATGGCCTCAAATCAAAGCACGTGGGGAAAAAAAGCAGCTTCACCTTTTTGGGACCCAAAACCAAAACCAACAAATCAGCTTGACCTTTTGGGACCTTGAACAAAAAATGGGAGACTCTGGGACCTCGACGCAAACGCGGAGCAAAAGGTCGATCCGCTTTGGAGCAAGTGGCGTAAAGCGACAGATTTCGCTGGGTCTCTGCAATCAGCGCATCCCAATCCTCCGTCTGGAAGTTGTCCTCTAACCTGGGCCGAACCGATCCGACCCCAAAGACGACAAGTAGACGGTCGGCTGGTTGACACCCCGTGCAAATTGAGATAGACCGCCCTGTATGTGTTTTTTTGTTGGATCCATGTTCATCTGCTGGATAAATAGGGGGTCTGCAAAAAATCAACTAAACGGACCAACATCTATCCCTTATTGCCTGACATTTTTTTGCAAAATGTGTGCTAAGTCTGGCAGTGTAGCAACATGTCCTCCTCCACTGGCACAATCTCCCACTTGGGCGACTGCTCTTCATGTGGCGGGCTGTCCACACGGATGCTTTCTTTCTCCACCGTTCTGGGCCACTCTGGCTCCTCCATTTGGGTGCTTGTTTTTAAGTCACACCCGGGGTTGGTTTCAAGGAAATCAACAGGGAACACCATCCCTTTTAAGGTCCCTATTTTGAGAGAAACTCGTTTGGGTGACACCCCAAAACAAAAATCCTATGGAAGTGAAAAGGAATCTCATCCAATGAACTTCCACCGAGTCCTTCCCCAAAACGAACACTTGAGTCTTCCGCCCAAAATGCATCCGCCAAGTTCGCTGTACTGAAAGATGCCCTCCCCCCCCCCCAACCAAAAAAAAAACTATAAAAACAAATCAAGCAAACACTACCTCATGTTCACTTAACACCTTCCAGAGAGGATTGGCCAATAAAGTCCAAACTGCGTATTTAATTACCACTAACATGGTCTTCTCAAACAGAGGGAAGTCGATGAACTCAAGGAGTGAATCACGTGGCACCAGGGCTCCACTTAAGATAGACATAAACCCTGGGGTCCTCCTTTTCGGGGGAACAAACCCGTGAGTTTCAGTCGAACTTGGGTTGATCGAAAAGTGGAGCCCTGCTTACCGCACTCGTCTCACCTCTGTCCTCCGGCGCCGCAGGGGGCGACACCGGCGGCGAGCCCGGCGAGCCCGGGGATCGATCGCTCTGGCGAGCCAGGCGATCGGCCGCAGCGCTCAGGGCAGAGACGGCCTGGATCGAGGTGAAGGATACTATAGTCTATTGTAGTAGAACCCTTCCCCAAAAAAGTGTAAAAGGGCACTACTGGGGGACCTAGCCTTAAAACATCACCCCTACCACGGCAAACTCACCTTGACCAGATGGTGATGTTGAAACCCACATATCAGTCAAAATGCTGGAGGGTGGTCTTGGAAGAAAAGGGTATCGGTCAAAGTTAAGCCACCAAGGGACGCAGACGTTCGTACTTGTTTCCATTTTCTAGGGCAACCCATGGTGGGGTTATTGTATTTTTGACCCACACCCAAATGGGAGTGTCTCAAAATTGTGAATATGACCCCTTTCATCCCGTTTTGGTGGCTGTGTGGACGGAACAACTCCCTTGTAGTTGGTGTTTAGAGGGAACTACCCTCCCGTTTTAGTTGGTGTTAGAGGGAAACGGAAAGGTTTTGCCCAAGCGATTCGAGTCCTATTCTGAGAAACACCCAATCGGATTGGTCGGTCTACCGGGAGTCTCCATGATCCTTTAAAAATAGAGTGGCCGTCCTCCAAAATAATGGGTAGATGCCCCAACCGTTCTGTTAGGGTCAGAAGGAGTTTTACCTCTACTAAACGCCAGGGGTTCAAATGCTCAAACAACCAATCCAAACCAACTAAGGGTTTACATGATCTGAATCAAAACCTGGTATTCAAGTGGTGTTTTCCAAACCAATAAGCAGAGCTTAAACGGCCGAACCTGTTTCTGGTTGGGATTCTCCCGACATTCCAGGGCCTGGAAGACCTCGTCCTCGTAGCCTTTCTCCGCTCGTCGCTCTTCGCTTTTGGAGCGCAACGCCTGCGCTTCGACCACCAACTCAGTGACTGGGGCTGGGGCGCAAATTGGGCGAAATCACGGGGGAAAGCCAACCACCTGCTGAAACATGCAAAAAAGAAAGGGTGTACCTTGACTCTCAGACTAGCCATAAAAAAAGGGAATCCAACATATCTTTTGGACTAACACCATTTGTGAAGGGTATTTTGAGGGTCCAAGTAGTTGAAACAAGATCCTTCGACTTCCCTGGGGGTAAGTAAGTCTGTGTCATGTCCTCCGATACGGGCGGATCTCTCGTCCAGAGGTGGTCTGCACGCCTCTGCATGATGCCAAGATTGGTGGACAAATTTACTGTTCACCTTTGTTGCTTCAGAAGGCAGGTCCCTTGTTGGCACAGCCCGGAAAAATATGAGAGGCATAACTATGTTTTTGGTTTTCCCGCGATCCACACCCCAATTCTATTTATTTTCCTGCTTCTCATTTTGTTGCTATTGCTGACTGCTCCCAACTGACAGGGGGGTGGTAGGCAGTTTTCCCATGTGTCAGGGGTACCCCAAAACCTGAGTGTGTCATTTTGGTTGGCCTTCAAACCCACCGAAGAAGAGTTCCCTCATATGATTTTCGTGTTTGTCCAAAAAAACAAACAAAAACAAAAAGAAAGCAAACAAACAAACAAACAAACAAACAAACAAACAAACAAACAAACAAACAAACAGACAGACAGACAGACAAACAAACAAAAACAAACAAGCAGCACACACACGCACACACACACAGCTAGGCCCTAGCGCCTGGCAAACCTCTGCGTTGGCGTCCGCCAACTTGGAGACGTTGGCCTCAAGTTGCCAGAGCCGTTGCAGTAGATCCTTCTTCCACTCCGCGTCCTCGGGCCTCACGTGACCGATCCAAGGGACGTCCGAGATTTGGCCATGGGTCAAAATCCCATACCACCAGTGAACATCCCAATCCCCACTATAGACCAAAATGGGCGGTGCTTCTCCCCAAACATGGTACCATTGGTTTTGACACACAACCATTTATCCGTTGAACCTGGGCTGCCCTCAGATCCCCTGCTGAAAGTGAATGTCTTTGAGTGGGTTGAATGGAAACTACCACTAAACCCTTAAAAGCTAAAAAGCTAAGGGGATGGTTGGGAGCCACCAAGGAACACCCCAAAACAAACAACAGAAACCCAGGAGAGCTCCGTTCGAGTCGCCCAGCGGGGAAGGGGAAAGACAAGACCAACCGACAGGCTGAGCATATGGCGAACCCTGAAAACGGCCCTGGGGCAACGGACTCAACAACCAAATCCTTTCAGGGACACCCCTCAAAATCATTGGTCATCTGGGTTGTTCGATCCCAGGTACCAAATCCGTATTCCGCGCTACGCGAACCGCTACAATCAGGGAAACCACTACCTGGCATATGGATGCCATTTGAATAACCCACTTTCCAAGGGCTGCCAAATTGAACAATTGCCATTCAATCTTCTTTTGAAGGTCGCACACAAGAGAAAATGCGGGACCTTCGGTCAGACTAAGTGTCCTTTAGCGACTTTGTGGGATGGTTCTTGACAAGCAGAAACTTACCAAACCACTTGTGGATGAGGTCTTGAAGGAACCCATTTAGTCGTTGAGTCTGCGACTTGCTTGGAAAAAGCGGGAAGGAAAAACATCATCTCATGAAGACTCTGTTCGTTTTAAGGGTAGATGTAATGAGCATCAACGCACAACCTGACAAAGACGAAACTCCTGAAAGCAGTTCAACTTCTTCTTTGCCTTGAGGTTCCACTAACATGCAACTTGACGTTTCGGGGTCCTGGAAGAGAATGTTAAAGGGAGCATTTCGCTGTTGGGTTCCATGGCATTAGTGGACAGGAGGGTAGGTGCCCTGCCTCTCTGGCGGTGGCGGAGGTGGCTGCGCCTGCAGCATTGTGAGATGCACGATTCATGCTCCATCCTTTGCATTGCAACCGGGGATGCCTCTAGGCACCTGGACAAAACTCTGCAAAAAGTAGGTGGTTAATACCACTTCTGCGATATTCATAGGGCTTCAACAATTTTCCACCTGGAATTTGTCCGTCATTGGTCCTGTCAGTTCGATACCGTCGGCACCTAGCCCATGGCATTAAACTTTTCCCTCAGCTGGCCAGCCTTCAACCCTTTCGGATCGACTGCATATCCCGAGCTTTCAGTCCGAATGGTCCATCTCACAACAAGGTTTCTCGGCTGGATAGCAAATCCAAGACAAAGGCTTCTGTGTTGTCCAATGAACTCGAGTCATTTCTGTCGAAGATCGCCTGCCAAGGATACGGCGGGTAAGGCATTGGAAGCACGTAAGCCGGCGCCGGCGCCGGCGCCCTTGGAGTCTCTGAGCGTGGCTCCTGATAGGGCGACCATTGGCCGACTGATGGAACTGGTTGGGGTTGCGCACTTGATGCCGGGCCAATGAACATTAACATCATGCAAGTAGCCGCGGCAGGCGGACACAGAATGAGCAAGGAACCACAGCTACCAGCGTCAACCACTGACCACAACCGCTGTAATGTGAAAAGACTGCCCATGACCAGCTGATCACTTTCAAGGGGCTTGGCGCAGAAACTGCCCTCCCCCCGCTCGATTTTTTCCGCACGAGTTCCAAACCCTTGAACAGATCGGCTGGGATCGCCCAGTGCTTACCGGATCGATCCCAACTCCTGGCGCTCACCCCAGCTGAGCCAGCGCGTGGCTTTTTTTTTCAGCCCAATGCACGAGATGCGTTGGCAAGTATTTGTCACAACACCCGGTTTGAGCTAGGTCCTCCAGTAGAGAGGATAAGGGTACACTTTTTTTTCTGTAGTCTACTAGGGGAACCCTCCCCCAAAAAAGAAACGGTAAAAGGGCACTAGTGGGGGACCTAGTGAGAGATACACTGTTTAAGTCGCCCCCGTCTCCTGTAACTCCTTCTTCTCCGGCGTCTTGGGCTCCTTTGGCATCCGCGGCTCCTGCGCCTCTTTGGGCGCCTCCGTCTCTACCGCCTGCGGCCGCCGCGCGGGCCTCGCGACGGCTTGAGCTGCGCGCAAACGCGGAAACACGTTGGGGAAGCAAGAACCAAATCGGATGTTCGTTGGGGTTAATTGGAAAATTGCGCGCTCACTCTATGGATCCATGGTGGCGTCTGCGAGCCATCACGGGGGAGAGGAGCCCGTGATGACACACCTTTTTGTTTTTGGGAACCTTCTTTGAAAGTATGTTCAAATCTCAGAGATTTGTCAATGGCCTTCGTCTGTGCCTTCGCCTGTTGGGAACCAGAATCTGCGCTTGCCCGCTTCGGGCCTATGCAAACCCGAGAAGGGACACCCCATGTCTGCAGACAACAAATCCCCTTTTGGCCTTTTGAAACGGGAGTGAACCAACAAAGGACAGCAACAGCATAAAAGGTCAGCTTCGAAGAAGTGAGTTGGGTGAACCACCCTTAGGGCCTTAGGAAGTTTCTGGGAGCAGCGATGACAGGGTGTTTGGGAAGGGTAGAGATTAAGCTTGGCTTTTGCTGTTTTCAAGGGAAACAACGGTAGATCGGGGATCTACTGTCTTTTGCTTTATTTGCGGAACTACTGCCAAGTAGATGGTATAGTCACGAAAATGAAACAAAAGCAGTAGTCGAAGCGTGCTAAAAGAGGTCCTTTCCATTTGTGAGGCGCGAAGGGTTCGTGAAAACTCAGATCCCCAGTGGCTATGGGCAGAAAAAGGGCACTCTCTTTTTTGGGGGTAGTCGACCCCCTCAAAAAAAAGAAAATGACAAGAGGACTTGCAATCCGACCCCCTCCACAAAAAAGGCTTGAAAAAAGGGAGGGAGGGAGGGAGCCGAGAGAAAAGTGGCGTTTGGACGGAGCAAAGGAAGGTGGAGCTGCTATCCGACCCCCTCCAAAACATGTCTTGACAGGAGGACTTGCAATCCAATGGCTCAACTCATTCTCATTGGAGCAGCTCCACCTTCCTTTGCTCCGTCCCCTTCCGTCCCACCCTTCGCCCCCCCACCCTTCGCGGCCTCGGGAGCTCGAAGCTGAAGGTCCACTTGGCAAAGGCGATGCGCACCACGTCCCCGTGCTGCAGCGCCTGCGGCCTCGGCTTTTCCGGTCCGGGCAAAGAGCCCAAGGGGTTCCGAAGGTCCCATCGACTCCCAGAAGCTGGGCCTCGTGCATTGGCCGAAATGACCCAGAAAAAAGGAAATGGCATGAAATGGCAAAGACGTGGGTGGGTGTTTTGGGGGTCCGGGTTCTGGGTACCTCTAGTCTTTCTTAGACGTTCCTCCTTCTGGACTTCAGGGCTCAAAATGGGGTCATTTGGCACATCAGGTGCTGGCCGCTTATAGGTTATGACATAATCACGGGACGGGAACTCGTTTGGGATTCATGTTGAAGATATCAGCACGGGTGGTCCTTGTCCCCCGAACCTGTCTGGTATTTGAAGGGCTGAAAATGGTAATTGCGCATCCGAATCCGCTGTCCAGCTTTGCAACTTGTGCGCAGGCTCATTTCCGGTTTGTGGTTCTACTCTCAGCTCGACTCAGCATCCTTTGGAGTGTCAGCGGAGCGCTCCATCGGCTGCAGGGCTCAAAGCCAATAAAGCTCGCTGTGGTGAGCCAACCACTCGACAAAACGCAGCCTCCCAATTGTCATGAGCCTTTCAATCCTTGGAGTATTTTAAGTACTGCCAAACAATACATGGGTTTCAGACAATTTTTCAAGTGAAGTGCCCTAATGAGATTTCTGGGGTGCTCAGCAAGCCCCAAAGCCACCCGATCAGACCATAGGCCCCATTAGTTGTTGGCGCTTGGTGTGCCCTTGGTAACCATGAGCTGACCTGCCCCGGTTGTCTCTGCGCAAAACGAAACAGATATGTTCCGCCTTTACTAGCGCAAAAGACCTTCTTACAACCTAAGCATTGTACAAACAAATATGTGTTTCCTGCTATATGTACATACAAGCATAGTACATTTGTGTTGCATGCTTTCTGGCCGTTACGACACATCATGCATACCATGGTTTTGTGAATATATCAAAACAGTGTGCTTCATCTATGCAAAGATACAGGAAAGTCAAGACCCCAGAGCTTACCAATTCCTCACGCACCGCAACAAGCTTCTTAGATTCTCCACCTGCACATGTTCTTATGCGCGTGCAATTTCAAATATCATCCGGGTTATGGTTTTGTGATTGGGGAATCTTTGGTGGACATCACCTGGACTGGGTTTATCTTGCAAAACACAATAGCAGTTAAGTGGGGATTTGCCACTAAACCACCATAAGCAAAAATGAAAAACAGTTTCCCAACAACAACCATGATATTGTGGCATCAACCCCTTTGATAATCCCTGCAATTGTCCCTGCAATTGCCCCAGGTTATGCCCCAGGTTATGTCCAGCCTCCCTCTTGAAATCCTTTTTTTGGGTGGACATCCAGCAACCGCCTTGGAGCTTGGCGCTCTCATCCATTTTTCGCTTGGATCCCCGGCTGGTGAGGCCTGAGCCGGGCGCCGTTCACGAAGCTGCCATTGCCAGAGCCCAAGTCCGTGAGCCGCGGCTCCGGGGAGAAGTTGAGACCTGGGGGAAGTTGTGGCCATGTGGCCATTGGGCCCATCCCTCGGACTGTGGGTATGGGCCATAGGTCAAAATGAAACCAGGGATAAGACAGGTGTTTGTCATTGCTTCCATTTACCATTTGGGTACCTGGAGTCTCCGGATCTGAGCCAGATCAAAAATGGTTGGTCACTACCCAAAATCATGGTTGGTCATGGACCCATTTTTGCTTCGGGTCAGATCCGGAGACTCCAGGCACCTATTTTTGACCACCACAGCCAGGTCCATGGGTCAAAATCCGAAATTCCGTACCGCTGGTGAATTCACCTAGCCCAAAATGGTACAATTGGTTTTGACCCACAGCCATGTCTGAGGGGACCCACAGCGCCGCGTTCCTTCTGGTGCTCCTTTGGAACCGCCAAAAAAAGGCACTAGAAAACCCAGAAAACCCGGTTCCTGTTGGTTCTCCTTTTGGAACCGCCAAAAAAAGGGTTCCATCAATTACTTTACTTTCAACACCCCCGCCAAACCTGTTTGACCAAGCGAAGCTGCAACCACAAGGTCAGTCCGACTGTGGGCGTGGCTTCAAGCATGAGGCTGGCTGATGCAATAGCGAAGAAACCCAGCTCAACCAAAGTGGAAGCAAAACCAGCCGTGGTGTTTTAGCATGAACTTTGTCTTATGTTTCAGAGACTTTTGTGACACCTTGGCCTATTTGCTAATATGCAAATCATTGAGCAACGACTGTTCTTCCCCCCACAAGCATTAGCTGTCTGTGACGACAAGAGACGCGCGTGCATTCGCGAGATGCCCTTGCCATCCAGTACCAGGCTGCATTCCTCGGATTTTGGACTTTGCGTGCCAAAATCAGAACCACGCGGCTCCAGCTATTGGCACATGCAGCTGACACTCACCCCGGACGCAGAGGCTATCAAAAGGTGCAAGTCCTTCCAGACCCTCAGACTTTCACAACCTCCTTTGGAACCTAATTTCTTTAGGTTATCTGCTCAAGAGAACACTTCCCCAAACAGAAAGACACGGAAACGCCGGTGGTCAGCAAACAACACATGCAACCGGAAGAACCGGATGCCGAGCCGAGTCTCTTCTCCCCGACCAATGGTGGTCTCTGCTTCCTCCAGCTGGTAGACAATGCCTTGGGCACGCAGCAGCCCGAAGATCTGGACGTCATCTCCAGCCATTGCATGGCTAAGCGGGTCTGGGATACATTCAAAGGATTCATGCCCTTTTGAGACGGCGGGGGGGAATTGCATGGATGGTTCGATGTGCTTTTGAGTGCGTTTTTCAGCTTGGTGAAAAGGAACACCTTACATAATTACAGATATCATTGTGCTTGCCATGGTCGTGACTGAAGATAGTTGTACAGCACCCATCAACCCTCTTCTAAGTATTAAGGCTACTAAGGTCCTTACGATATGTCTGTATCCCTATCTGCTTCCAAAGCTCTTAAGAGCTGAAGAGCCCGTGGGGATGAGTAGCTCTCTTGAGCTTCACCTTGTCCTTCTGGCAGAGACAGGTGTTGCTGGGCTTCCAGGATCTGCTCAAATGAGTTTTGGCCTGCCACAATTGGTCCGGCCAGACCCACGCGAAAACCCCAAGATGTGTAAAGATGCAATGCAACCACAATGGCCTCTCACCGGCAAGCGTGATTCCACCTCAAGAAGACAGCGGGCGACCGAGAACCACCACAGACTTGGGCTTGAGTTGCTTCGTGGAATTGTCGTTTTGGGATGGATGATCTGCTACCCAAGCTCTAGTCACTGCAAAAAAATGTTTGCAGGCGAAAGCCTTTGGCGTGCATTCTACACCGGATGGGAGGCATGGCACATGCCTGTCCTCCAGCAAAAGTGTCAATGATTGAGAAGACATTGCTAAGTGCCTCTTGCCACATCTCGACCCCCGGTGCAAACCAACACCCCCTATCAAGCATCACTTGAAAGGGAAGCTCACGTGAAATTGGAAAAGGAGGACAAAGAATTGGAAGCTTGACCACCCCAAGGCCCCAAGAAAATTAGTTAAACAGCAAGCCATCCGAGAGGTGTATACAAACTTCTCCCTTGGGCGATTCGGGAGAGACATATGCCTTGCAAAAACCCCCCACTCCGAAACCGGAAGTGTTCCATACTCAAATCATGGTGACTCCCTTGGCTGAAATTGCAACGGTGAACGGGCAATACAGAACTGCCGAGGTCTTGGTTGCTGTTGACCCCCCCTGCACATTTTTTCTTTTGTTTAATGGGGTTTAGTGGAAAACCCAACTTGATGTCCACCAAAAAGTTAAAGTCTAAAGATCGAACCCAATAGCAGTCAAGAGGTTCGCACTTTCTTCGCTCCTTCGCTCGCCTCCCGTCGCAAGCTTCGCTCGCGGCAGATCTGGTGCTCCCTGCCATGCAACCGATTGCCACCTGAACAGTCTTGCGGAGCCGCGAGAAGTGTTTGTTTGTGCCTGGCCAGAGTCTCCATGATTGGAGGTATACGCCTGTAGTTTGGACACCCAAGTTCCCATGGGGCAGCAAAAGGTATAAATAAATGGAGTCTCCGGATCTGACCCTTAAGAAATGGTTGGTCATCACCCAAAGTAATGGTTGGTCATGGACCCATTTTTGATTCGGGTCAGAAGGAGACTCCAGGTGGCAGTGGCAAGCTAAATTCATCCCGAATTATCTGTGAGACTAGAGGCCATGCCGCTCTGAGCCAGCAACCACAGGATCCCCAGGCATATGTGCTATGGCCAATGCTGGAACCTGGATTGCTAACGTATGCAACATGATAACCACCGAGACGGGGGGGGCTTGCAATGAGCTGGCGCCAGTCTTGTCCTAACATGCAAGAGAACCCCCTGACCTTGATTTGTTGGCAACAAAGACAAATCTTCACGACATGCATTGACCCACGCAGCGCGCATCAATGCTATCACAAGGTCAGGGGCATCATTCGTGGGACTGACTGGCAAAACAATGCGAAGAACAACGGCAACCTCCTGAATCATACCCTTCTCTGGGTTCCCAATCCATAACTCTTCCAGACAGTCCCATGCGTCTTTCTGGTTGCTCACACTAGCGCCCAAAGCACCTCTTCAATCCACGAGGGGCATGCGAACGACCGTTAAAGAAAAGAGAGGGTGCTTCTCCATATAGTACCTGGAGTCTCCTTCTGACCCGAATCAAAATGGGTCCATGACCCACCATTATTTTGGGTCATGACCAACCATTTTTAAAGGGTCAGAGGGAGACTCCAGGTACCCTAAAATGGTTGGTTTTGTTTTGTCTTCTGCTTAGCCAACCCAAAGCGGGGGTCCATGAGGAATACTCCTCGCTATATCTCACGGCTTGCTGCGCTCGCCAACGAGGCATTCGCTGAAGTCCAAACAGCTCACTGCCAAAATATCTTATGGCCATGGGTCCCAAATCCAAAGCCGTACCGTCATCAACCAATCCAACCACCAAAATCGGTTCTAAAATGGGTGAATTCACCTACCCACAAATGGGATCTCAAAACGGTTTTGACAACCACAGCCTTATCATTCAGCTGCAAAGGCAGGCCTCAACGCTGCAGGTCATTTCACCCTCTGCCCGTCCCTCGTGGCCGCCTCTGCTTTCCTAAATGGCTGCCTCCTTTTCGAGGGTACCCCTTGATTGTGGTTTTAACAAGAGAAACCAACAGGAAAAAGAGCCATTTGGGGGTCCCCCCGTCGTTTAACCCGCGTATCTGCAACTTTTACTATAATTTCAAAAGCTGAATTAAGAAATGGATCCCCAAGTAAAGAACCTTTGTCATGGTGAGCTCGTGATACCCCCTGGTGAGCTCGCCATAAACTTGGCAGAACGTACAAGTATATCTAAATTGAGGCGGCCAAACCTTGGTTGCTGTTGACCCCTCTGCAAGAAGTTTAATTGTTCAAGAAGTTCAAGGTCCAAAGCCAGACTGCGCGAAGCCCGCGCACCTGAAGGATGGCCAAAACCCCTGCGTAAGCGGCCTGAGCAGGAAGCAAACCAAATGAATGTCAAGGTGCATCCGCTTAAGTCCCCTTGCAAAAAAGATGCAGTGGTGATACATTCCCCTTAAACGCACCAGGGGCAAAACAATATGGTTCAGCTCGTGGCAGTCAACCCAAGGGAAATCAACCTGCACAGCGCCGCGCCTTCCGAGCACCTCCTGTTGTGGCGCGAAACTCCTTGCGGGTGTCAAGCTTGGATGTTCAAACGTGCTTGGACAAACTCATGCACCAGCTGGGATTGGTGGTTGATCAACCATGATTTACAGGGCTCCATCTATCTCAAGTGGTGCATAGATTCGTCCACCCGCAGTGGTAAGTGGGTTGCAGCCATGCTTGTTGCTGGAACAACTAAGGCTTGCTAACTTATCATTGTGGTTAGAGCTCGTTTTAGTCGGTTGAACATCCCAGAGGCCCAGGGGATGGGTCGGGGATGTGTTTTGACCCAAGCAGCATGACATCAGCCCTCAATTCTAGCTCTCTACAAATACGCTGCTGCTGAGGATAGCAACATCACCACGTAGCATCTATTACTGATGACCAAGTCAATGCATCATGCCGAACGCATGAGACCCTGTTTCGACAACCCATCGCTATGAGGGAAAAAAAAGGGGCCAAAAACAAATTCGTATCACTCATTGTTCGAGGTGCTGCCGTTGAGCAGCATCTCCATGCTTTGCCATGCGCCTCGTACAGTTGGACAGGCAATTAAGGCCAGCAAAGGCCTGCGGTGTGATACTGGGATCGTATGCTCATGATACAAATCAGTTGCACACACACACATCTAAGCACAACAGACTCTTCCAAGTCTAAGTGATGTTAGTTGCCCTTTTTACAGATAGTCAGAGTCTCAGAGTTCTGATTGTTTCTGTCTCTAGATTTTGAATCACTGTTGGCAGGTGAAGAATCTGATCTTGAATGGGACATGCCATCTATTAATTCACGTCCTGAGTGGATTGGCAACAAATATATAATCCGAACTATTTTTGTATACCACCAACATTAAGTTTCAGCCTTGCGACCATACTCCCCCCGGGAAAGACGTTGACTTCTAGTAAGGTGCTGAAGGAGTCGTATTCCCAAACAGCGGTTAGGCGCATGAACTCAGAAAGTGAGTGAGTCAGCAACTTCGATCATCCTGCTTTCTCATTTACCATATCGTTCAGCTCCATCAAGGCCAGGCAGGTCTTGGGGCATGGCCAAGCAGCCAAGCGCAATGGCTGATTACAACTAGCTTGAGTCTCCATGACCCTTACTCCCATTTGCTTAAAACCCCGGGAATAATAATAATAACAACAAAAAACATTCCAGTAGCACATACATTCCTTTAACACAAACACGGTAAAATACAACATATTCCGAAACAAATGGAAGCTTGCGACATAGCGTGACTCACCCCTGTTTGGTAGCTGACCCCATTTTGGAAGGACCTTGTTTTTAATACCTGGTCCAAACAAATGACTCCGTGATAAAACGCTTGGCTCCAGGGTCATCTCTCAAGATCTGAAGCGTCCAACATCGATGTGGATCGGAACATCCGGAAAAAGGCATTGATCCAGCAAAGGAAACTCATTTCCTTAGTGAAAACATCAACAAGTCCCAAATGTGAGTAACCAAAGCAACAAGTCAGAGATTGTTCAGGGATCTTTACATTATACACCTGAACATTGCCTTGTAAACGGTGGTTTCCTTTGTTTTTCACACCACGTTTCAAATCGCTGTGGCTCAAAAAGACCGGTACCCAAAATGGCTTGCCCTGGTAAATGGAAACATGGACCAACACCTGCGTTTTGCCCCCTGCTGACTAATTTTGAGCCACGCCCAAATGGTTGCAAGCAAGATTCGAATTTCTTTTAAGGAGCCCGGTTTTCCAACTTTTGAGTCCCAAGGACTTCGAAGGCCAACTCCGACTCACTCCGCCCGTTCGAACGCGGGAAATCCGTGACTCCGAAGTCCTGGGGTGAGCTGACCAAGAAGGGGTTGAAGCCTCCAGAGGCAAACACCTCAGCTCGCTCTCCGTTTTTTTTCAAATGTGGGTCAAGATTAAACCAGCAGAAGGCAGCTTGTAGTCCAAGTTTCCATTTAAAATTTGCCAGGGCAAGCCATTTTGGGTACATATTTTTGACCCAGCCAACTTGAGACCCTGGAAGAATGTTGACCCCGGATTCATTGCGGGGTGGGGGTTACCGTCCATTTTTGGGGTCCAACGAGAGGTCCATATTTTTGACAACCCAATGCCTGGTTCAGTACTAAAAAACGTCCCCAATTTAGTGGGGGTTCATCGCTTTTGGAGGGAAATGGGACGGCCTTATTAATTGGGATCCCCGGGATTAAAACAAAACATGAGAGGGGTCTCGAAGATCTAAACAAATACCCAGCCGTTCTTGGTGTTCCCTTTTGGACAACTGAAATTGGCAAGACTCAGAACCCAGCGCCAAACTGCAGTTACTTACGACGCTTTTGGATGTGCTTGTTCGTGCGATCGCTTTGGGGTGCACAATTGGATGGGCAAATCACCTACCTGGAGTCTCCATGACCCTTCAAAAATGGTTGGTAATTACCCAAAATAATGGGGTCATGGACCCATTTTTCAAGGGTCATGGAGGCTCCAGGCATAATGTTACATTACGCTTTAAATCACACTGAACACTTGAGTGAATGGTTGGGAATATCATTTCTACCAGCAGTTCACGTGCACCGACTTGATGTTCGCGTGGCCCAACGGATGAAGCGCATCGGCAGCCCACTGCAACAAAACCGTCACCTGCATCATCCCTTCTCCCCAAAACTGCCCCCTAAATGAAACATGCTTTTCCAACTTGGGTATTTAGTAAAAACGGGGTAACTCACAAGATGTCCGTGTCTCTTCTCTTTTCTCTTTGAGTCAACGTGAAAACAGGGTACCTCCAAAAAAAAGACGAGCCACCCACCTAAATCCTGACAAAGGCCGGCCGCCCCAGACCCTGGCGTGATTATTTTCACGGTTTCTGGGGTTGCAACATGTATCTGTTAAGGAGCCCTGTATAACATGATGATAAAATCAGGCCCGTCCCCGCCCGCCCGATTTCTTCGCCGGTCTCCGAGGCGCGCAGATCACCTCGCTGCCGCGGTCCCGGCGGAGCTCCCCGAGGGTGCAGTTCTCGCCGTTGGGGCCCATGTTCCCTCAGGTCTCGGGGCTCGAGTCTCCGGATCTGACGGCACCGAACGTGGGGTCATTCACCAATATCCGGGGAACCATGGAACCATTGGGACAGGTACCTGGAGCAGATCCGGATCTGACCCGAATCAGAAATGGTCGGTCATTACCCAAAATAATTGGGTCATGGACCCATTTGCAAAGGGTCAGATCCGGAGAATGCAGGTTGAGGTATTCTTGGATTGAGGGGGGGTCTCTTATACCTCTGCAGACTTTGTGTTGAGGGGGCTCCTATACCTCTGGATGGCTGAGGGGCTGAGCGGAAAGGGGCAAAGGCTCAGATAAGCTCAGCTGAGGTCTCTTCAGGTACCTTTGGACGGCTCTGGGGCACTGCAGGGTCAAAAGGGAGGCTCGGAAAGCGCCCCTGTTTCAGCCATTCTGAAAGAGCTCGAGAAGCTGAACTGGGGAGAGGGCCCAAGCTAGCATGGACCTTGTTCTTGCAGGGAACTGACATGTAAAAAAGCCTAGAAGGAAGCCTCCCTGGATACTTTCAATACTTAGATTGTGTCTCGGGGTTAGCCAAATGTTTAGCAACCAGACTTGCAAGGAATTACAGGGACTCTACAGGGACTTACTAACCATTTAGCTAACTTCAGAACCATCTAAGTGGGTCATGGAGGTCAACAACAAGAGGGCGTGCCGATTTGTTGGCCGCAGCCGATGGTGTTGCTTGTGTAAATCCTGGGTTCCTACAGTGGATTGTTGCGAAATCCGTTCGCACCACCGTTCCGAAACCCCGGAGTGATGATTCACCTGTAAATTCCAGTTTCGCCGTGGTTTTCATCCACAATTTTAGCATGATTCACCTGCAAGTACCAGTTTCAACGTTCATCCACAGTTTTAGCGTTGAGTAGGGGCTGAGGATGGCAATAGCAGACTGTTGCGATTTCAGGTGCCGCAGGCTCAGGATTGCGCCGCAAAGAGCCACGCGCCAGAAGTTGAACAACGGCAGCTGCGTCCTCAGAAGACTTCAACAAACAACTGAAAGCGGCGCTGGCGCTGACCTCTCTAAACAACACGGGGCTCAAAGTACTTAAATGAGCCATGACCATGGCTGGAAGTGGGACAACAGGAGCTCGCTAACCAATAGTACTACTTAAAAATCCGCTGAACCATGTAGTGGACCCATTTCTGGGGCACCCCTTTTTCACTGCGTTTCAACGTATCGCGGATCCCCACAAGACTTCCTATCTTTGACTGCCGTTTCTCGACATGCGCAAACACAGGCCGATTCTTCGCGAAAATTGCTTCCATGATGAGACATCTCTGTGCCAGAGCGCACACTCGTCAGCTCTATCCTTCTTTCCTAGCGAGGCACGCTGGTCATTAGACTGCTGCAATCCCATGGATATGGTACTTGACATGAGAGCTTCCGAGGGTGGTGAGGCTTTGTGTTGCTGTGCCGATCTGCCACTGGTTGGCTGAACAGTCATGACGCATCGGACATGCCAGTGGTGCCCATTGCTTCCCAAGCCACCAGTTGCTCTCCCGGCAACTACATAGAATGTATGCACAAACTGGTGAAAGCCTGCTGTATACTCCATACGAAAAGGATGGATATATATGTTTCAACCTTCTGAAATCTGTGTCAGCCAAGCATATGATGCCATCACCCACAACTACGAGCCAACTCGCCAATATTATGCTTTCTCATGGCTAAGCCTCTGGACAAATGACGATCATTCCCAAGCCGGGACCCAAGTAAGTAAGCACCGTCATGAGTTTTCGCTATCGTTGAGCTCCTTGAAATTGGTGTGCGCCACTAAGACACCCCCAAGAAGCAACCGAACCCCCCTTCTACACAAACACCATAGACCAATTTTCCACGTCCCAAAGCCCGGTCCACCGGTCAGCGCCTTTGACGCCTTCGGTTGGGGGCGTGGCGGTCTTGTGATGGTGAAGCTGATCATTGTCAGACCTCCGAAAGCTGCTCGGCGGCTTCTCGGCTTCTTTTGCCCACGCAAGTCCGATAGGGCGGGCGTCTGCATTTTCTGGGGTTTGGCGCCTGAAAGTGGATTACATGTTCAGGCCCTGAGGGGGTGGAGATGCGAAACCTAGGGCTCCCCTCCAAAGGAAATTGTGTGAAACTGAGGAGGGGTGCTCAACAGGGTTCTGAAAACATTTATGAGGTGTGCCTCCTCACTATCAAAGAGCACCAGCCAATGGTGGAAGTACAAGCGAGTACAAGTGGATTAGCTTTCGAATTGGCATTGCTATATGCCAATGTGCTCAAGGACACCTAGCATGATACTGCATCTACTGACACAAATGGTGAGTTGTGGCATATTGGCCGGTCAGCTTGTAATTACTTCTCTCATCCAGAGTCTACAACACTGGCAATATAATTGCCTTGGAATAAGACTACAGTTGTGGTGCAAGGCCAAACAACATGACCTCATCATTCTGGGATAAGTATGTTTCTGATTGTTCGGCCGCTTGCTGGTTTGCTTGCTCAACCTCAGTCCAGAAGGGCGCCACTTTGAGAGTTTGGCCTCCCCCCTGTGGATGGACGAAATCCTGCACCACTTTGAAACAATGGTTGAAACCATTTTTGTTGGTATTTACGGGGGAATCATCATTCCAGGGATTCCAGGGGTTCTTGCCTGGTGCAAAATGAATTTCGCGACCATCCACAGTATGGAATGGTTTCAATGGCTAGCAATTGGAACATCCGCCCAAGGGTCGATTTGGGCGGACCTGGAGTCTCCATGACCCTTTAAACATGGGCCCATGACCCCATTATTTTGGGCAATGAACCCATGTTTGAGGGTCATGAAGGCTCCATGGCTTCTTAGTGGCAGCCCCTCAGGCGCCTGTCCGAAGCCTCTTGGTCTTGTCCAGGCGGATCAGCAGCTGGTTGTCCCCTGCACAGAGCTCTACTCTTGAAGACCCGAAGGCTCCCTGAGAAATATGACTTCCACTTGCTGTCCACTGGAAGAAAAACAAAAAAAATGACCAGCAATAGATTCCCTTTAAAACCAACAGGGGAAAATAAACCAATATACCTGGAGTCTCCATGACCCTTTAACAACTTGTCCAGGACCCCATTAGGTTGGGTAATGACCAACCATTCTTTAAGGGTCATGGAGACTCCAGGTGGAAAATGAGCTGAACCTTTTGGAACCAAAAACACTGAAAAGAACGATAGTCGTACAGAATGGGGCGAAAGGTATTCATTGCTCATTGGACAATGTAAAACAACACCCCTGAAATGTTCTTCAACCCGTTGTGTTGATGAATCCGACATACAAGGCCCTTGCACAATTGCTTCATGAAACGGAATGACATGCTTTAGGCCGCTGGTTGCAAAACTCAGATCACCTCTTGAATAACCCAGAGCTTGATGTAACATTGAAGGTGGCAAGAGCATGCTGCATGTTTGTTCGACCAATCCTACTGTGGATGGACGAAATCCTGGACCACCTAAGAATCCATCGAAAACCGTTGTTTGTTGGTACTTACATTGGAATCGAATCATTCCTTTGGGCTTCTTGGTGCAACCATCCACAGTACCAAGCTTTCCAATGCTGAAGCTTGAAGAGCCGCTCGCATTCCCTCAGCTAGTTCGGGTCAAGGCTGAACACCGAACGGGGTGACCATGGTGACAACAGAACAAACATCTTGGTCTTTCTCCAAGGGAAACCCCTTTTTGGTTGGTTTTAAAGGAAAACCAGAGGGACAACTACCATTTTGGTGGCCCCTAATGCAAACAGTAAAAAAAGAAGAAGAAAGAAACGTGCCTTTGAGGCAGACTGATGATGTGCCAACGTAGTTGGCCCTGAGATGTAGTGAACATGTTGAAACATCTTCACACAAACGCAACCCAACCGCGTCTGCATCTGTATCTGTGCAGGTGTTCGAACATAGCGAACTTCATTTTGAATGGGGTTGAACAGGAAAAGCGCAAGACACCATTGCCAGCTACTAGCAGCCGTTAGGACGCCATGACATGGGGGTCTTCAAACTAACACTACCTGGACACTCTTACAAGCCTAATCGCGCCCGGACAGTTTGAGTGGATTCCCATTATTGAGGGTACTTTGTAAGTGCAGACAAATTATGAAACCTGCTTTACTCACTTACCCAAAGGATCCATAAACCAAAGCTTTACTTTTTGGAACCTGGACTCAAAAGGACGAAACAGGGGCAACGATTTGCTTTGGGCAAGTGAGTCTAGGTCCTCCAGTAGAGAGATTAGTACCTTTTTTTTTTCTGTAGTCTACATTAGTAGGGGAACCCTCCCTAGGGTAAAAGGGCCCTACTGGGGGACCTAGGAGTTCATGCCACGCCCGTCTTCCGACAGCTTCCTTTTGCCGGCCTACTGAGCCCTGATAGGGCGAGCTGCTCAGGTAGAGGCTCTCCCCGAAGGCGTTGGCAAACTGAGTCAGTTCGCTCCGAAGTGCCGAGCGAATCCCCAGCCCTGCACCTTGAGACCCTTCAAAAATGGGGTCCTGACCTTTTGTTTTGGTAGATGACTCACCCAATGTGTTGCACCAGCCGTGCCAAAAGTTATTTCCTTTTTTTTCCGGAACAGAGACAGAGCTTCTGCCCTGCATTTGCAAGGGATGCGCAACCTTAGGCCAACTCAAAGCTGCAACTGGAGAGCGGGCTTGCAGCATTGCAGCGCTGCTGCTCACGTATCATTGCTCAGGAGATTTCTCTTCCTCCACCCACATGCCACATGACAAAAGGCCCCGCTAGAAGAATACTGGTCTTCCCGAGGGCTTGGATGACCACCAAAAACCGATAGGGCACTACCCGAAGCCAATTCGCCAATACCCCAGCAATATTGCCCCTTGCTCTTTCGAGAGGATCCGGCAGAATTTTCAACAATCAGAAAGTTGGTGTTCTCTCTTCCCTTAGTATACCTTACTGTAAACCTAGGACCTCCATTGTGCGGAGATTGTACACATTGGATGTTCTGGGAATATGACAGCCGTTGACCCCCCCCCCAAAAGACCTCAGCTCTCCCCTCTGTCCCAAGCTTGAGGCCCGTCCTTCACATCCAGGGAGTGAAGAGTAAAGTCCGGCTGCTTGGGGAAGTCGATCAAAATGCCCCCCACCAGGATATCCACATCGTCCAGGATCTGGCAGCTTTTGCTTCTTGCAAAACGCTGAAGCCAGGGATCCCCCAAGGAACCGCACAACATGGTCTCACTTTGCTTGTGTTTTCTTTTCCCGAGGAGTTCTGTCGGTTGCACAAAAACAAACGACTTGGCGTTCTCGATCGCGATATGCTCACAGCTGGTCAAACCACTCGAATTATGAACCACATGAACACCTTCAGGGCGACATGCGAAGACACCGTCAGGGTTCCTTCAAGGGGATCTAACAGGGGATCGATCCTGTAAATCAGCTAGTATTGAGCTATTCTCTAACTGGCGCGCATATATCCTAGGGCAAGACAACCTAGGGAGCGCTAGGAGATCTTTTGAATGCTTTTGAAGGGAGCACTCCAGAGATTGCCCCAAGCCTCAAGACGGGAAGCAGAGTCATGCAAACAATAAAAGAAACCATCTGCAGGAAATTCTACGGCAAATCCCAGGTGTTGCTGTTTTGGCTAACTTAGTAGGAGTTCCTGTAGCTGGTTTGTGTCAATCAAGAACCGAATGCTTCGTTCAAGAGAGCAAGCCGAAGATGTGCGGCCGATGTTGGCCATTCCTCCACATTTCTTCAATCTCTGGAACCATTCAAGCGACAAGCTCGAAATTACTCTCTAAGCAGTTGAAGGGACACAACTCCTAGGTCCTTCAGTAGAGAGGTTAGAATGAGGGTACAGTGTTTTCTGTAGTCTACTTAAGTAGGGGAATCCTCCACCAAGAAAGAAACGGTAAAAAGGCACTACTGGTGACCTAGCCTCAATAATATGTTCGCTCACCCAGAAAAACTGAGCGTAACGCCAGCTTTCGGGCCTCCAGCGGCACCGTAACTTCGAAGAATTGGTCATCTCAGCGAAAGCCGGGTGCTATCAGCTCAATTGCCCTGGAGTCTCCGGATCTGACCCTTTAAACATGGGGTTATGACCCCATTCTTTTGGGTAGATGACTCACATGACTTCAAGGTCAGAGGGAGACCCCAACCTGGATCATCCATCGCTACTTTTATTTCTGCCTCCCCCCCTGTTCGATACATAAATGGGAAAATAGTAGCACTTTTCTACCTTCTTTTGCTTGCGAGCGTATTTTTCCGATTCGAGCATTAATTTTGTTCGGCCACATTGTTCCATCAAGACAGCAGGTGTTGGTTTTCCAAAACGAGCGCAAAACGCGCAAACGAGCGCAAAAAAGCGCAAAAAGGGCGCAAATTTGCGCAAAAAAGTGCAAAAGGGCGCAAATTCCAAAAAAGGTACGAATTCGACACTCGTCCGGTCGACTCATTCGATCCCTCGAGCATTTTTTTTCAAACGAGCACTTTTTCTGTGGACGTTGTGGCCGGGGCAGAAATATTTCGTAGCACAATTTTAGGTAGCGTTGGATGACCCTGGAAGTATCAGGTTTCCTCTCATTGGTGGTTTGGAGCAGCATCGGTGGCTTGGAGGTCGGGAGGTGGTCCCCAAACCACTCTGGACATAAGGGCCACCTGCTCCAAACAACTCTGGAAGGGAAGGACAACAAAAGGAGACCACGAGTTCACTGCTGCCATTGATTTCTGTTTCGGAGCAACAGGGAAAATTGTGAATACGCCAAGATCGAAGCGACCCATGACAAACAACCACTGTCAAAAAATAAAGACCTGGCACTACCTGGCGAATGTGCCTAGGCAGTGCGACCTATGCACTCCTCTTGGCCGAACTCCCTACCTCGTGCAAAAGAATACACGATCGACCGCGTTTGTGTGGCATCCGAACCTGTGCTCCAAGCATGCGGAGTTGGTCTGTGGGGCGGATAAATCTGTAGCTTGTACAACCGTCCAACAGGTCGTGGCTAAATGCTTCTCACTTCCGATCGAGTGGACTTTGTATTTGCCACCAATACCGTTTTCCCAAAAAGTTTCAAGTCCAGGAACTCAGGAAGTGAAACTTGTCTTCCGACTCATCAGAGACCCTCCGATGTTTCTGCTTGGGCGTAAGTGTAAAGCTTCCAACAGGTCGCCGGAGTTTGTGATGACAGGCAAGGTGTTGATGGAGCTCTTGCTGGTTTCAAGTCACGTCTTGGCCACGCAACGGGCTTCAATTCTGGTTTCCTTGGATACCCAGCTGATATTTAAGGTGTTTCTCCACATAGGAATTGGTCCCTGAAACTGCGGGTTTCCTTTTGGCCTCCCTTTCAATTCCAAGGTACAGGGGGGCGAAGCAGATTTTTATGATCTGCTGAGCCCCTTGCACTGGAGAAGCTGCGTCCACCAGAGTGAAAGGACCTCGGACCCGGACTTAGCGAAGTGAGTTCTTACTTTGAAGTCGTGACTCAGCTTCCACGGGTTTGGGATCCGGTTTGGTGGTTTAGGCTTGGGCATTCTCATCTACAAGAACCAGGGGTTCGAACCCCCAAAACACCAATCCAAACCACCAACTAGTAGGAAGGTGAGCTACAGGTTTGTCTCAAACCATGGCTACCCACAATGATGTTCTTTTTGGTTTCCCTTGCAAGTCACAAAACAAGTTAAATGGAGGGCAACTGGGGCTTGCTAAGCGACTAGCACTTGGAACACTATTCAAAGCTATCCACAGGCCGCCCAATTCTTGATGTGGAGGTACGCCTGCTGAAAGCATTCCATGATTGTCTCCGGCAGCGGTCTGCTGGCAACATAACAATGACTGCGCACCAGCAGGCACAAACAGGAGCCGCCATTGATCCCTTTCAGCATTGAGCACCCGGGGACGTAGAACATATCGAGTGCAACATGAACAAGGGCGCTACATTGCACATTGCCTGCCCAATACGGCTAATTTCATAGCGCTGAACTGTGCGAGCCTGTGAAGGACAAAGAGGTGCAACGATGATATACTCATATATTTGGCCACCAGAACATACACCTTCAAGCAAAATCCCGTCTTGATCGACAAACTTAGTTCATGGCTCGTAATGATCCACTGCAATACTGTGTACCCTGAACACAAGGATAGACAAGGCCGCCCATACAGATCCCCAATAAAGGCAGAAGGGGTTGTGTCCGCCCCATTTAAACATGGTTGCGACCCAAACCTCAATTGCCCAAAGAACCCTGAAAGGTTAACCTTTTGGGGCCATGACAACAAATCAACCAAACAAGGGGTTCAACTTAAAGGTCAAAAGGTCGGCGTTGGAGACAATGGTCCAACCCCCAAAAGCTGAAGGCCCATAAGCTCGGGGAGTGAGAGAGCTGTCTTTTTTTGACAACAACTCAACCAAACATGGGAAACTTAAAGGTCAAAAGGTTGGCGTTTGGCAAGCGAGATAACTGTTTGAACCCGTCAGGTCCTTGCAACGATTCCGCAAAAAACAACAGCCGCTCCCGCTGTCTTTGGCTGCCGGGCGCTCGCCCTCAAGCCTGCCGAGCTGAATAGGCTTCCCTCAAGACCCCCAGTTTGGACCCCTTTTGTTTGCTAGGTCCTCCAGTAGAGAGGTTAGAATGAGGGTACCCTTTTTTCTGTAGTCTATTTTAGTAGGGGAACCCTCCCCCAAAAAAGGGTAAAAGGGCACTACTGGGGGACCTAGTTTGCCTTTACCCCCGGTGTTTGATGCGGAAAACAGGGCCCTTTGGGGGTCCAGGTAGAGTTTATTTGAAAACCAGGGCCAATGGGTATACGATCCGTCAAAAAGTCACCACGGAGAAAGGGCGTGCCCCGCTCGTTGAACAAGTGGAGAGGCAAAACACACATGCGCACACAATTCCTCAAAGAAAAAAAAGGAATGCAAAAAATGGGGCTTCAGGTGGTTTTGATTTTGTCTCCTTTCGAAGGCGGAGACCTCTGCTTTGAGAAACAGCCATAGTCTGCAATCGAAAGGCCCCAAGCATTGCTAAATACTCAGTCCGCCGAGCAAAACCTCCCATACGCCATCGGAACACATGTCGATGCCGCAGAAAAACTTCGGACCCGTTGCCAAACAGAAGGGTGCATCTTTTTTGAGGGTACGTTTTTTGGAGCGGCTTTAAAGGGCAATTAAAGTGAACACCTGTTTAGGGGATTCCCTACCTGCACCTGCAAGGGACTCATTTGTTCTGCATTTATACCTGGTTTTTTATGGGTCAAAGACAAAAAAAAGAGTCTCTTTAGGGCTCCAGGTACTTCAAGACATACTGAGAAGTGAACTCAGGCATTGCGTGGACCAGCCAAACAGCTCCATCGCGCTTAACCGCCCGCCTTGTGTCACAGGCTCACCAGGGACTTTCAGCGCAACGTCCTGATTAGAATGGTCGCCCAAGCCTAAGCCAATTACACCAGGGTGAAAGTACATAACCCTGGAATTGCCCTTCTGTCTGCGAATGAGAGGGATGATGAAGCCAACATGGGGGAGGAATGCCATCTAGCTTCACCCAACTGCACATTCCAGCTTGGCATGCATCTAAATCCTGGACATTCCCTCTTAGTGAATGCTCGCAACAGATCTGACTGACAGGGAAGCAAATATGGCGCTACAAGATGGACGACACCAGGCTGCTCGCAGCTTGCCGCATCAGGTGCAATGCGTGGGAAAACCAAACATGCATCTAGCGCCAGTGAACCAGATTGGATTCAGAAGCTTCCCATGTTCTCTTGCAAACGCCCATCCACTCCCTTTCCAAACGTTAAACTTTTAGGAGATGAGATGTGAGAAAACCCTCCACAGTCGAAAACCGTCAAGACTGTCACGATTGCCTTCAAATCAGCCAATTGATTTGGACGTGCTTGAGCACGGCAGGATATTCTCCGCCAGTTGGCTGCCGTTTGAGCTGAAGTGGGTAATGGTCAGGAATCTGCTGGCTGTCCGCAATTGAAGGATCCACAAACATACTATACCACACTTGCCACAATTGAACTTGCGGATCCTTGAGTTGCGAATCCACAACCAACTCATTCAGTTGTTCTTCTCAAACCAGGCTAGCCGCAAAAATGGGTGGTTTCCCATTGCGCTCCCTCTAAAACGACTCCGACAAGGGCACCGATAGGAAACAGAGTTGCGCAGTGACCCTAGACAAGTGGAACCGCTTTTGGGCGTCGATCATTTCTGGGGAACCGAACCAATCGACACACTGGGCTCTTCAAAATGGAGGCTTGGCCAAGCCGATTCTTTCCAAAATTGCTAAAGGGAAGCCACTACAAAAGGCACCAAATCCTTGCGTATCCCAATTTAAAGGTTTCGGATTACCTTCAAACAGCCCCAGGTCCCAGGCAAAACGAACAAGTGCCACTAAAGAGCGGGAAACTTGGACACTCTCACGACAGCCAGCCCGAAACGTCAAGCCCCAAATCCGCCCCAAACCAGACCCCCGCCGGTCCAGATTTCGGCCGTCCGGTGCTCGAAGAAAAATGTCGAAGGTGTTGAGGGCGGCTTGCGGGTTCTGTCCTCAAACCGCGCGGAGTTGGGTCAAGCCCTCTTTTCGACCACTGCCGAACTAAGGGAACCAGGGCTGGGCAGTTTTAACAGATTGTGTTCAAAACCCTGGGCATCTTCCTTTTTAGTGTTGCATGGAGACATGGAAATCCATCCCCGTTGTAGCTTCTTGGTGGAATGACACATTCTGGACTTGTTGAAGGCCAGGCCACTCAGCAAGAAGCCCCAAAACATGCACACTCCGCCACAAGTGCGCACGCTTGAACTCTCACCTGGCCTCAACCTCCGCGACTCCCACCTCTCCCCACCTCTCCCCTGCAAATCGACCTCCACAAAGACTCTATGATTTGCCGAGAAACAAGAAGCTCCCAAGTCCATGCTTGAGAGAGGCATGTTTCTTCTTAGAGGTGTGGTTAAAATTGAAATTTCGGTTTTGGGCTTCCCCTTTGCACTTCAACCAAGGGGTACCTCCCATCTCCATCTCCAAGGCCTCTTGTGGCTTGCGGCCGAGGCGCTGGGGGTTTCCCCTGGCACGATGACCACGTGCAGCGACTGGTGAAGGGTTTCGTTCAGGGTGATGGTGACCTGAGCACCGGACAAAACTCCCGATCTTTTGATGGCCCCAAACATTGATGTGCATTTTGTTGTTGGAGCGTTGCAAAGGGAAACCAAAACAAAAAACATAATTCTTTGGGGGTTCACCTACTTTAAGACACACCTGGGTGTTTGTGCGTGTTGCTGTGTGTGTGTATCATTTGGCAGGCGTGTGTGCAGTGCCGAGCTTGTGCTCTTGAAACGGTATGCATATCATTTGGCAGGCATGTGGAAGTGTGTGCAGTGCTGAGCTGAGCGTGCGCTTGAAGCGGGCCAGTGCGCTTATCACATGGCAAGCATTGTGTACCCGGCTGAGCTTGCACACCCTGATAGTGTCTGCATTGCACCCTGGTAGTTCGAATCACGCTGAAATAGTTCCTGAATCGCCAAAACAAGTTGTTTTAATCGCGCAAAAGAGTTCTGAATCGCAATATAGTTTCTGAATCGCAAGAAATAGATTCTGAATCGCTGCCATAATAGTTTCTGAGTCGTGCCCCAGTGGTTGGTGAATCGCCCAGAAACGGATTCTGAATCACGCAAACCAGTTCCTGAATTGCGCCTGGGAATAGTTTCTGAACCACAGTTTCTGAATTTGCAGGTGGCTAGTTTCTGAATCAGTCTCTGTCCTCGCTATGGGTGCCTCGTCCTCGCTCTGGGGAAATTCGTCGAGGCTCGTAGGACATCGTGGTGACTGATGCCACGGAGCCGTGGAGCCACACTTGAGTTATGGGACGCTAGGCACTGGTTCAAGTGCACAGCAAAAAAGTCAGTCTCACATCCAGCGGGTTTTCTGTACCTGGATTTTTGCAGACCCGAATAAAAAATGGGTCAATGACCCCATTTTTGGGTAATGACCAAGCAGTTTTTAATGGTCCTTAGGGAGACTGCAGGTATCGCGCCATTGTTCGAAGCGGCTTCGTCAGTTGAAGGCCAGTGAGACAAAATCTCGCCTTCCAAGTGGCAAAGGGGTATCCTGAATTGAAACAGCAACTCAAGTACTCAAAGGGCACTTGTTTGCAGGCCCCTATGCCAGTTGATTCTTGGCTCCAAAGCCCCAACCTACAACCCTAGGACAACCCCGTAAACCACATCACGCCTACATCCGGGGTCAATGGCTCATCTTCAGGCTCTTGATAGAAAAAAAAAAACAAAAAAACAAGGTATTCCAAACCAAGTCTTGGTTTGAACCGTAGGCCTTTTTCCAAAAGTTGTGTTGCCAATGCTGGCAATCACTGAAGCGTTTGCCCCCAAAACTTCATTCTGGTCAAGAGCATATTTAAACATCACAAGCTTTTCTCACGAATCAAGTTGGCAACGGCTGATGTTGAAACGCACCCTTAAGGTACCCACCATACATTTCGTGCACCGTGAACTCAATCCCAAGGCTGCGGCAGAGGGCGGGTTCACCGCAGTCTGGCAGCTCCTGAACTCACCAGAGGACACCAGCTGAACCTCGGCGAGCGTTTGCGCCGGTGAGCAAAACGAGAAGAACACAGTAGGTCATGTGGGTGGAAAATTTGCACAGGGGAACCTCTGGACATCGAATTTGGTGAAGACTATTCACCGACCACTTTTCAGGGGTTCCGATCAACAGGATATGGCAAAATTGGGTTGTCCTGTCCTGCAAGGGACATTTGCGTGGCCCCCCATGTCTTCCCCAAATCAACAGTAGACTACTTGGACCCTCAAACCACCTTCAGAATGGCGAATGGCCCCAGCATTCTTGGGTGTAAGGTAGGGTCCAGGTAGCAAACATGTTTGTCTGTTGCTCACATAATTCTAGTTCATAAGTGTCGGCTTTCAATGGACGCGGCTTGCGGATACTGCAAGAACTCTTTTCAACCCGAGCCAAAGTTCTTGGCAGTGCCACGGTCGAAACGGTTAGTGGGGGATGGTCGATAAACATCATGGCCAAGTGGCAAACATAGAAGCTTTGAAGTTCTCCAAGGCTTGATAATTGCACATCCTAGATGCACCCAGTCCTGAAAGTTAAACCAGGCTCATCCACCGGTCTGGCCGGCTGCTTTTGGTCCCTACAGCAAAGTGGAAAGTCCACTTTGGAATCATCTGGAGCGTGGAGGAAGCCCCGAAAACAACCTGGACCCAAGCTGTCATGAAAGAAACCTGATCCTTCTGCATCCGGAGCATGATGGCATGATCATGTAGGCCCGGCCTTGGGTTTGAGGGAGTTCCATGCTAGCCTAATAGTCAGCTTCCCTCAAGGGTGGTTTGGATCCCGGTGGTTTCCCGAATGCCTGTACATGGACCCTCCAGGCTCCAACCGTTGGGTAGCCCTTCCTGTTAAACTGTAGGCCCTAGGGTTCAACACTTCATTCAAAGAAAGGCAAGGACCCAAATTGGATGATGACAATCCTTAGGTAAACAATGGCAGTATGAACCCCCATTGTTTGAATGGTGGTTTGAACCCCAGGGTAGCGTTTTCCTTTGGCTTTCAATTCCTTTCGCGCAGCAGGGCGGCCAAGCATGCGAAAAGCGCACAGAACCCCCGGTTCCGGGGTCCACGCGAAGCCTCGCTTGTTCTCGCAGCCGAATTCTTGAAGGTCCCGCGGGCCGATGACCACCAACTGGCAGCTCGAGCAAAAAAGGAGCCCCTCCCCCCAATCAGTTTGCTCCAGGCAAGCCAGACCACCTGGAGTCTCCATGACCCTTTAAAAATGGGTCCATGACCCCAGTATGACCCCACTTTTCAAGGGTCATGGAGACTCCAGGTACCTGTCCCCATGTGTGGTTCTCGACTGTTGGTCGAACTACAGTTCGCACAACATCCTACTGGTAGAGCAACAGGCTTAAACTGTTGTAAGCTTGTTAAATGACAAGGTCAAGAGATCCCTTCGGAAAACTGGATCCTGGTGAAGCCAAACACCATCTTGTTCCGGCCATTGGTTGCGTGTTGATCTGAATCGGTGGAAAATCCATGAGATGTGGATATGTGTCATGGGGGGGGACCTTCGCAAATGGCGGTGGCTCAAAATTCGGCACCCAACATGGAACCCTGATAAATGGAAACAAGGACTAAAGCCTGCGGGCCCCTGGTGCTTCAATTTTGACCCATACCCCAATAGCGGCTTCCGTTTGGAATCCCTTGGAGCCAGAAAAGGGCACACTCAAAAAAAACACCCACCCACACACACACGCACAACACACACACACGCACGCACACACACACACACACACACACACACGCACGCACGCACGCACGCACGCACGCACGCACGCACGCACGCACGCACGCACGCACGCACGCACGCACGCACGCACGCACGCACGCACGCACGCACGCACGCACGCACGCACGCACGCACGCACGCACGCACGCACGCACGCCGCACGCGCACGCACGCACACACACACACACACACACACACACTCCCGCGTGTGTCAGCGAAGGGCTGATAGAGTGTACTGTTGCCAGGCCATCAACAGCTACAAACTGCAAACCACACGCTCACTTACTATACTCAGCGGATTAGCTCAACAAAGAAAACTGTGTTTGTGTGCCACCAAGCTGTCCTCCCCAAGAGTCGTCAAAAAGATGAGCCCTCCTTGGACCCTGATGCCGCCTCATGCCGCCATTTTGCAGCGGGATACCAGAAACATGTTAAACAGAAAGACAAGCCCCGGCTGGAACAAACCCCACCAACCTGTTTCACACAGTGCCCAGGTTGCGCGCCCCGCCTGTCCCAGCGGCGGCACGTGCACGCGGCTGGTAAATGCGATGCCCACATCCGCCGGGACAGAGGCCAAGGAGCCATAGACCACCTGCCAAATGTCTCGCGCTCACGCGACCGGTGCCAGAAAAAAGGTCCAGACTTTGGGTCTACCAACACAAGTTGACAACTCCAGCAGCTGGGGAAGGCTGCAGGGAGGGTCTGGGGCTCACTCAATGAATGGATGCTTGCAACTGAAATGATCCGGGCCAAATTTATATCGTTCAGGAGCCGGGGAAGTGAGGGGGCTGTTCCTGACTTGCTAAAAAAAGCCAAGCTGCTGTTGACAACGCTCAACGTCCCCGTTCTACTCTGCACACGGCCACTAAGGGGGTTGACAAGCGACCCTCCATGGCCAGACTCCCTTGAAAAGGGGTCGCAAAAAGGGACAGCTCCATCGAGTTGTCGAATTCCCGATCTGAAACGTTTGCTGGACCGTGGAGAATCATTTTGTCAGGTGTGGAGCCCCGGAATGAAGATTCGCTTGGCCGCCATCAAACTTCCAGCCAGGTGCCCGATTGATCTGCAAGCTCCACTATCCCCAAAGCACGACCCAGTCAATGGGATATACAGCCACTACAGAACTCCGTATAGACTGCAATTCCCCCTGAGATCATCCTGGCCTGCACATCCATGTCCACGATGGAGAAGCCCATAAGCGTGCCCTGCCATCTCGTGATTCACGGCGGGTGAAATCTGGTGGTAAAGAAAGGGTGGCCAACTCTTGTGTGGAACTGCTAGTAACCCGCGGCTCGTACCAGGTGAAATCCCCATGAGTATGTGTCAATGGGGACCCCCAAAAAAGTAACTTTCCCTTTGGCTTCCCTTTAAGCCAAGGTGAACAGGGTAGCCTCAACAAAATACGCGCACCCGCATCACACCCAAAGGAATCATGACGTCAGGAAGGAGTTGGACAAACGGGTCTTGCTTGGACGATCCCCAGATCCCAATCCATCTCATTGCAAAATGATAAGCAAGTAAAGCTGGCGATACACAATTGGCCTTCAAACTCGTTGCGAGCATGTCCGATTTGTCTTGAGAGCACAACGCCAGCTCCTCTCTAATGCGGGCACTCCGCTACACATTGAGATGGAGCACAAACTACAAATCATGTTCAGAAGAAACACCTCTTGGGGTAACTCCTGTTTAGGTTCCATCTTAACTTGCAGGGAGTACTTGCGTTGTTCAATGGTAAACCACTGGTGACACCAGCCGGTGTGAGCGGCTTCGCTTTTCAAGGCCTTACTGTGGATGGTTGCGAAATCCATTTCGCCCCTAAGAAACCTTCGAATGGTATGAGTCCCCTGTAAAATGCAGCAAGCAATGACTTCCCATGGTTTCTCAGGTGGTGCAGGATTTTTTGTCCATCCACAGTATCACCCCCAAAAGAATGGCAAAGGCCATACAAAAACCCTCATGACATCAGGCAGAACAATCTGCTCGCGGGAAAGAGGCTTGTGACCGACAGACCGCAACGTGCCAGCGAGACTCTGCCCAAACGGTCGCCCTGGGAGGTGTAGTCGTTGCCTGCAGGAATACCGTAGAGCTTGTGAATCTGGAGTAGGAAAGCTTCAATTCGGCCAGCTCATTCATGCTCTCACACACACACACACCTCATCTAATCCGTTTTTGCACTTCTGATGGCAACATTGGGCAAGGTTGAGATTCGGTCCGCGGGTGTGGAGACTACAGAGCTGCTCTGTCAGAGATCCGTCTGTGCCAATAGAAGGGCCCGTAGATCCCGAGGTGAAACTGCCCTCCGGAAGCTGATCCTCTCGCGCGTCATGTGGCTTGGAGTTCTTGACTGCCCCAATGTTTTTTTTGTTGGGGACATCAACCCCCGGGTTGAAGTCTACCTGGAGTCTCCGAATCTGACCGAATCCAAAAATGGTTGGTCATTACCCGAACTGATGGTTGGTCACGGACCCATTTTTTGATTCGGGTCACATCCGGAGACTCCGGGAAAAGCTAATTTCAAGGAAGGCTTTCCACGGGCTCCGCTTACCGAGCCCCCGATGGAACGAGGACCCAATGCCGATTCGCTCTGCCAGCTGCCTATGACGTCGACTGCTTCCACGAACCACATCTGGCGGGTCGAGTGCACAGTCCCAGCCGAAAGACACGCCTCTACCGTGAAGATAGTCTGTTTCAGAGTAGTAATGCGCGCACATATACGGTATGTATATATTTATATAGCTAGCGATACCGTTATTTGATGTATTGTCTCCGGCAATCACCGTGATGATGCAAATGAAACGGATGGTGGCAATACTGGGAAAGAATGATACTGATGCGGTAAGATTCGGCGAACAGGAGGAGGATGAGAACAAAGAGGAGGACGAGAAGGAGGACGAGAAGGAGGAGGGGAAAGCAACCTTCAGGAATACATCCAGATCAAGTAGCCAAGTGTGGCCGGACAAAAAAACGCAACGTCAAACAGCTGGCTCCACGTTCTCTTCTGGAGGAATTGTCGCTTCTGGCCTTAGCCAATGCGGGCGCAGCCAAGCATCGTGGCAAAGCAACAGGGCTCGTCCAAAAGAGCTACAGCTGGGTGTGTCCTTTGTTTTTCTTGTGTGTGTGTGATTGTTCAGGGACACCAAAACAGAACACCACCATGTTCGGGGTCCCCACACCCAGCTATGACGATGGCAGTCAGTGAAAACCACAAGGCATCCAAAAGCTCCAGGAATGAACACGGCGGAAAAAGCGGTCTGGGGTTCTTGCTCCTGTACCCATCCAAGGGCCAAGTATGATGACATCCTCAATGTGACATGGGAGCAGCATACCTCTGATAGTGGACAAAAGGGATGGAGTCTGCGAATTATGGTCCGTCATCATGAGGTGCCACACAAGGTTTGACAATTCGGCTAGGTTGTTCAAAATGGGAGGATCCCCGAGCTTAAATTTATCCGCAATGGGTCACCTGCTGACATAAGGATCAATGAATCAAGGATTCATGCTGGACAATCCAGTTTGGCCACCCATGGCTGACCCTCAACGTGAGATGTTATTGTTTGTCTGACAAATGAGAATAATATCTGACTACCTGAATGCAGTCATGAACAATGCCAAACATCAACATGTTTTTCTAGGTTGTCATGTGCATTTCCCTCAGGCAGCACAATCGCTGTGTCCTGTAGTCAAAAACAATCGAAACAAATGTGCGAAACTCCAAACACAAACGAGAGTGTCTCAAAAAAAGGGACCAACCAAAATGATGGCTTCCCTGTTGGTTTCCCTTCAAACCAAGGTCAAAACGATACCCGCCCAAAACCACACACACACACGAGCACGAGCGCAAACCCGATGCAGGCATCTGGGCCCCATGGCGTCTCCACGTAAATGATGGCTGGCGCCTTGGGCAGCATAAGCTTCACAGACCATCCGTGAGTCTCTCTCTTTCTATCGCCTCAAATGAGTCTCTCACTTTAAAGGGGCCAAGGTGATGTTTGAAACCTCCAAAAGGGTGTGTCTTTTTGAAGCCTCCCCGCCCAAAAACAAGGAAACATCTTTTTTTCCTGTTGGTTTTCCTTTAAAACCACCACAACAAGGGTAGCCTGAGAACGCTCAGCAAAAGTGGGGAAGTATATAGGGACACGACCCCTGGCAGTGGGACCCGTCTGGTCCGCCCATCCCGCTCTGTGGTCCCGCGCGTCGCGGAGGCATTCCGTGCCCAAGCCCTTCGCGTCGGTGTCCGATCTGTCCGCCTGCACGCGCGCGCGATTCGGTGAGAAGATTGTTTTCTTGCTGCCTGGACCCCCAGTTCGGGTATAAAGACACACTGCCCAGTGCGGTTCTCGAATGTCGACATGTAAATCCTAGCTCCCGCTGGGTTCACGGCTCCCTCCAAATGTGTGCCCCAGGATAAGCGAAGGGCATGGTTGGACAAGAACCGAAGAGAACGCCGAGCGCAAGAAGCCAAATATAGCACCCCATCAACAATACATGTCTTATCCCAGCGAAAAGGTGACGCAGGTATTGTGCTGGGGAACTGTGACTTGGGTTGCACCCCCCAGCACTAGCAAAGGATGGCTTTGAATTACCATAGGCTTTGGGAACCTCCTTTAGACAGCGTCGAAAGGGACGGCAACAGCAGACCAACCATCTTGTTGGAACCACATGTTTTGGACACACCCATTTTGGTCCAACAAAAGCGCGGGCGCCGCGTGAGTGCGAGCAGTAGAAAAGACGACTTTTCGACAAGAGGCCCGTGCACTTTCACTGGGGTGATTCCAAACGGAGGATCCCCAGATCCGTAGGACACCACTACAAGGGAACCATGCGTCCTTCTTTGAGGGTACCCTGTTCTGGTGGCTTTAGAGGAAGCCAGAAGGAAGACCACCATTTTGGCGGCTCGCCTAAAAGAAGACATACAGTACCCATATGGCTGTGGGTCAAAAATAGGTTCCCAAAATGGCTTGCACTGGTAAATGGAACCAAAGACTAAAACCTGCGGTCCTATTCCTGGTGATTAATTTTGACCCAGACCCATATGGATGTGGGATTGACTCTGAACAACCCAATTCCATGTGTGTTGCCCACCGACGTGACCGCCTCACAGTCCACGCGCAGGCGGCTGCGGCCGTTCTGGGGTGGCAGCGGCAAACAGCCTCAGAAAGAAGGCCCCGACTTTTGAAACAGGTGAGGAAGAGAAGGCATCTGGAGGACGTTCCTATGTTCTTGGCACATGGGCATATCCCTGGCTTAATAATCAAATCCATCACAATCATAGCGCTGAACAGCATTATAAACACATTAAGAACAATAATCGATTTATCATGTTCATAGCCGTCATCGCAGTCATCGCCATTGCCATGGCCAGTGTCATATTCATACCTATACTCACAATAACAATAATCATAATCAGAAACACACAATCATAGTACAACCAATAATGATAATAACAAGGGTGGCAATAAAAATGAACATAGTAATGACAATGATAGTAATAAACAAGTAATGAATAATAGCTAATAGATAACAACTATTTAATAGTACAACAATAGTCATACTAATAATGATAATAATAATAATAACAATAATAAAGAAACTATTCATAATGATAATAAGATTCGTAACAATATACAACAAACACAATAAATCATTCTCATCATCCTCACCATCCCCATTGCTAGCGCCATCGCCACCTCATCATCAGACTTGATGCATGTGTCATGATCACTCTCTTCAGCGCCTCTTTTCTCGTCTCCAATGTGTCCTGGGCGGCAGCAGAATCCTCAAACGGAAGACATCTGCATGGCCTTGACTCACTGGCAGCCGCGACTGCTGAAGCCACTTCAGCACCTCCCGCTGGGGACGCAGCAGCGTCTCCTAGCTGAGGGGTCTAAAAAGGGACACTTGGGTAGTTGTGTAAAAAGGAGCTCAAGCTAACAAGGGAAAACTTTGTTACTTTGTAAAATTGATGATACACAAAGCAGGTTTCTCGTGGTCATGTCACCGTTTGCGAATCCTGTGAATACCTTTCATTTTCCTACGCCGATCTAGGCAAGGAGATCCAAAATGTTGAAGAGCCAAGAGTCCCCAACAACGCTAGGAGTCCAGAATCAAACTTGTACATATATATATATATATGAAGCCTTCTCTTTCCAAGCCACAAAATGGTCTCCTGCCAACGTCAAAGTAGTTCTCAAGTGGTAGGTGTCAAATGATACTGACTTCAACCAGCGTTAGATAGCTACAGCTAGAGCACGATGATTCAACAAGACAAAGGTCACCTAGTCATCAATCTGTTTGAAACCATGCAGAAAGCTGAGCCTGAACCTCCGATGGCAGTTGAAATAGGGAGCCATTTTTTCTCCCGCTGACTCTCTCACTGCCGGTCCGTACACAGGCCACAACAAATGTTGGTGTCCTAAGATGTCTTGCAATTCCAAAGCAAGCATCTGCAGAACCTGCAAGTGGTGCAAAGTATGTATTGTCTCCAACCATCAAGTTGCTTATTGAAAACGCTCGCGTCCTGATCATAAGTCACCAGCAGTCACCAACCCCCGGAAAAGAACAAACCAAAAAGGCTCCTGAAAGGAACCTTCAACATCTCTTGAGGTCGCAGAACATTTGCCCCAAATGAGCGGATCCAATTCCCCCTCCTCCTCCTCCTCCAACTGGGGCTCCACGGATGCCACCTGCACCTCCGGAAGGGCCCGGGGGTTGAAAATACGCATGTAGAATCGCTAAGCGAGACAGGCAGTTTCTTGGTTGACGTTGGGTTTGGGGAGCAAAACATGTTTTCAGTTTTAGCAGTTAAGTGGATTGGTATTTCAACCACTAAACCACAAACAAGCAAAAATGTAAAATGCTTGCCAAAAAAACAACCATGTTTGTTTGCCTGCTTGCCGGTAGGGCGAACACTCCAACACCCACTGCTCCAAAGAGGTCGAAAAAAAGGGGAACCAAAAAAAAACAGCCTTCAAACAGGATGTTTGCTCAATTACTGCCTCCGGAACCCAAACTGCCGAAAGTCGGCCTTGACCGAACGTCTGCTGTCAAGTAGGCACCACACCCCTCCCTCACAACTTGGTAGGCTTCAAACAAGCTCGTTGCTCCTGTAGATACCACATTTGTGTGCGTGTTTGGGTTTTTGGACATCCATTTTTCGAGCCTGGCTTCAAGGAAGCCAACCAACCTTTTTTTGGGGTTCCCTATGGACAACATTGGTTATGGGTTTTCTCTATTTATATATATAGGAATATATATATTAGAATATACATATATATATATACCTGGAGTCTGCCCCTTAAAAGATGGAGTTATTACCCAAATAATGGGGTCACCCATGTATTAGACATAGAGACAACCCCCTGGTCACACCCTGGCCGCTTTGCTCAGAACATTCCGCCCCCCCCCCGCCCAGATCCGCCGCTTCCGGCGAGAGCAGCGCCAGGATGCGGAACCAGGAAGTGGCCGGGCAGCTGAGAAGGCCAGGGGGAACCTCGCATGGGGGTTCCGGCGAAGAAGAGTACAAAAGGAGTACTACGAAAGAACACACAGGGGAAGAACAGTGGAATCCCACGAAAGGCTCATCCAATACCGGTGGTGTTGGGGATTCACTAAAAAACCACAGGGGTGGTTCATAGGGTTCATTCCTCATTCCCTGCCGAGCACCAGCCCGAAACTCTTGATGGGACGAAATCCAAATCGCACGCTTAAGAAAACCAACAGATATGATTTGATTTCCTAAAAAGACCAACAAACGCCATGGTGTCAACCGTTTTGTCAAAGTGGTTTGCAAGATTTCGCCCATCCACAGTACTGTAATGTGCTTGGACGAAGTCTGTTGGCACCATTCTTTGTCCATACCCTGGTAACTATTCATAGAGTTCCAGCCCAACCAGCATTTTGTCCATCGCAGTTTTTGTGTCTTGTCAAGGGTAGCCAACGGGATCCCACACTTTGAGAGGGTCTGCCTTTGACACACCCAGAGTTGCAAGCAATGATTGGCCGCCTCGGGTTGCTTATACGTATATATCGCAGTTTAAATTCCAAGAGGCCATGACCGTGCCAACCCCAAATACTTGGATCATTTTTTAGACCCTGGCACAAATGCGGATCCGGTGAGTACTTCCGGTGTGAAAGGTACTCAAGTTCCCCATGAAGCCCTTCGGTAATCATCGGTCTCATCTTCTGGTTTGCCGAGGCAAACTTTCTGTCCTTACTCTTCGGAGTGTCACTTCGTAACACTCTGATCTGCCCGAAAAGTTACTAAAAAAAGTCCAGCACCACTGTGTCGGATGGCCAGAGGCGTGACCACAGCAACCACATGTATTCAAGTCAAGGAAATCATCAGTGCCCGTGATTGATTGATTTTCGTTTCGTGGTTTCGAGTTTTGTCTGTTTTGGTTTTACCCACAAAAAAAAAACAAGATATCCGTAATCCAAATTCAATCAACTCCAAACCAAACCTAATCCTCCAAACCAACTCATCAGCTTCCCACTAATTGTGGTTTGGTGGTTGAGGGGAAAGTGTCCCATTTACCCTCCACAAAAGCCAAGGCTTCAAATTCCAAATCCAGACCACCAGTCGAAACCATCTAAGGCTTGCCTCCTGAAAATCGAAACTGCGGCCTTAAAAAAACAAGCGTGCCTCCTGACGCCAATCCAAACCAAGCGCCACAACTTCCCGCCACCAATTCGGCCTTGTTGGAGATCCAGCGGATCCAAGCACAGCTCCCCGAAGCCACCCTCAGCGACACCCAACCCGCCCGGGAACTCAAAGGGCTCCGAGGGTTGGATATATAAAAAGCAAATCAAGGAACCCAACACGGGTGTGTACACATATCTGAAATATATACGTCATGTTGGATTGAGCTCTGTATATATATATATATATATATATATCATAATATCAAGGTTTGCCCTTTGACATTGCCGAACCCGCATTGACGTACATTAATCAGCAGAAGCCCTACTCAATATCTACTCAGCGTCTCCCCCCCAACCAAAAATGAATTGAAATTTGATCCAAAACTCAGTGAACCTTCAACAATGTAAGATTATGTCAGATGATATCCCAGAAGTAAAACGAGTAGGACCATCTGCATCCGAAAATCGTGGGAATTTGGGCGAAACTTCCTGCCGTTTTCCTTGTATATCAGGTTCGCTTAGAAAACTTGGGCATGCGTTGTAAACCTCAAGCATGTACAAAATCTACCCGGAGTTTTCATGACCCTTACAAAGTGGGCCATGCCCCTCCCCCATTATTGTGGATACACGACCCATGTTTCAAAGGGTCATGAAGACTCCAAATACTAGGTCCTCCGCCAATAGAGAGGTTAGACTTAGGGTACCCTTTTTTTTCAGTAGTCTACTTTAGTAGGGGAACCCTCCCCAAACAAGTTGGGTGAGAGAAGTCGAAGTTGGGTGAGAAAGGGCACCAATTGCTGCGGGGGACCTAGAATATGTCCCTCTCCAACCCTTCCGGGAGCTTCTGCATGGCGCCTGTGCCATGTGGGCGGCAGCAGATGCGCGGGCACCCGGTCCGCGGTGCCGATGCAGAGCGCTAGCTGGGTGCCGAGGGAGAGCTGAGAGATGTCGTCCAAGGAGCCTTGGATCAAACTCCCAGCCTCCATGCTGCTTTAAGTCCCCTGGATAAAAATAACATATTTTTCCAGTAGTGATAGATTCCCTTTAAGATCAACAGAAGAAAAAAAAAAAAAAAAAAAAAAAACAAAAAAAAAAAACATATTCTTAACCAAATGGAAGCCAGTACCGGCCATTTGCTGGTTCGATAGGCAAGGAACGACCCGGGAAAAGTCCATCTTTTCTGGTTTCCTGCAAGGGAATCCTCAGGTTCATTCCCAAAACTTTGGGGCATTCCCTACTGAGAACCAGCAAGGTTTTCTTACACCCGCGCAATCCACTTGATGTCTGAGCCCATTCTGGGGGCTGGATTGTTGAGAGCCCGTTTTGGGTTTCTTGGGAGTTTGAGGGATTTTCTTGGACCACCCCCTCTTGAGGGATTCCAGAATCAGTGGACCCCAGTTGCAAGCCGCCGTTACGCCATTTGCCCAAAAGAGTTCCACCATAGTTCCCACAGCAGTCACCAATATAGTAAACTGTAGTAGTTACCCATCTCATTAAGGTCATGTACCCTTTTTGGGCTCAGACACCAACTTTGACACCTCGCGCTCCATGGTTGTAATTCCTACATGGGAACTCCATTGTTCAATTTGGATGCTTTTTGTTGTTGGCGTCCTTGCTGTTTTTTAGCTTTGCAGGGACACCAAAGAGAAAACCACCCATTTTGGGATCTCCCCAAAAAAATCACCCCTTTGTTACCCCCCCCCAAAAAAAAATAAGCTCGGGCGATATCCTCAACAGCACCACCCTCCCAGAATCCTCGCGGAACGCCCCGAAACCATCCTTACCGCCGGTGTTGCTGAGGATGCCGCCTTGTAAAGCAAAGCTACGAGTGACAGCGCAATCTCGCCCTGATCGGGGCCCGACGGCGCAATCGGGGCCCGATCGGGGCCCGACGGCGCAATCGGGGCCCGATCGGGGCCCGACGGTGCAATCGGGGCCCGATTGGGGCCCGACGGCGCAATCAGGGCCCGATCGGGGCCCGACGGTGCAATCGGGCCCCGATCGTCCCGTGGTGCAACCCCAGCCACCCATTATTGTAGCTCAACGCCGGTTTTCCTTAGCATGCGGATTGCAACTGTATCTATAGCAAAACTATAGGCGATGCCAGCTTGGTACAATTAACGGGGCCCCGATCGGGGCCCGACCCGATCGGGGCCCGACGGTGCAATCGGGCCCCGATCGTCCCGTGGTGCAACCCCAGCCACCCATATTATAGCTCAACGCCGGTTTTCCTTGGTCCATTTGGCGGGGCCCGACTGAGTCGGGCCCCGATCGGGGTGCGATGGCGCAATCGGGGCCGATCGGGCCGAAACGGTGCAATCGGGCGGGCCCCGATTGCACTGTCGCCCGGTGAACCTCGCAAACCGTTCTCACGCAACTTTCGTGGAGCTTAGCGTGAAACTTTGCTGGAACCTTTCCTCAGGGCTGCCCTATAGCTTTTGCAGAATTTGGTGGATACCTTCTGACCTCATAGCCCTCGCAGCCTCGTGGAATTCTTGGAACCCAAAGCCCACAGCAATGCCAAGCATTTACTCTGCTGCACCGTGAGTTCCGCAGCGACGTGATCTGATTTGCCACAAAGCCAACATTTGCCTGAGCAAGTGAGCAAGTCACAAAACAGTGAAAGTGTGCTAAAAACCATTGATTTCGGTTTTGCTTTGTGTTCCGCCCATGAGCAAAGCGATCTTGATCCGATGGCTTTTCAGACAACGGGCGCACGACACAATCTTGGTGGAGCATTGTGGAGCCTTGTGGAACCCGTGTGGAATCCTTGCAGAGCTTTGTGGAACCCTGTGAAACCTCAGCCACAGCCCTCGCAGAATCTTGTGGAACCCTGAAACCCTCATACAACCTTACCTCAAACCACCCCGGACCACCCCGCAGCCCTCGCAGAACCTCGTGGGACCCTGCTAGAACCGTGCTGGAATGGAACCTTACCTTGCAAAACCTGGTAAAATTCTGGTGGAATTCTCATGGAACATTGCCTCAAACCAGCCCGGACCGCTGGTGGAACCCTGGTGAAACCCTGGTGGAACCCTCGTGGAACCTTCCCCGGACCACGCCGCACCCTCGAAGAAATTGGTGGAACCCTGGCGGAACCCTCGTCCGGAGCACAACGGGCTGGTGGAAACCTGGTGGAACCCTCGTGGAACCTTACCTCAAACCACCCCGGATTACCTTGCAGCCGTGGTGGAACCCTTGTGGAACCTTACCTCAAACCACCCAGACCACCCCGCAGCCTGGAACTCTGGTGGAACCCTCGTGAAACCTTCCTCAAACCCGCAGCCCTCGAAGAAATTGGTGGAATCCTCGTGGAACCTTACCTCAAACCACCCCGGATTACCTTGCAGCCCCGGTGGAACCCTCGTGGAACCTTCCTCAAACCAGACCACCCCAGCCCTCGAAGAAATTGCTGGAACCCTGGTAAAACCCTCGTGGAACCTTACCTCAAACCACCCCGGATTACCTTGTAGCTGTGGTGGAATGCTCGTGGAACCTTACCTCAAACCACCCAGACCACCCCGCAGCCTGGAACCCTGGTGGAACCCTGGCGGAACCCTCGAACCCGCAGCCCTCGAAGAAATTGGTGGAACCCTGGTGGAATCCTCGTGGAACCTTACCTCAAATCACCGCAAACCACCGCAGACCACATTGCCCTTGCAGAACCTGGTGGAACCCTGGTGGAACCCTGATGGAACCCTGGTGGAACCCTGGTGGAACCGCTGGTGGAACCCTGGTGGAACCTTAGCTCAGGGTCGCCCCGAACCACCCCGAAACCTATCTGGGCTGAGACCCCAAAGCTTTCAGCTGTTGGGGAAAAAAAAACACTCAGACCCAGTTCTTTGGCTTGCTCTGATCCCAAGCAAGCTTTAGCAGGCAGCCAGCTATTTGCCTTGTCATTTTGGTCTTGAAAGGGAAATATGATCCCTAGGCTGCCGGAACCCGGAAAGAAATGCGGGGGGGGGGGGGGGGAAGCTTTGAAACACATGCATGGTTCACCTATGTTTTTCAATCATTGCTGGGCAACTATGACTTGGGCTCCTACCATGGATAAACTGTCAGGCGGTCCTCATGAAATAGCCCTTGGCATGTCTGAAACTTCTGTCCTTTCCTTCTTCCTCCTTCGCACCAAACTTCGGGATCCTCAATGCGCCCCAACTGCCCCACGGGCCCCCACGGTGGGAAGTGGCTTCACCAGCGAAGTGTGGCAGTTGCCCCGCGTCTGAGGCCAAACAATTTTTTGGGGCTGACCAAATGCATACGCCAGGCAAGCGTTTGGGCCCTGACCTTTGGTCGCTGATGACCTCCCAGGTGAAATCGGCACTCCGCAAAGTCTCCGGACATTGGGAAATCAAATGGCAAACATCTGGCTTGAAAGGCGTGGGGATCTCCTATTTTGAGAAACCCATTGACCGCACTCCTCAATTCGTGGATTGGCCCAAAACAGTCCAAACGTGCGGGCCCCCCAATCAAATAAAATAGTCTCCCCCCTATCAAAAATCCAGACAAAAACACTTTCAGAACACTTTCAGAACACTTTCAGAACACTTTCTACGATGAGATTCACTCCACCCAAGCCGAAGCTAAAGCAGGTCAAGGAGATAACACCACCTAGCCACCCGACTTATCAGGTGAGTCATAATCAAAACCCGGCATTCAAATGGTCGACCCAGAACCATGTAAAGTATTAAGAAGGCGGCCGCAGCAATTTATGGTTGGGATTGTCCCTTGCTAAATACCCGGGTTCTGATTGTGACTCAGGTACCAAATCAAATGGGACCATGACCCCAATAATTTTGGGTATGACCAACCATTTTTGATTCGGGTCAGATCCGGAGACTCCAGGTAGCGACCCCAGCACCGTGCCCCATCAGCCCAGGGCGCCCAGCGAGTGCAGCACCTCCTTTGGCGAGCGCAAGAAGTCCAGCGCCCAGAGGGAGGTCACTAAAGCGGCTGCCACCTGACTCTCGCGTGGCTGGCGAAATTTGGGCCATGTGGCTCGAAAACTGGTTCCAACAAAACGGGCGTGGGTCAAAAGGTTAACCCCAAATGAAATCCTGATGAACGGAAACAAGGACTAAATCCTGGGGTCTTATCCCTGTGGTTTAATTTTGGCCCATACCCAAATGGCGCCATTGTAAATGGACCCAAAGACTGAATCCTTTGCCATTGGATCCACAAGCAAAATGCACCAGTTGGTGTGATAATGGGTGGCCTCTTATTCTTCACCAGTTGGGATTGGTGGCGAATTAAAAAAAGGGTTCATCCATGCTAGGCGGTGCGAAGTGATTTTCGTCCACCACAGCTTGGGCGGCGCTATGTGGGGTTGAGGTAAAGGTTCGGTAGACCTGGGATGACCATTGGGTGGAAAACGATCAATATTTGACATTTCAACCAAGTGGGAGAAGTTACCTGTGGTCTGGGGGGGCCGAAGGGAATATTTACCAACCCCCCATGTGCAGGATTGGCCATTGGCTTGGCCCGAAGTTCTGTAGCATGTTACGACTCTTTATAATTAACCAACCCTTTGGTTCGCCAACTTCATTGTGAGTTTGGGTTGATTGGCCCGGCACCCAAAGCTAGGCATAGAGTGACTATTGGATGAGCCATGATTATTCATTCCCCCCGTTGCTTGGCTGCGACTCCTTTGTTTGCTGCAGCCCCAAGGGTGGAAACAAATACAGGGATCCCAAACTGGGTGGTTGTTTCCCCTTGACAAACAAACAACAAACAGGCTTCGTCGTTGAGGGGAAAGGGTACACACGTTCAACCAATAAGTGAAGGTGAATGCCCTATTTGAGGTCATTAGGAAGGGCGCACCACCACGTCCTCCGATGCTATCACCTTCAGAACACCCTCCAGTTGCAGGGGTGCCAATATCTTCTCTTTCAACATCACCAAAGAGAAACTCACTTAGAATGGTCCCTTTAAGGGGCCGCAAACAGGTGGCATTTGTTCCACGGCTGATTGGTCTGCCTGAACCAACCCACACCAACCCCGAAGCTCTCCATCGATTCAATCAAGCCACCCGCGTCGCTATCATGTCCCCAACCGGAACTCCTGGCAGCTCGCCAGCTGCCTCTTTAAAAGCAATAGGGGTCATCTACCAATTTGGGGTCATGACCCCAGAAGGAGTCTCCACGTACAAGAGCCATACTCCAGGTACAAGAGCCATGGCTTCGAACCCCCAAACCACCATCCACCCCCCCCCATCCACCGAGGACTTCCCTCAGATCTCGCGAAGTACCCGCGCCAAGCGGCCTGGGGCGTTTGCTCGGCGATCTGCCGTTGGGCCGCCCGGATCAACGCCTGTTCTCCCCGAATTGCCCCGATCGGCAAACAAAAGGAAGCCAATACCCCCAGAAGCCCCCAGACCCGTTTTTTTTCTTCTTTTTTCTCCAAGGTCTGCTGGGGGCATGTAGACAGACATATTTAAGATCTTGGGATAGGGATAGGGAAACTAAACCCAAGAGAAAGGAAAACAAACCAAAGGAACCTAATGACACTGTTCAACGAGGTGGTTTTTATCATCTTGAGGCCCAAAGCAACACTGTTCATTGGCGAAATGACGTCCACGTCGGCTTGGTCGCTTGGTGGAAAAAGAAAGAGGACCCAATAGGAGAGCAAAACCAAAACCCAGGACAACAATCAACATTTACCCCTTTCTGATTTGCTGATTTGACTGGCCAAACAATGCATTGAACTGTGTTTCCCACTAGACTGATCCAAGCCAACCAGCGACAGCAAACCAGGGAAAACAAAAAAAAACACCGAATACGAACTGCCAGGAACCAAAAGAAAACAAACAATACGTACTAACAACAAAAAAAAACTACGTACCTTCCTTTAAGAGTTGCACGCTCTGGAGGATTTCGTGGCAACGTGGACAGGAGTGTGCCCTTTTGGTTGGATGTCCGGCCAAGTGGTTAGCCGAGTTACCCCCCAACAGTAAGTGGGTTGTAGCCCAGGTTACCGTTGCAACTTGCTAACTTGGCCACGAACACTCAGCTTCCCTCTAATAAGTGGTTTGGAGCCCGGTGGTTGGGCGGTTAAGGAGAGGTTTCTCATTTACGCTCTACAAGACCGGGGAAGAAATCCAAATCCAAACCTCCAATCCAAGCCAACCAAGGGCCTGGCAGTGTCTGTTTTGTTGATGCTACCCCTTGCTTGGCTTGAACGGGAACCAACCGGACACCCTTCTCATTTTGGTGGGTACCATTCCAAGGGTGGGTCCAAGCTGACGGGTTACCTGAAACGTTCAAGGCCCAAGCCGTCCGGAATAAATGAGCAAGTATGTCCAGAAGCGAAATCGATTCCCTTCAACACCAAAACCGGGGAATGTATAGGACATATTCATTTCAACTATTCCCTTGAACACCAAAAAGGGAAAATACACATACATATATATATATATGTATATATACATATATATATATATATATTACAGCGAATGGAAGCCAAAGGCTCTCCAAAGTTCCCCAACAGAAGCCGCGCCTTGGGGGGCCGGAACTGCGCCTTCGCCAGGCCTTGCAGCGCGGCACCCAGCGCTGGGCCGGGAAGCTCCTTCCGACGGAACGTGCCGCTTACACTCCGTGGCTTCCAGTTACTTGTCTTGTTTTGGAGCTGGTACCCCTTTTTGTGGCAAAGGGAAACCAAGAGGAAAACCGAAGCTATTGGGGGTCCGCTTCCTAAAAAAAAGAGGACCGGCCATTTTTTCCCACTGTTGCAGTGCTTCCAGTGGCCATTATACTAGTGAATTACTGGGAAAAGCCATCATGGAACACCTAGAGGTAACAGTACCTGGCTACCTGCTATATATATAGAGGTACCCTCCGCCAATTAACATGGAACCCTTCGATGTTTTGGGGGTCCTTTAAAAGGAAGATGGTCCAAACCAGGACCGATTCCCCGAAACCTCGAACGGTTCCATCCAAGTTATTTGGTGTACAATGGTAATTGGAAGCACTGTGACAGCGAAATGGGTATATATTCTCGTGTCCTTTTTTTAGGAAGCGGACCCCCAATAGCTTCGGTTTTCCTCTTGAATTCCCTTTACCACAATGCGGCGCACTTCTTTAGGCTGACGGCAACCAAAAGAAACACCAAAGAAGCAACCCCCCCATTTGTTTTGTGCATCTTTTTCTAGGAGACCTCCAAAAGGGCAATTTTCCTATCATACAAGCGGGGACCTCGAAATGCACAACCCAGCGGATCCCAGACGCCATTATCGTGGGTGATCATACATTTTCCTTTTGAAACTGGAAAGATCTGCCGCCTGAAAAAATGACAAACTATGTCCAGTAGCGAAATCGATTCCCTTGAAAACCGCAAGAGCAACAGGTGTCTTCTTTGAATCAACAAAAGCTGTTTGATTTGTTTAAACATTTCAGCAAATGGATTATTTTCAGCAATGGACAGATCTGTTTTACTGCTTCCTCCAGGGCGCAGAAGGCTGGCACCAGGTGCTCGAGCTCCTCGACGAACCCTGCGCGCCCGCAGAGCGCCACGAGCCGCGCTGAGGTGACGAAGTCCTCACGGACATGGCCCGGAGCCGGACCTTTTGGACGTCTGGAAACCCGGGGAGAAAATGAGCCATCTCTGTTAAAGGGGGTTGGTTCACTGGGAGTTTTGGGGGGTCTGGGAACAAATATTATACATGTGTATATGTAACACATGTCATTTTGTCATGGGCGCGGGGGGGGTGTTTGTTTTTTGTCACCCCCTAGTCAGGTCAGCTACCCTTGAAAGCCTTGGGGTTCACCACTTGGGGCATGTTTTTGTTTCTGGGGAGGGTGAGGTGGATGGCTCAGTTCCCTGGGAATGGTGCCCTCTTTCACCCAACTGTACCCGGTATGTAGGAAACCAAGAATGAAAACCACGAAATGTGGGGGCTTCAAACAGGGATGTTCAAGTCCCGCCAAATATGCCCAAGGGGTTTTCTTTGGTACCCTTTGATGGTTTTGAAGAGCTGAGAGTTGAATGGGTGAAATAAAATCTGAGGAACCAGGTGTTGGCAGCACAACGCCGAACGGAAACCTTGATTGATCCCTTCGCCTATCAATAAATGGCCCACCACAAATTTCCAAATGCTCAAGTCGGGGAGGGGGGTATAATATATCAGGGGGAGTGGCCTCTCGTCACATTTGTTCTTTGCCAAGAACAAAACAAGCATAGCCTGAGCCAAAGCTGAGGGATTGTAGGAAGTAAAGACAAGCAGAGTGTGGATCAAATGAGAGTGGCTTTTCCTCTTCGTGGTTTGTTGATTGCTTGCTTAAAATTGTATGTGTCTTGGGATATGTCTTCAATATCTCTAAACTCTACCAGTAAACAACTAAAGCGTTAGGGTATGTATATATACATGTGTCAGCTTTTGCCTCTAACCCAACCAACATGTTTGCTGGTCAACAGGTACAACAGCAACTGTCAAAATGGCAAAGGTCCCAGCGACATTTCTCAGTCACTGCCTCATGATCTTCCGGTCGCTACCGGTGACAACCCCCGTGGATCCCAAGTTCCATTGCATCCCTTCTAGGTCCTCCAGTAGAGAGGTTAGAATAAGGGTACTCGTTTTTTTTTTTTGTGTGTTTTTTGTCTTCTGTAGTCTAGTTTAATAAGGGAACCTTCCCCAAAAAAAAGAATCGGTAAAAGGGCACTGGACCTGGCCTTGGCTACTACCCGCGGCCATGGGCATCCCAAAGGACGCCGGTCCTCTCCGCTACGCATCTGCCACGAAAGCGAGGCCACGAGCTCGCGCGAAGGCAGGAAGCCCGCCAGCACCAGGTGATGAAGCCTATGGCGCCCATTTCAGATACGCAGAACTACTCAGCTCCTTGGTGATTTGGAGCCGAATCGGTTGTTTGGTGGTGACATTGGTGGGGCTTCCCATTTGCTCTCTGCAAGAACCAGTTCACATCCCCAAACCACCAATCCAAACCACCAACTAAGGTCTAGCTGATCAGCAGATTGGCCAAACAAGTCCCAACTGTTTGCTTGCCACTCACATGGTCTTCTCAAAAACTGTAAAGTCCAGGAGCTCAGGGAGTGATAATACCCTAAACAAAGCTTCGAAGGGGCAACAAACAAATCGATCGCCCCCTCAAGGACATTACTTTGCAAACATATGTTGTTTGGATAGTCCTCCATTGATTCATGAAACCTGAGCCCCATGAAGAAAAACCTCCAGGATGGCAATGAAGAAAGGGATGATTTTTCTTGAGGTTTGTGTTGCATCAGCGGTTGCGGTTTCCTGAAGGCTTAAGGAGTGGGAGTTGTAAGTGTGCCTGGCAACGAGACACACAAGGCTGGTTTGCCTTTCGGTGTCCATTGCAACCAAAAAGCGTACCAACTCATAAAAAGACGAGCCACCCATTTCGGCCTAGGGAGCTCCTTGAAGGAAACCAGGTTCACTTCGAGGTTCCCTCATTCCCTGAAAACTGTGAAGATTTCTGGACGACATGCCCCGTTTCTCACGGGTTTCGGTGCAGTGGATGTGTAACCCGGCTAGCTGCGCTAAGTCAGGTTGGAAGGATGTTCTAGGATGTCGAGGTCCTTGTTTGCAAACTTGGGCTGTTTTCCAAAGGTCAGAGGAACCAATCCAATGAGCCAATGAAAACCTGGGAAGGAGGTTGGTAAGAAACGGTCTCAACCATGAATCTCCCTTTTGATCTGTTGCATATCTTTTGGGGTGGACCATTTTAATACCAGGTGTTCATTGTGGCATATAAGGGTCCCCAAATTTCCCTGTCTTCACATGGGGGTGTCGATTTTTTAGGTTTTTTTAGGGTACCAAATTTTGGGTTGGTTTCAACGGGAAACTACCTGGAGTCTCCATGACCCTTTCAAGATGGGTCCATGACCCCATTATTTTGGGTAATGACCCATTGTTCAAGGGTCAGATCCGGAGACTCCCGTTAGAAGGAAAGAAAACCCACATATGTTTTTCTGGGTCCCCGCAAAAAGGAGCCACCCAAGTTGGGTCATGGGGCCACCAGTCAGAGCCTGGACACAGCACCACGCAGCTCTGCAACTCTTTGGCCTCCGCCACCGCCTTCTGACAACTCCTCAGGCGGAGAGAGCCGTCCAGTCGTTTAAAGAGCCAAGTGGTCGGGTGGGTGGGGGTGGGGGGGTAATGGTGGACACTTAGGGTCTATGTTGCAAACTCCTTCATTTAGAGTATGGGTGCTTTTTGGGGTTTGGCTGCAACACATACTGCAAGTGTCCATGGCACGAGGGGGAGGGGGAGGTGAAACAAATAAGACATGAGGTGCGAGGGGGGTGAACAAAAAGGGGGGGGTGGTGAACCAAAGGAAGAAATGAGAAGGGGGGTGAACCAAACCAAAAAATGAGAAGGGGGGTTGAACAAACCCAAATGCGAGGAGGTTAAACCGAATGATAGGGTCGGGTGAACGATTAAAGAAGGCGTGCAAGTTATCTTCAAAACCAATGCTTGGAGTTTCCATGACCCTTGAAGCCTGAGGTTATCTAATGTTTAAAGGGTCAGAAGGAGATTCCAGGGTGGCTTTTACCCTCCAAGAGCCAGCTCCTGGTGTATTTGTGTGTTTCCGCATATCGCCTCTTCCCTTACTTTCCATCTTGTAATCAATGAGGGCAACGTAAAAAAAGAAGAAGAAAAAGACGAAGACCCTCCAGTTGGGTCGTACAAGTTCCAAGAAACAAGGGAAACATAACGCTGCTTGGAGCCCAACACGTTGACACACCGAGAGCCCCTACTTGGATGTTCAGTTTGCCAATAGCAAGCAGGACATAGCTTGTAACCATGGATATCCATGGTTGTAAGTCAGTCAACCCCGGTTTTATCCATGCTTGTCCCCCTTCTAAGCGCGGTTACAATCAACTTACCGAACAGGTTACACATCCAAGTGTTCAGACTCCCCCAGATGTGAAGCATGGCCATACACTCAAACAAACTGGTTGAAGGGGCTACTCCCAACACACAACCCCCCCAATCGTTACGCCTATGTGCAGGGAAACCTTCGTTGGTTACGCATGCTCTCAGGGGAACAACTGGTTTTGGCCATCAATCGAAAGTCCTTCAATTTGTATCAAATTGCTATTTTCAGAGAAAGAGCAACAGGGATGGTTTCCTTTTGGTTGCCCGTTAAAGCCATCCAAAAAGGGCACCGTAAAACAAGACACGCCCAAAAAACCATGGGGCATACGCCCGGCGTTCCCATTTGGATGCCTCGGCACCCAGCCAAGGCCTGCAGAAGTGGAGGGCTCTTCTCGACCCCAAGAGGTCCCAGCAGTGACCACAGCGCCTCGGGGTGACGTGGGGCGACCAAAACGACGGAGCTCTCGGGGCTGATTCCTCGTCCATTCTTTTCAACCATCGTTCTCTTAACAAAATCAGCTCCGCTTTCCCGTTTTCCCTGGGATTCCGGAGAAGGATCCCTGGAAAGAATGGGGAAGGTACCCTTCGAGAATCGTGTGTCGTGAGTTGGTCGCCTCGGGTGGAGAACCCATGACAAATGCCGGAGGCTCCGCGAACTTCACTTCCGCAAAAAGAGAAACAACCAAGACACACACACACAGACAAACAAACGCACACTCACACAACACACACACACACACACTGGCCAGGACCAGCTGCTGTTTCTCAAGACAACCAGATAGTCTGAGACTTGGAGCAACTATGTTCATGCTGCGGGTGTGTGCTTTTGCTTGGGAGAACCCCTACGCTTGGCTCAAGGTGGTTTTGACCCGGCCCCAAATCCTTTCAACGACGCTCTTCAGGGTTCCCTACATTTCTCCCTACATTTCCCCCTGAAACTATAATATCCAAAAGGGAATTCACTTCAAATGGCCCCAAAAGGGTGATGTTTGAACACCAACCTAGGCGCAATCTAAGAGAACCAGCCTCCAGCCACGCCCCCCGCGCACGCGAAGGCCGAGGTGCCAGGGCCTCGCTGGGGGCCAGCAGTGCGCAGGGCCGCGCCAGCGCAGAGAGCACCGGCGCCAAGGCCTTGGGAGGTTGCCGGGGCCAATGGTCATGGGGGCTGGGGGTGAGGGAGCAAAGGGGGAAGGGAGCCCAAATAAGCTGTAAATAAGCTGATTTACAGCTTACTTGGGCTCCCTCCCCCCTCTGCTCCCTCCCCCCCAGCCCCCATGAAATGGGGGGGGTTGTAAGGGAAGGCTTGCCTTACGCCATTGTGCGCAACCCTGAGTTCCGAGTATGGGTTTGTATCAGCTTTCGACAACTGGTGGAGCCCCCAAATGGCTGGCGTCTCCTCGATTTACCATCAACCCCAAACAAACGCCATCATCTATTAAACAATCTATTTAAGCAACAGACAACACATAAACAAAAAAGGAACCGTAACTCCAAACATCCACAACACCTCCCACACTAACCGCCCGGGTCTTTGGATCTCTCGGCTTCGATCGGTCGAGACCAATCGATCCTGGGGCTTCCTGAGCGCAACCCGCCAGCGCAGCAGCGCCTCGCAGATGGGCCGCAGCAGCTGCGGAGTGAAGTCCCCACACCGCCGACTCAGCGATTTCAGTAGCGCCTACGAGCCGCGCCGAAGGCTTCCAGCGAGACGCGAGAGGCGAAGTCAGATGGAGTTCGATCCGTTCGGGGGAGCGCTTTGGGGAAAAAGTGAGAGAGAAACGCTGTTGCCACAGGTGTCCTTTGGGGAAAATAGATGGCCGGCCATCTACTAAAACAAACCAAAAGGTATGTCAGTTGGTTCATCTTTGGGCAAACTGTGTGCCGATATTTTAGACAGGTTCCTTCCCCAGCTTTGAAGGGAAGCTGTGGGTGAAACACACTCTAACATATATTCACCCCCCTGTGGCTTCCCCTCAAGGGGAGATTGAACATTGACTTGACCACATCAACACCCCATCAGTTGGCCTTTACGAGACATCAAGTTCACATGGTTACACGTTAATTATCACACTCTGATTGCTCAACACATATTTTTTCCCCATAAATCATCACCCCTTCCAGGGGTGCTTCGAACCACCAAACAAGCAAACATATAGGAACCCCTCTCCTGGGCGCGTCCACGGTCTCAGGTCACCGGCAAAGGCTTCAGTCCGTCTACCCGCCTCACCACTTTGACACGTAGAATCCTTCCAAAGGTTTGTGCTGACACAAACAGATATGACATCGCAGCATGACTGAATTATACCTTCGTGTCTTCTTAAAATTTAATTTGGCTGTGGCTCAAAAACATGTACTATGACTAAAACCCAGCGGTAACCCCTAGTTCAATTTTGAGCCACACCCATTTGGAGAGAGGTTTCGGGGCCCGACCTCCTGGGCACAAGGAGCTCACCAAGCTAGCTGCCTCTGAGACATACAGCACATTTGCCCTGGAAGACAATAGCACGATTGCGCCACTGTCAGAACAGCTGATCTGAGGGAATGGTCAACCAGGTGCATGCAATTCTGATGGATCAAAGCCAAATACAAAGGCACTTTGATCATGCATGTGACTGACACTTCCAGAGCGCAAAGGTGAAACCATGTGGTTGGCTGTGTCAATCTTACACTCGCCAGTCCAGTACACATGATTACGATCGCTTGAGAAGCTTGCATGCCTCTAGCATGCCTTTGGCCGGCCCATACCTTTAGTGCTTTTAAACAGCTGTTCTTTCCCCAACTTTCTTTTCAGGGCTGCAGTTGCGCGGCAAGTCTCTAACAGAACCCTTTCATGGTTGATGCCCCCCAGTGATGAGAAGCTGCCAATGAACGATCCCTTTTGCACCGGGAGATAACACATTGCAACGGGAGGCTCGACCAGGCGCAACTCGGGCACATTGCGTTTGTGCTTGCACAATGCAGCGATTGGGCCGCCGGTTGAGGTAGGAATCCTGTCAACTCACGACTCACAAACTGGACATAAGATGAAACAGGCACAAGAACCCAAACCCTCAAAAAACTCCCTCAAAAGTTGTTCTTTGGTGCAAAAGTATGGGGCAAACTTTTTTTTGGAGGGTAGTTAGGAAGTTATCATGGCTTCTCGCTAAGCCCCGGATCCGTGTTGGAACTGCCAAATTCCGGGCGCCTCGGCAAGCTCCTCCTCGGCTGCATCGCCAAAGGTGCCCAGCGGATGTAGCAACACCTGAGGTGCCGCGAAAACCAGCCACGAAGCCAGGGCCCAAAACTGGCCCTCTGAGCAAAAGGTTGTTCACCTGTAGGTTTATTGGAAAAGCCAAATGTGTGCCCCAAACAAAGGATCAGCCATGAAATGGGTGTACTTCAGGGGGGAGACCCGCTGTTGAAGAGTCATGTTGTTGGGACAGTGATCGCAAACGTGTGCTAAACACCTACCTGGAGTCTCCTTATGACCCGAATCAAAAATGGGTCTATGACCCCATTTTGGGTCATGACCCACCATTTTTGATTCGGGTCATGGACTCCGGGTATTATGATAAAGTGACCCCTCAGTTTGCTTGGGATTAATGTTGCAACCTCGAGCTCGAGTTTAGGGTTTGTCTTCACATTTAACTTGTCCTCAAGCCCTCAGTTTAGTTTTATGGGGTTTAGGTTCAACTTGGACGCAATGCCATTGCATGGGGTCTTTCGATGCGTGGCACATAGATAACGCACATACGGGGTGTACATGCTACAACATTGACAGGGACGTAGGATTCTGGCCGTGCGCGTCCCCCAGGAGAACTGCATCCGGGCACACCACAAGTGCTGGTCGATAAACATAATTACATGAGTCAATATGTCGAATTGAAACCATCAAGTTCAATTAAGCAGCTCTCAAATGTGGCAGCAATGATGATTGGCAAAATGTAGTACTCACCTCCGGTCATAGCTGGGCCCTAAACTCAGAGGTACACACACACCAAAGAAAACTGCAGCATAGTCAGAGTCTACTTCGTATTTTGTCCGCCTCATATTGTCCGCCCTAAAATACAACATTGGACAAGACCCCAAACCTGCGGATGGTCACCCTATTCAGTATTATGGTTACAAGTTGCCACCATGATGGCTATGAGTGGGATAACCGGGCTTGGCTGACTTGTAACTATGGTCATAACCTACTGAATAAGCAAGCAGGACATCCAAGCAAATCCATCGCCAAGCTTCGGCGCGGCACAGCACTGCCATTTCCTCTGCTCCCAAATTCGCAGCCTGCGCCGCCAAGCGCCGCGCCAACGCGGGCCACACCGCGGTCTTCCCAGTGCCGAAGGACAAGGCGAGATCCGCCAAAGCTCCCGGAGACAGCTCGGGCTCCTATCAAATTTGCGGATATGGGGGTGATCCCTGTTTTTTTTGGCAAATGGCCACTTTTTTTTAAAGGCAGGGTACTCCAGAGATATTGTTTGTTTTTCAGGGAACCCTCACCTGGGTGATTTTCCTTGAGTTTTCTCAGGCCCAGAAAGGGGACCTGGGCCGGGCACTCTTTCTCCTTCGGTATTGCTTCTGCGTGAGTGGTTGGCTTTTGTTCTCTGGTATTTCTGAACATATGTTTTTGGGTATGGAGCTATGACTCTTGTCTGAGAAAAGTAGCATCTGGAAAGAAAAAGAACACCAGTTGCCTGGAGTCGTTGCTCTGATCTTTTGAGCAACGCGGAGAACCTGAAATGCACGCTGTCGGGTCAGGATACCAAGCCCGCTGTCTGGGAATTCCCTCTATAATTGTCACTTTCCCACACGGGTCGCTTGCGGTGATCATCCAAGTTATTGCCAGTGGTGCAACTACGTAAAGCTGCATATGGCAGTTTCTCCCAACTGGTCAACATCGGTTGAGCTGTGGACGCATTGGACCAAATGGACAACATGTCAACCTTCAGGTGTGTGCGTGTGTCAATGTAAGAAGACACCAAAACTGTGGCGTTCCTTATGGTTACCAGCTGAAAAGAGTACCCTCACAACAAACACACACACACACACATGCATCCACTCTCGGGTTATTTTAGGATTGCTGGGTTCCTCTGGATAAATCTGATGTGCATAACTGGTAGTAACGCGGCTAAGCTGTCAATGATACAATTCGTCTACTCTCAGAGTGGATGACGTAAACCTGGCCGAGCTACTTTTGATTGGGGGTTGGCAGGCAGCTACAGATTGTTGTTCCAAGCGCAGAAACAGGGATGGTGTTGAAATGTGGGACGCTGTGCCCTGAAATGGTGGGCCCAACTTTTTATTCATTGAGCGTGTGATCAGTGGCTGCTGAGCCGACCCAAGAACATCCGCCACAGTAGCTACCGTGCCACTTGTTGCTTGTTCCCCCCCCAGGAGGGTTCTGAGACATGGGACCCCAAATATACAATCATGTCCCTTTGGTTTAACTTTAACACATGTGGATTCAATCGGGTCACAGTGGACTCTTCTGCTATACGACCCAAAAAAACGCCCAATCAAAATGAGCGTCGAGGTGATGTTTGCAGCGGAAAGAAAACTTGGGCCAAATGGAGGGTTCCCCCCTCTAGGTCCTCCAGTAGAGAGGTTACAATCAGAGTACCCTTTTTCTACTTTAGTAATTAGGGGAACTCTCCCAACCAAAAATGAAACGGTAAAAGGGCACCTAGCTGGGGGACCTAGCCCTGTACGGCCCGACTCCCCGAACCCTCCTTGTCCACGCGCAGGGCCAGGGCCCGCCAGGCCCTCTTGTCCGAGCACTCGCAGAGCGCCAGGTAGCGCGCGGCGTCTTTCAGGGACTTGGGGCTCCACACCGAGTCCCAGTCCTACGGCAGCCTTGATAAGGAGCCCTGATAAGGAGGCTTATAACAGGGATCCTTACATTATACACCTGAACATTGCCTTGTAAATTGTGAGTTTCCTGTATTTTGATGGAAGAAGCCATGTTTCAAATGGGGAACATGTATCTTATTAAGGAGCCCTGTATAAGGAGCCCTGTATAAGGAGCCTTATAAGGAGCCCTGATAAGGAGCCTTATAAAGGAGCCTTATAAAGAGGCTTGTCTTTCGAAAGAAAACTTCTGGTATCATATATTTGGGATTTTCGCCTTCTCACTATCAGCATAGACACGAAGTCGCCGCTGGAGGCGTTCGGCTCGAGCGGCGCTTGCGGCGATCTGTGGGTGTGGGTTCCAGCGGCATTTTTCACGCGACCCGAAGGGTAGAACAAGGATGGCCGGCCAAATGTCTCCGGATCTGAGCCCTGGAAAAGGGGGGGAGCATCTGCCAAAAAAGAAGTGAGAAGGTCCAGGACCCCGTTTTGGGCCTGTTGGGGGAACCCGCGCAAAAAAGGAGAAAGTCTGCCACTGGGCTCATGGTTTCCCACAACAACCTGCACCGAATATTCGGCCAAGCCGTTGTCGGGGTGCTTGGTGGAACCACGAGTGCCGAGAAACTGCGGAACAAACCACACATTGTCACATTTGGAGAGCACTGGGATTTCTGTCGGAAATGTGATCCCCAAAAAAGGTTTTTGAAGTAGCCTGTGGCCTGAATTTGGGTGGGGACGTTACTGATTGCCCTGTGGCTGGTTTCACAGCTAACACGATGTACGTCTTGGTACAAGAGGGGAGAACAGCAACATGAATGGATTGGTGACAGCTGCGACACAGTTGCTTTTCTAGGTGGCTCTCAAAACATGCCATGGTTCCCAGCATAAATCTTGGTGAATGCCCCCCACTTGTGCCAGAAATAGCTTAAAGAGCTCCTGGCGGAGCAGGTACCGCAGGTACCGCAGGAAGAGGTCGCTCCTCAGCCGCAGCAAGCTCAAGGCCTCGCAGACGAGGCCCACCTCCCGGCCGCTCGCCGAGCCCGCCTCGAGTCGGATCGATGGGCGCGCGAGGTGGGGCTTCCGGTGGGGTCTGGGACTCCGGGCCTCCGGGGCCGGAAGAAAATGGCCGGTCACACCGAAAAGCCAGTAGGCAACTGGCGATTTTGGTCTTCGGGTGGCAAGTTCTTGGTTACCTACTATACAGGTACCTGGAGTCTGCGCGACCCTTTAAAAATGGATCCATGACCCCATTATTTTGGGCAATGACCAATGATTTTCCAAGGGTCATGGAGACTCCAGGTAGATACTTGCGGTAAGGCATTTAACAGTTTCCTGTGATTCTATACTGAGATGCCCAGTGGATTTCCATGGGAAAAAAGGAGGGCATCGTTTTTTGGTTGGTTGAATTGAAAGTGGAGCCCTTTCCCAAAAATCACAGTTGAAAAAAGGGGCGGAATCCACCGGGCAACTGGGTATAACTTGAGGCTTGCCTCAATCAATAAACTGCATGCCTTCTTTACGAGGGTGGGGGTATTATACAGGCTTACCGACTCGCATCGAATTTGGCAACATTTACCCCTTCCGGGGAACGTTCACCCCCACCCAGAGGGTCCCTTGGTACCTCAGGATGGCGTCTGGGGGGGTAAAAAGAGGTCTAAGTACCTCCTTAGAGGGTACTTGGATGGGAAAGAGAACGATGATGGGTCCAAGGTAAAAAGAGCCTCTGGGTGGGGGACCCTCTGGGGTTCTGGGCTAAATCGGTGACAACCGTACAACCTGTCCGTCCTCCTTGCGCACCGGCAACTCCTCCGCCGCCTGCACCACCAGATCTTCGATCTGCCGGCGAAGGGATGGGTGGCCCTCAACCTGCTCCGCCATGCCTCAGCTCAAACCCTGGACAGCTTCACTCAAGGCCCTCCCTGGAGTCTCCTTCTGACCCTTAAAAAATGGGGTCGTCAACCAAAATAATGGGGACATTGACCCATTGTTAAAGGGTCACAAAGACTCCAGGTCTTCCATTTGAATATAAGTCGACTGGGAAAAATCAAACAATTTCAAGTAGCGACAGATTTCCTTGAAGATCACCATATTCTTAAGCAAATGGAAGCCCTTCTGTGGCTTCCTTACACGGAAGTTGGAACTCTAGAAGCGAAGCCTTGGATGATTCGGACTCAGAAGCATTCATGGGCTTCAATCCGGGGTCGACATTCCTAGAGTTCCTAGAGCACCCAAGACTCATTCACTGGAGGCTACTAGTTGTAGTTGTTTAGCCTTACAACCTGATCATGACACCAGGCAGAACCACCCATGCATCCCGTTGGCTTCCGTTTTAAGCTCACAAAGATGGTTGGCGAGTTCGCTACCTTTTCGGGGTGCCTTGCGATGTACCCAGTCTCACCCCAACCTCGCAAGGTACCCGGCTGCGGGAATTCGGAAAAAATCCCCCGCTGTTTCAAGCAGCTTTGCTTAAGTCCAAAGATCCGTTCCCAAATGGGTGTGGCAAAAACTGAAGAGTCAGGGCTACGCAGGTGTTGGTCTTTGTTTCCGTTTCCCAAGGGGCCATTTTGGGGCTTCCCATTTTTCCAGCCCCAGAACGAGAAGCTAGGTCCTCCAGAAGACAGGTTATATAGAATAAGGGTGCCAACTTTTTTCACTCGCCTATTCTAGTAGGGGAACCCTCCCCCCAAAATAGAAACGGTAAAAGACGGCACCCAGCTGGACCTGGGGGGGCGCCACCCCCACGCCTCCCGCTCCGCCGAAGCGCGGGCCATCCAACTCACCGTGGCCGCCAGACGCCGCAGCTTGCCCTTCGAGAGGCGCCGCAGCGTCTCCGGCACGAAGACCTGCGCCGAAGTGAGGCGTGGGAAGCTCCCAAACCCACGGGTCGTGTGGACCCGCGGCTTTCTCTTCTTGCAGGTTCTTTTCGGGGTAGGGTTTTATGTGTGAGGTGTTTTGGGGTGGGGTTTTATATTTTCGAGGTGTTTTGGGGTAGGGTTTTAAATAGGATCCTGCCAAAGGCTGCTCATCTATTGTTGATACATGCAAGTAGAATTCAGGAAACCACCCATAGAGAGTTTGACCGCATCCCATTCTCAAGGGCCAAGTACGCAACAAATAGCATGGAGCTCCCAGTATGGCAAGCACGGAAGAGGGGTGGGAGAAAGTGTACATCCACACCAAACCACTTTTATATGTCCATTTTCCCTTAAACAGGTACTAGTCGGTTGGGGGTAGTGGATTCCCTCTCAAGTCTCCTTGATGTTTGGTTCCAACAAAATGCTGAAGGTTTATGCATGCCTGACCATAATCCCCAGCCAGGTGGTAGAACCTCAACCGCGCCAACCACTTAAACATATACTTCCTTTTTTGTTTTTCAGGAAACTCACACCCCACCTAAAATCTGCATGGTGAGCACTCCCCCCTTTTCGGGCAGGTCTCCCCCGAAAAACGCCACCAGGCCTTTTGGCGGCCCCGCCTGCGCCAGGAGCCTCGTGGAGGGGCCGGACCTGCCAGCGGCGAAGGCGCTGGTCCGCAGGCGGTGCAGGGTTTGACAGCCCACCATGATGGCCACCTGAGTCACAATCAAAACCTGGTACAAAAATGGTGAACCCAGAACCATGTAAAGAATTAGAAAGGCGGCCGCAACCATTTCCGGCTGGGACTGCCCCTTGCTAACCTTCATCTAAGGGGTTTTGATTGTGGCCACCTGGCGAAACGTCGCGGTCGACGAGGCGAGGCGCGCGAGGCGAGGGAGGCGGCGGTCGAGCGAGTCGCGCCACATGCCGTGAGACGAGAGTCTGGGGGGATGCCATGCAACGAGGAACTCCACACACAACACGGAGCCCCGAGCTCGTTTCACCGCATGCGTGAAAGTCAAGCAAACGGAGTTTGGTGGTTTTGCCAGGGACACCAGATTGGGCAACACCGAGAAGCGAAACTATATAGGCAGAAATAGACCCACAAAACACATATGTACGTTAGCGAAGCCAGCATTTTTCGGGAAATCAAATATAATCGAAACTGATTTGGGGAAACCAGCCATCTGGAGACTCCGAAAAATGTTGTACTTTGTTCGCCGCGTCGCATCATCCAGCTGTGATTTCTCCGCAAGCCGGAAGGTCTCTTCCAGCAAGAGTAGCCATGGCTCCTCCAGAAACCAAAGACCCGGCCACCGGGTTGCTCTCACTTGCGGAGTGGATTGGCCAACAAAAGCTCCGATATTTTTTGTGTACCACCCATATGGTCTTCCCAAAAAATTGAAAGTTCCGGAAGTCCGGGAGTGAGTGCTTTTCTCTCGCAAAAGGTAAAAGCGCGTTCCCCGACCACTCAAAGGCGGAACCACTGTCCCTTGGTTCCTTTTCAAGCGCCCAAACTGCTTGTTAGTTGGAGGTTCAGCCTAATAAGAAAAGGTGTCGTCAGTATGGTTACTGCGATAACTGGGGTTGGCTGAGTCATAACCATGGCTATCTACCATGGCTATCTCCCACATACTAAGTAGGTTGAACATCCAGGTATCAGGTTTTGCAGGAAGGTTGCAGTAGTTGTCTGGATAGCACCCTTGAAGGGTGCTTTCCACATTTCCCACTAAGTGCTGCATGCCCAACATGTCTTGTCCACAGTGCCCTCCGCAGAAAGCTTCCTTGCATAGAAAGATTGCCTAAAGATGTTCTACCTGGGCAAATTGTTTCTACAATTCGCATTGCTGGACATGCAGGTTCCGCCAAATCAAGGAAAATTCAAAGCCATCCAAACCCTCCATGCCTTGGGGCCACGGTAAGTGCAACTTGTCTTACCCCCCCCGCCCACCCACCCCATTCACCCCACCCACCCCCCCACCCACCCACCCAACCCTTCCCCACCCACCCACCCCACCCCACCGTGCGCTCACGATCCTCCGTGAGCTGCGCAGACGCCCCCAGGTCCCCCGCCAGGACGAAGGCCTTGCTGAGCTGCTTCGCGCCGAAGATGAGCTCCTCACCTCGGATCCAGGTGCCTTGAGCCTCAAACTACCCGTTAAAAAATAAGAAGAAAAAGAAGTGAATTCACCCTCTGATGTTGGTGCGATGACCCATTTTTTAGGGAATTTTGAGAGTTCACAGACATGTGAGGGGCCAAGTACCCTCCCTCCAACATGGAACCTCAATTGTCAAGGGAATTCACCCACCATAACTTTGGGGGCTACAATCAACTATCACCCTCAAAAAAACCATAAAAGGGAATTCACCAACCATCATTTTCTTCAGCCTCAAACTGCCTGGAGTCTCCATGACCCTTAAAAAATGGTTGGTCATTGCCCAAAACAATAGGGTCATTGACCCATTTTTAAAGGGTCGTGGAGACTCCAGGTACCCATGAAAAGGATGTCGCCAACCATAAGTTTGGGGCTAAGATCAAGTGTCAAGGGAATTCACCCACGATATGTTTGGGGCTAAACCCAATTGTCAAGGGAATTCACCCACGATATGTTTGGGGCTAAAACCAATTGTCAAGGGAATTCACCAACCATAATTTTGGGTTGCCCAACCTCATTGTTAAGTTGGTATTTTGAGGGTCCAGGTGCCCTCGTGTTCTCGGCCAGAGGAAGTGAATGGGACAGCCAGTAGACAAAAGGTTCTCATGTGCAAGTCAAGAAGACGTGACTCCAGCATGAAACACGTCCCCCAAGGCTCCTCGGAAGCATGATTTGAAGCACAGACCTGCAGTTGCCTAGACTCGTCACTAACCTCCACCCAGGAACCTCAAGGATTCTCTATGCGAGACACCAGCAAATGCCTTTGAACCGATCCCCAAAAAGTGAACAAATGCGAACCCACATGAGTCGGAATCAAAACCCGATCTTAAAATGGTCTACCCAGAACCACGTAAAGAATTAAGAAGGCGGCGGCTATTTGTGGCTGGGAGTGTCCCTTAACCATCATTTACCCGGGTTTTGATTGTGGCTTACATAGAGGTCCAAACTCGTACTTGAAGAGTTGGCTTGATTCACTTCGGCCGCCCGTTCCACTGCGCTCCGCGGCGCCCTCGTCGGCGCCTCGCTGCGCTTTCGCGCGGCCCAGCAGCTGCCAAAGGCCCTGGCCGAGGCGAAGTTGGGGATCTGTGCCTTGGATGGGAATGTTACACATCTCCTTTAATGATACTGTGGATGGACGAAATCCATTTCGCACCTAAGAAACCTTGGAATGATGATTCCAACGTAAATAACAACAAACAATGGTTTGCCATGGTGTGGTGCAGGAGTTCGTCCATAGTAGGGGCCTCTACTATCGCAAGTGTTTTTCCTTCAGGATCCTACATGACCCTTGGCTTTCAAGGGAAGACTGCAAACAAAATCCACGTAAGGGTTGACAGCATTTTTCTCACCCAAGTTTTGACCAAATCGAGGCGAAGCAAGTGAAGCTTTTCCCTCAAAAAGTGAAAACTGCAAAAAACCACTGTTAACTTGTTGCCGACCGATGGGGTTCTAAACCTCCCTTGGCGTCAAGTGAGGACACCCGCAGCCATGCGGCCCAACTCTGCGGCCAACTTTGTTCAGCTCAAAAACGAGAGCGGCCGAGACTCCACAAACTGAAATGGGATCCAACGGACTACCCCGAAATGATACTCCTTAAACCCTAAACCTGCCTTACACGCCTGCCTTACACGCCTGCCTTACACCAACTCTGCATTGGTGTCTTTTTTGGGGGGACCCCTCCAAAAAGGTAGTTTGTGTTTTTGCTTCCCTTTCAACCCCCCGCAACAAAAAAAACAAGTATGCCTCAAAGTGAAAGAGCTAGGGTGAAATATGCAGGTTTTAGTCTCTGTTTCCATTTACCACGGTGCCATGCTGGGAACCAACTTTTGAGAAGCCACGCCTTCTTCTGCTCTGACACATCCACTGTACAGGGCGCCGGTAGTGTAACTGCACTCGGCACAAAAGGCTCCTGCCAAAGGGACGCGTGGGCGGCAGGGCCGATTCGGGGCGCGGAATGATATGCCTGGACCCTCAAACTACCCAGAAAAAGTATATATTAAAAACAAAAAAAACACCACAAATTCGGAGCAAGATCCCATTTTTCAGGGTGGTGTGAGGTTCCATGTGGTTAAACTCATATACTTCCTCTGTCCTCCTTCGGTGTTGGGTCTCCCCGCTCCTCTAATATAACTCACAAACTAGATTCCTTATGTCCAGTTTGTAATGTAGCTTAATTGGACAAATCAAGAATCTCGATTACAAAATGAGTCTCGAAGTGAATTGAGAACTTTCTAGGGAACGTCGTGGACATAGGTGTCCTTTTTGGTTGGTGTTGAAACAGATGGCCCTGGTGTAGTCGTATATTCATCTGGGGCTGTTTCCAAGCAAACCAACTCAAATTGGACACCGCTACTGCGGATGGACAAAATCCATTTCGCACGACCTAATAAGAACCCCTGGAATGCTTCGATTCCCCTGTAAATACCAAACAATCAGTGCTTTTTCATGGTTTCAAGTGGTGCAGCATTCTGTTCACCCACAGTATGTTCATGGGTCTCGCGCCACTTGGCACTGCCAAAAAGCCCACCACTCCTTTCGGCGAAAGGCGGGCACCAGGCTCGCGCTCGCTCGACGCAGAGGCCGCATGGCATGCTGCGCCACGTTCCGGGCGCATTTCCGCGCCGGGAGAGAAGGGGAAAACCACGCCTCTAAAAAATGAACAACTAACCACCTGAACCCTCCAACTGCCCTCAAAAACAAAAATTCCCCCCCCCCATAATTTTGGGGGCAATAACAAGTGTTTAAAGGAAATTTGAGGGTCCAGGCGCATCCAGGACAATCCAGCAAACTGCGGCAAATTGCATGAATCGTTCTTTTTGCCACTTGCAACATTGGAATCTGCCATGGCCAAAGAGGTGAGGAGATCGGTTTTTGGGGTGGCTTCAACGTTCATTCTTCTAGTTGTCCCATATATATATATATATATGATTCCCCATCATTTACATGAGTTTATCTCCAGCCACCGGATTTTGAGTGTTCCGGCCATTGAAAGTCGTAGCCTCCTTTCTCTGAAGTCCTCGCATGTGTCGAATCCGGCTCTAGAACTGCTGTGGTGCAGCTTCGGGCGGGTGCAAAGGCCAGACTTCGGACGACCTCACGCTGGCTTCACATGGTCAAAGGGCCCCAATCAAAGACACCAGTCGACAGCTGTTCATCTAAACAAGCCCATGCAACACTTCAAGCCGTACCTTCCCTATTCTCTTCAGGGATGCTTCTCAACAAATGTGCCAATCCTCTGGGAAATTGTGTGGTTTCTAAAGAGAACGATGATCGATGGGTGAAGAGAAAGGGGAATACACCCTTAGACTGCTAGACTGATTTTGTTGTGTTGCCCGGTTCAACCAGAGCTCACTAGACTTCCTTTTCTGAATGAAGGTCCGACAAAGGGAAATTCTGGATTCCCGTCATTTGGTTTCGCCTCCTGAAAAAAAATATGTCCAGTAGTGGGAACTTCCCTTCAACGCCCTTAGAGTGGAAATACAACATATTCATTTCAACAAAGGGAAGCTGTAGCCAGGGCTGGGATTTTGCACCGCCAGGCGGTTCATGCCAACCTTGCGCAGGGTAGTCCGGTTGTCGGCTTTTCTGACTTGATCAAAGAATGTTTCAAGGCAAAACAACTGAAGGAACGCCCAACATTGCCACCCCCCCCCATTTTGACACGTACCCATTTGGGTATGGGTCAAAATAAAACAAGGACCGCAGGTTTTAGTCCTTGGTTCCATTTACCAGGGCTTGCGCCATTTTGGGGTTATCCTATTTTTCACCCACAGCCATTTCAGCGCAAACGGAGCGTTGCACTCGAGCGCCCGACGCATCGCTTCCACGTTGTTGGTGCGGTTCTCCTGGCGGATGGCGAAAACGCAGTGCCTAAAAGTCGCGCTACACGGCGCGACCGGTGCCTGGTCGGATTGTGTTAACATGATTAGAGTTAGGCCCAGTTATAGAATGTATATTTTCTGGGTTCAAGTTCAGACTTATTTTAGATGTTGGTTATTACCCGGAGAACCACCTTGGGTGTAAATTGTTATTTTATTGTTTCCTTCAAGTTGAGTCACTGGTAAAATGTATCCTAAGTCTACCCCAGTTAAGGGGAAACCAAAAGGAAACCCTGTTTGGGAGGGTCCCCGCAAGAACATCGCACCCATGTGCGACTCCTACTTCGCAAACCAGTGGCAACGACCAATGTAAGATCGGCCTTACAGGTGGGAAACCGGAAGTGTGGTGTGCATTGTGTCGATGCGCTGAGTCTACCATCAAGAACAAGCTAAGGCAAGCTTAATGATCCCGTGACATGGTAGCTGATGGCAAGCAACACGGAATAGTTGCCCTTTCAGACCTACATCCCCAAAAGACTGTCGCAAATTCTCGAATGGAGCCCTGCACACCCCAGCTTAGACATAAATACAAAAATAGATTTGACAGCCACAGTGACCCAATCGTCAAGCACAGGATCAGTCCCAACTGAGTCAAAATCAAAGCCCGGTGTTCAAATGGTCTACCCAGACCCATGTAGAGAATTAAGAAGGCGGCCGCAACTATTTATGGTTGGGATTGTCCCTCACTAACCTTCATCTACCCGGGCTTTGATTGTGGCTCAACTGGGTTCTCAAATGCTCGGGAGCAAAACCAATATATTTTGTCTTCCCTAACGCCTGGGCGGGCCATCGGTTCGCAGTCTCCACCAGCTCCTAAGATCCAAGCCAGCCCCCCCGGCAAAAACAAGAGAGAGAATATGGTCAGTTTTCCTTTAAAACCAGGGGAAGCAAAAAACAAAAACCAGTAAAGAGAACACATGATCAGATTCCCTTTAAAACCAGGAAAAACCACAAAAACAAGAGAAACCATGTTCGGATTCCTTTAAAACATACAGGGGAAACCAAAAACAAAAACTCATTTCGGCAAATGGAAGCAACCTCTCCCACCCCGCCAGCCATCCGCCATCGATCCGCGTCCTGTTCCGGCACTTTGCAGGGCTGCCAAAAGGTGTATCCAGGCCTCGATCACGTTAGGACGCGTGGTATGCGGAGCAAAACGGTGAAACCTGCAAAAGTGTTGAACCCCCCAACCAAACACAAAATGCTATGGGTGTGCTTGTTTTAAGGTTGGACCTCCCCAGGAATTGTGGCTGTTCTTTTGGTTGCATTTAAACAACACCAAACAAAAGGCACTCTCTCAAAATATATATATATATATGTATGTATATTTGTAGCGCCTTCAGATGTGGAATGATTGGTGCTGGGCGGAAAAGAAACAGCCCCTTCAAGTATCATCCCACCAACAAAAGTGCAAGCGGAAAGAATCAACTCATTCTGGGGCTTCATGTCAATCAGAGTTGTGCATTGCAGACGATCATGAACCGCCATGGGCCCTCCCATCAAAAACAAAAGCCGGTGAAAACTTGCGATCACTGAACCTCAAGGTCCATCAAACCTGCTTTTGTCGAGTGCGTCACAGTAAGCTCAAAGACGGCGGCTTGAAGATACAACACAGAAGGCCCTCGTGGAACATAAAAGCTGTCTCGAGGTTCAAGTTCCACATTGGGCTGTGGGACACTCTCCTGATTGTGAAACACATTCCCTAAACCACAGCGACATGAGTGGCACATAAGTCGCAGCTGATCGTTTTCACCACATGATAGTCGCAAAGCTCTCAGGCCAGGCCTATTAGATAGGTCTGACAATCCAAGTCTGGCGTGTGGTAGCAGCAAAAGCAGGAACCATGATGGCCGAAACAAGGCCAAACAACGGAACGGCTACACGTCCGTCCCAATTGAAAATACACAGGCAAACGCCCATCACTGAAAGACTTGCCGTGCCGCATTCATGTCCACCTTCAACAGCAACCTCTGTTCAATGACACAGGCATGATTGCATGATTGTTGAAAAGCGAAACAAGCTCTCAAAGCACGAGTGCTCCGCAACGCACTGCTCAATCGACAAGCACTCCAATGCTACACATTTACTGGAAGCCACTTTGCAGTCAAAGCTGTCTTTCAGCAGATTAAGTGAGAGCGTCTGTGTTTATGGCAGGGAGGGTAGCAGTTGCATTGTCTAAAATAAAGGGACCACATCATTGACTGAATAATTGCCCGCAGCATTATCTTGTGATCCTGATTAAGTTTGGCTTTAACGTACCCAACAACCCCAGTCAAGATTGCATGTTCCGACTCCTTCATCTCGCAGGCCACTTTGCTCAAGCGAGTCATAATCAAAATCGTATTAAAATGATGTATTCAAGATTGTGTGAAGAATTAAAAAGGGCGGCCGCATCCATTTTGTGCTTGGGCTTGTCCCAGATCTTGTGTGGCTCAAGTCGCATTCACTTGAGAGGCTGCTGCCTTTTGCGTCTTTCCGCGATGGGCAACGCTGCGCCAGCACCAAGCCAACCAGCCAAGACACAAACAACGGACAGGCTATATGGGTGTCTTCGTCTTGAGGGTGCCCTTTTTGGATAGTGTTAAAGGGAAACCAAAAAGAAAACCAGCAATTCTGGGGACACCCCTTTAACCAAAACAAAAGTGACTAACAGTGACGGCGACTTCGTCACTTCGCAGGCTTGGCGCGGGCTCACGGCCTGCCTGTGAAGTAGAGGACTTTCGGTATCGCAAAGAATTAGAGTGTTGGCTTCCTGAAAATCACGGCGGCCCCTAGCTGCTCAAGACCGTCAACTAGTGCGTAGCATTCCTGACATATGGCACTTAATTAAGCCCGAAAGCTGACTCAAACATCAGAAGGATTCCGTTTGCTCAGTCGCAAGTCCTCTCAGATTCGTCCGTCCCACTGGAGACCATTGGCTACAGCCTTCGATTACGCACACAGAAGAAAAACGATTTCCGCAGAGCTCATAAAACTCGAAGCTTCGTGAGACTTGCGACTCCCCGTCTGGAAACGAAATAAACATGCATAGACATCACTGACCTCGGCTAAGACCTGGAACCCGGAGTTTGTGCTTCCATTTGCCGAAGTCCACTGGAAAAAACAACAACATCAGCAGCGATAGATTCCGTTTAAAACCAACAGGGGAAAAACAATATTATCAGGCAAATGGAAGTTATATACATGGTCGTAAATGTTGCACTATGCCGAGTCAAATCAATATGGCGCATGCCCAAATAAGCGCTGCACGCACGACCGACTTGTTCGGCGGATTGGAGCACGCTTGAGATTATTGGACATTGATCCTGTTTGTTGCCCAAACGCATGACGAAGGAAGCACACACACAAAGACACAAAGACACACAAACACCAAGACACAAAGACGCAAAGACGCATAGACACATAGACACATAGGCACAAAGACACAAACACATAAACACACAAACACAACGCGCACACGCACAGACCACACACACACACACGTACACGCACACGCACACGTGAGCACCCGCAAACACACGCACACACAGAACACTTGCACAAGCTAGTCTCGTATGTCGAGGAGTTGAGAGCGTGCTTCTCTGCGGAAATCGCCTCACTCTTTCTGCTTTAGTAAAGTCTCTAGGAAATGACCCGTCACCTCCTTTGGAGGCTTCCTAGCAAGCAAAACGACGCTCCCGGGCGAAGGCTGTGCTGACAGGGGCTGGGGAACTGCAAACTCCCATAACTCACTGCCCATGACACAACGCTCTCAAGCTTCAAAAGCGCAACGCGCTATGTACCATTAAAATAAAGCAGAAACATGATTGGGGGACAACTATTATCCTGCCTGCGATGGTCTACTTTTGAATGTAGGTATGTCGCGAAGAAGTACACACAGTCAGAGTTCCCACCCGCCGTCCCCTCGCGCCGTCCTGGCGGCTGTCTTGTGGGGACCCACGAGTGCAAACCGGAGTGAACGTGCCCACCCGTTTCAAGCCGGGAGTGTCTCAATCCCTAACAAGGTTGAGGAAGCATAGGTGGCCGAGTGACCCAACGAACTCTGTAGCAACTTGGAAAAATAGGCCTGCCTGCCCTATATGCCCAAGCCTGTCCAAACAAGAACCCATCAGTATAGCTATAAAAGAGGCTGGCCTTTTGCGTAATGACTAAAACAACATCAGAATCATGTCGCATTCAATGAGACGTATGGCAGCCCGTGGCACATTCACATGTTGGTGTTGCGCCCTTGAAGGATTGTGCTCTCGGCGGAAAGCTCATGTGTCCTACTTCTTTTCATTGATATTGAACCTCAAGACGATTTCTGTCCCTGTGGTTCAGAGAAGTAGGCTGCCACGTCACTCCTGCGCGCGTGAAACAAACGTGCGACAAAAAACATGCCTGCAGATTGGAAGAAGCTGACCCGACCCCAAAACGCGCGTTACGCGAAAACATGCAATCCCTACTAATGTGGATGGAACAAAATCCTGGGATGAATGAAGCCCTCTGAGAGACGAGTGCCAACAGTGCCTGCTGGATCCTACATGTGAGACATTCACAACTCATGCCGGTTTCTTCTTGGCTTCCAACTCCATAACTGGCTTCCACACAAGCAACCAGGTCTTTACACCGTCGCAAACAAGCAAAAACAGTTCAGGTTGGAATTAGGACTATGCTGCATCCGTTCAGAAAACGGCCCAGAAAGGCGATTCGCAACCCACCTTTGCTTTGAATGCAAACTCTGGTCATCCAAATGATTCAAGAAATTCATTCATTTCATTCATTCATTCATTCATTCACTCACTCACTCACTCACTCACTCACTCACTCACTCACTCACTCACTCACTCACTCACTCACTCACTCACTCACTCACTCACTCACTCACTAATTCATTAGTTCATTAGTTCATTCATTCATTCATTCATTCATTCATTCATTCATTCATTCATTCATTCAGTCATTCATTCATTCATTCATTCATTCATTCATTCATTCATTTCATTCATTGCATTCAGTAATTCATTGCATTCAGTAATGCATTTATTTATTGATTTATTCATCCATCCATCCATCCATCCATCCAGGCAGTCAGTCATTCATTCATTCATTCATTCATTCATTCATTCATTCATTCATTCATTCATTCATTCATTCATTCATTGCATTCAGTAATTCATTGCATTCAGTAATGCATTTATTTATTGATTTATTCCTCCATCCATCCATCCAGGCAGTCAGTCATTCATTCATTCACTCATCCATCCATCCATCCATCCATCCATCCATCCATGCATGCATGCATGCATGCATGCATGCATTCATTCATTCATTCATTTATTCATTCATTAATTCATTCATTCAAGAAGAAAGCCTTTGTGACAAACAATGTTGAGGCAATCAAGCGATTGTCATGTCGCCCTTTGACACAAGGCCATGCCCCAGCCCGGTATGCCAGCAATCGGCCCGGTAGGGTGTCCTCATCTTGGACCCGCCTGCACAAAGAGCAGACATCAGACTGGGCAGACGTACATAACGAAAAACCACATGTCAACAAACAAAATTAAAGGAAAGGAAGCAACATTTAAAACATACATAAATAAACAAGCAGATGACACATACTTGTCTTCTTTTCAGACGATACTTCCCAGAAGTATGCTTTGTAAGAATTACATGGCAAGAGAACAGCTTGGTCGAGGGATCTCAGCCACAAACAAGGCATTCAACAATATAGGATAAAAACAATAGGCGATGATTGAATAAACTAAAAGTGATAATTAAATGATCATGTAGGGACTTAATAGTTGGCTGATGAATATTATGATATGTCATATCATTGCAACCCCAAAAATAATGGATAGAAGAAGAAGCCACGGAGAGGAAATAATTGTAAGACGATTTTAAAGACGAAAGCCAACAACAAATTGAATCATTGACTGATATTGCGATAATGCAACGATATCGAACCTTCGAAACAATACACAAAAGAAATGTCACAACGTGAAGACTGTAATGTACTTGGATAAACTGCTGTGATCTATTAAAAGCATGTCCAGGAGATATCGTAGCATTAGACAAAAAACGTGTACTGGCAAAACTTGGTTCCGGCCACATCCCTAATGTTGGAGAACAGAGCAAGTGAACACATATCCAAACCGAGGATGCAAGTACCAAAGCTACAGAAACTGGAACTTAATCAAGGTAAAGCAATATAAGGACATAGCGTCCTAAGAAGTGAACTCCAAACATAAGTACAACATCCTGCAAACTCAATGATGCACTCATAATGCTTGGGAATAGTACTATATAAATTGACATGTTAATAAAACAATACCAGGATCTGACCTAGCTTCTACACGTAATGAGTTCCACCACAAATAAAACAACCTGCGCATCAAATTAACATTCAAACAGGACAGCAGGCAGCTAAGACAATAGAACTAAAACATGACTATGTGACAAGAGCACTTGAAGATAAACACAACAGTATCTATTCGGATATGCTCTAAAATCCATTTGTCTCTCTTTCCTTTCCTATATTTCCCTTTCTCATGCATTTATCATGATCACAAAACATATGATTGCTTTATCTCTATCTACTCCGCTCCCTTTACTCGCCATTGCCTAGGTGTGTCTCTGAGTGAGAGCCGACGGTTGGGAGGCGTGACATAGGTTTACTGCCCCGATCCTTTCGTAGAAGCGAAAAGCAGAAGAGTGAAGGAATGTCGGCAGGAGGGATGGAGATGAGTCCTTCTAAGTCAGGAATGTCTGGAGCAATGGAGGTGATCAGCTAAGAGAAGAGGATACAGACTCAATCATTCTCCTCCACCCAGCAAACCCTCATTCTCTTCCTCATTTCCCTTTCCCACCTCTTAATCACATATGGGCGGCGTAAGGGCTTCCTCGGTTGCCTCGTCTTTCAGACATTGAGTCAATCTTGACGAGGAAGCCAACGGCCTGTCAATACGATATCGAGCACCTTTCCCTTTCTATCACTTTCCATGTTTACTTTTAGTAGATATCAACTGATAAAAGGGACAATCGGGCAAGGCACCTCCACGTCAAGGAGTTTATAGAGAACCTTCCAAGGAAGAAACCATCCAAGTATATAGCATTACTTGATTTCATGAACACTCACTTATTAGAGTATTCACACCTATGTGTGTGTGTGTTATATTATATGTTTGATCTTGTGTCTGGCATCTCTATATATTGTTATATGTTGTCATTGCTATTACGAATGAATTCATTACGTTTACACTCTGGGAGAAAACGAGTTCATGTCTCATTGCACTCATGTCTAGAGAATGCTGTTCTTAAGAAGTGACACATCACGATAGACAGCAAACAGCATCGTGAAAGATGGAACGATGGACGATGACTTACAAACTATTATCGGTTGCCTGTCAAGGAAGGACATTCACCTACATCTTTCCTTCACTCCATTCGAATTGCGCTGGAACAGAACTAATAAATGAATGGCATGTCTGCTTACTTATTGGTTTGCGGCATCTATTATTAGGTGACACATACCAAAGAAGACGATATGTTGGGACAATAGCGACATGAGAGTTAACAGCCCTCACCAGCACAATGGTTGTCTCCGGGGCTGTGTTAAGATGTGAGTTACCTGACCGCTTAGAGATCAGTCCAAGTTGCTGTATCTTTACAGGTTTAATATGTGACAGTATTTTTGGTTGTATATGCGTCTAATCAATACGTTTGTCTATCTGTCTATATCAAACGTGTCTAACTATCTATTATCATTTGTATCTGTCTTCGTCAGTTTTTGCCGTTTTCATATATTGTATCGTTTGATTATACGTATGTTATGTTTTATTTATCTAGTGTGATGTATCTCTATCACTTATTTTACAAGTTGTGCTTTCATTTTATATTGTTTTCCTTTGGCTCACCTCCCTGCCGTCGGTTGCCCCGGTAATTCTCATAGACCATCATATTTTGAGTGCCCTCCAATGGAGGGCGCTTGGCCTGTTTTTGAATCGAGGGCACTTAAGGCAGTGTCGGTGCCGTGCCCCCGTGTGAGTGTCATTCGCATTCACGTGTCGCTGCGGCTCGATTTGCCCGGACTGGGGAAGGATGTGCTGGGGAGGGCAACCCTGAGCGTCTAGTGCCCTTTAAACGGCTTAAGTGACCTCTTTGATTTAGGACTATGACCGTATTTTTCAATATGGATCATAGCATGCCAAAATTTGCATCGAGGGCACTGAAAAGAATCTGGGACAAGAAATTGAGTAGAGAAGAGCAGTTGGTTCTATCTCCAGAAACTGGCCGCCGAAAGCAATCAAAGGAAGGGAGCGGCATGATGGAAGAGTAGGTGCTCAGAACCCGCTTTTTGGCCGTGTAGCGAATGAGATGACACGTGAAGACAGCTTGTTCGTCACATCTCTTCTCTCACCAATATTCACTTCTAAGGGATGAATGGTGGAGATCGACAGTGTAAAAAGGAAGTTGAGCGTTGGGTCTCTCCTGCACAATTATGAAGGTAAAGAGACATATCACTTGACAGTTCATTCTTGTTTATCACATCCCTTCGGTCACGTTTCTACAATATTTCTATCAGAGGAGCTTGGGGAAGGACTAAGCTCAAAAGAAGTGGAAAGAGTCATCCGGAATACCCCGTCTCCTCCGCATTGCTCACGGGACGCGAGAAACAAAATGACAGGTCCCTCGAAGCAAATATCTGTTTATTTTAAAGGTATGGCAAAATATCCGGTTTTTGTTCCAGGAAATGCCGGGTTTTTACTTTTTGCGTTGTAATCAGAATGGTCTTGCGTGAGGTATGATTGTGGTTCCCTCAATATAATCCTTTTGTTGGCTCTCTTACATCCAGTCAAACGCTCCACGGGCGCTTTGCAATCCCATCCAAGCAAGCTCATTGAGCATGGCACCTGTTGCAAATCACCTGCTGAACTCGAAACAATGGCCAATCCGCAATTTGTTGGGAAGGCTTCCCAGATCGTGGCTCGGGAAGTTTAAAACAGCATTGGAATATGAACTTTCTGACAAGGGCAACAAGTAGTCCCAGTTTACCGCAAGCGGTAGCTGCACGTGTATACATATTGCGTATGGCACCGAGCAATCTGTTTGGGACTGTTTGCGTAAAGCTCGCGTCGGATACGTTTGGAGGGCCGTCTTGCAAATGCTTACTTGTTTGACAACCAAGTCCCGTGCTGAAGCACCGGAGCTTCTCGCAGGCTTGTCTAAAACGTCGCAGGAACATCCTTTTTGGAGCGAGCCAAAAGAACCTAACCCACTTTGAACACTGGACAGCAAGTAGTAAAAGACGCGTGGGACGAACACATGAATGACTGCTTTCGCAGGGTCATTATTTCGGGCAGCTCGGGCCTGGAAAGCTGCTTGGGCAGAGGCTGAAAATCCAATAAATTGCGTACGGGTTTGTACGGTGTTTTTATGGGGGTTAGGAAAAACCTGGTTTTCGGAAAAACATGGGTTTGTATGGGATTTTTATGGGGTTCGTATGGGCTTTTTTCTGGGTGTCCTTTTTTCGTACGCGCTCGCCCTTCCAGAAGCTTTCCAGCAAAGAAAAGCGGGCACACAGCTAGATTGCGCGAGCAGCGAACTGGTTTTGTATGACATTGCGGTAGAACATCCGAAGGTTTTCGGGCACAAACACGTACTACGCAACATGTTTGGCTTGGACTGTGCTTCCCATCGAATCAAAGTTTGGTGCTGGAAGAAAGTGCGACTTAGGCGGAGGCCAGCTTTGTTGGCATTAGGCTTGTGCGCCGAGCCGAGTAACGAATGCAAGTGCCACTTTGGGATACTGCCTGATGTTTTAAAAATACCAAAAAATCCATGCTTGAGCATGATGTGTCAATCACGCAGAGCTACTGATGGTCATGCAGTGAACTGCACTTTTCTACATTCAAGTTGGTTGTCCCGCTTCATTCTTGGTTTTGGTTGACCACGCCCTCGCGTCTACCCCTGCCTTTTGAGCTCCAATCTTGAGGAGCAGGGGGCTATCTCGCACTTGGCGGTACGAAAGGAAACTACAAGAGATTCCCAAAAAACATCTGGAAACCCAATATACAATTTGGCAGTGGAAGAAACCTGGCGGCTCCTTTTAACACCTGCTCGAGATCCGGCACCTTTGCTCTGTTCTTCAAACATCCGACATTTCGCTTGCGAAAAGTGCCAAAATACAGGATGTAAGTGAAATACCAGGGTTTTTCATGGAAAACCCTTATTTTTCCAAAACTTGCTAAAAACCAGGGTTTCCCATTTGACCCTTTAAAATTAAAGGATAGAGGGGTAACCCAATTCCGTGGTCAACATCTGCACCGCATGTTTTCAAATTGAAGCCAAACAAACACTGCCCTGAGAAAAGTGCGCGACAGTGGGCCATCTGTGGCTCAGCTGGTGTATGGAACCATCAGCTGAGCAAGCAACATTCCCTCTGACACTGGCGGTGTCTAAAACACAGGAAGCCCTGCTCGGATCTTCGGGAAGAATTAATTGCTCGTGCTGGTCCCTCATGCTCCCAACAAATACGGTGCCAAACAAAGCGACGGCACTCGCTGAGTGGATCGCCTTGGACCCTTGGAATCGCACGGAAGCTTCTGGCAGCTAGCCACTAGCCAGCCTTGGTCCGCTAAAAGAAACACCCCCGAAAGTGATTTTGGCCACGGGTCCCTCAAAAGGTAGCCACTTTGGACCCACTTGGCCACCCGGCGCGAATCTCGTCCAGAATTGTCCTAAAACCCATCGAACGTTTTTTCCCGGCCGTTTGGGAATTAATTCGGCGGTTTTTTTCCCCTGCCTCGTGACTCGCCTCGGCGGCAATTCGGCAAATTATCTTCGAGCACCGTCAGCTTGGATCTGATTTGCTCCAAGGTGGCTGACTGCAGCTGCCTTACACGCGAATTCGACGTTCACGTAGGTATCTTTGAGCAATGAAAAAGAAGACATGTGCCAACATATGCTTGTTGTATGTCAATACATGAATATATATATATATATATATGCGCACAAATACATATATATATATATATATTTATATATATATATATATATGGTCAAGGGGTTGCAAGTGTCCCCCCCCCCATGGTTCCCAGTCCTCCCCCCCCCCTTGTGGTGTGGTTGGGGTGTGGCTTAGGATTGGTTTATGGTTGGTCTAAGACCACCCCTCCCACCCCCTGTGGTGGGGTTGTAGTGGTTTAGACTTGGTTTGGGGTTGATCTTGTTGTAGTGGTTTAGGGTGGTTTAGGGTTGGTTTGGTGTGTGTTCGGTGTTGGTATAGAATATGTGTTTAGGGTCGGTTTAAGGTTGGCTTAGTGTATTTTGTGTTGGTTTAGGATGTGTGTGTGTGTTTTTATCCTTGGTGCAGGGGTGGTTAAGGTTAGTTGCGGGGTGGTTTAGAGTGTGTTTAGTGTTGGTTTAAGATATGTGCTTAAGATATGTGCTTAGGGGTTGGTTTAATCTAAGGTTGGTTTACGGTTGATTTAGGGTTGATTAAGTTGGTTCAGGCTTCGTTTAGAGTGTGTTCAGAACGTGTCAAGTGTTGGTTTATGTTTCGAGCTAGTTTAGGGTTGGAATAGGGTTAGTTTAGGGTTAGTTTGGGCGCAGGGCGGGATACCATTGGGGAGGGGAAGGAATGGGAACCCGCAGCCCGGGACCATATATACACGTATATACATATGTAGATACAAGGGTACGCCCACATGGCATGTAGATACATATTCACGTTGGTACAATGTGTATAAATACATACATAGACATATATACTAACATACACACGAGTCATATACCTCGAAGGTAAGATTGAACGTGGCTATGCGAGCCAGGAGTTTGTATTAAGTAGTCAAGGGCGACGCAGGAGGTTAGCGGGTTGTGTTTGATTCGCTTAGTATTGAACATATTACCGTCATCACTTCGTTGTGCAGTGCACGCTGTGCGCTTTGATTCCTGGCAGGCATTTTTGCAGCAAGCCTTGGATGTGCGAATTGCGTCCATGCGTCATGTTCAACACATGGTTGGCACACTAGGAACCATTGTGTGTTGCAACAAGAAGAAGTCAATTCGCTCTGACTAGCGCAACACTTCCTCGTGAGCATCCCAGCTCATCACAACTTGATGCCTTGCAGGTCTCACCTGCCACGTCACGACGTGAACACAAAGCTGTGCGTGAAACACCGCCAACATCCCCGCCAACTTCCACAGCATCCCCGTCATTCCTGCATCATCAGTTTTCTAGTAGGCATCGTCCAACCTGCCAAAGTGACCCTTTGGGAGAGCCAAAATCCCGTTCAACCAACCCAGGATTTCATCCATTGGATGTGTGTTTACTAGCACCATCATAGTAGTGAAGTCTCAAATGGTACCAAGCGTTGACGCAGATTGTCGTTGCCTCAATCCCTCCCTTCTTCACGGTGAGCTAACCAATTGTTGTGGCCCCTACTTGGATGTTCAACATCTGGGTGGGTTTCAATGCGGGAACACTGGGATGGCTGACTTGCAACCTCGAAGATAATCCCAAGTAGGTCGAACATCAAGGGTGTGTCCCTTTTAGGGGACCAGGAATTGATCGTTCCAACATGCCCAAGCGTAGTGGTACTTGGAGCCTCCCTTTCAATCAGCTGGGCATGGCAATGCGAGCCGCATCAGCTTGAAGGACTTCATTTGGTGGATGGGCACATCCATCCTCAGTGCCGGCCAGAGCGTTTGCCGCTCTGCAAATTCCTGTGGAACCCAACACGGGACCCCAAAGGAAATTCTAACTTCGTGTCTTTTCCCGCTTGGCTGCATTCGGAAGGAATCAAGGTGTGCGGGGGGGAGGGGGGGCTTAAGGTGACATGTTGGGTCACTTTCAGGTCACTCTAAGGCTCACTGTCGGAAGCTCTCATTATGATTTGTGGGGTTGTCTTGCAGGGACAACCAAATGAAAACATCCGTGTTTTCTCCTTTTTTTTCTGTTGGGGTGGGGGGGTCGGGGTGGTCGTCCAAATCTCAAGACATATACCCGCACTCCTGGTTGTGGGCGGCCTCTGGACGAGCAAGCATCCCAAAATTGAGACCCGAAACTCCATACCCTGAAACAAAGAAACAATACCCATTGGGATGCATGTTCTGATACAAATTGGCCCTTGGCAAGCCTCTTGAAAAGCCATATCTCTGGACACTGCCCAGTTAGATTGCGCTCTTTGCCTCTTCAATAGTTGACGTAAGTAATGCACATCTGTCGACCATACATTATCGAGCCCAGAAGTTGTTCATCATCGCCTTTACCATGACCCATGCACGACGACACCCAGCCGGCACGGAGCTCCTTGACACTTTAACTCCATGCTGCCTCTACTCTTCGCTATCCAGACCAGTCAACTTCAGCAACTATCCAGCACTTGTGAGCCATAACCATCAAGATGCTTGTCTTGTTGATGGTCAGGGCTTCTTGACAACGTGTCTGGAATCTGTTCGGCCTTGATTTAGAAAACAGAGCGCGACCGAACAATTACCTTTCAGCTCTTTTCCTGTCTTTGTTATGCACACCAACCAGTGGCAGCCCAGCCAAGCACTCACGGCATGATGTCAGCTGTGCAAGCGCCGCTTTTCAATCGCAGAGACAAAATCGGAAGCTTTAGAGATACTACATGTGCATGCGCCATGGTCAAGACATCCTTTGCTTGGGGTGTCTGGGGCTGGTCATCAACAAGTAAATAGGCTTTGTGGTGATTCCGGCAGTCATTTTTGGTCAAGCAGCGTCAGCAAGTTCAGCAAGCCGTCGGCAAACTCGACTTGTGTGAGAACGCCTTTGCCCTCGACGTCAAGCATGTCAAACAAATCCTGCACATGTGCTGCCAGACCAAGAACGACAACACACCAACGTGCTGCCAGCACAGTCAGCAAAATCAGCAAGCTAAGCAAGCCCAGAAGTAACTTCTCATGTCAACAGCATATCAAACTACCTCTCTTTGACCCAGCGATGACCAACCTGCATGCGAGTCCTCTAGGCTGTCCACATGCTCTGAGTTCAGCTCGAAGGGAAGCTGGTTCAAGTTGATTTTGATCAACCTGAAAGAAGCAAAGGAATTGGCGCATGCAGCGGTTGACTCTCCAGAACGCCCGTTCTGCCACTGCGAAAAATCAACGCCAACCACTCCGCCGACCCGCATGTGTTAAACGATACAACACTATGACCATCCTGTCAGTGTTTGAAGATGAATTTTAAGCTGGGTGCGTCGCAGGGGGCTCCAAAGTGATTGACCTCCCTTTGGCTACCGTTCTCTAAACACATCTGCAGGGAAGCACCATTCCTGTTGCGTTCTTTTCAATCTGATGACACACCATCAGTAGAAGCCCAACTCTTTTCACTTGCCGGACTGTCCATCCCGCGTTTTGCAAATCGCCGCCGAACCATTCCAAGCCACTCATTGCGGTCGATGGTCCCGCTGTGGTCAGAGTCGATTTCTTGGAAAACCTAGCAGCACGCTCACGTGGACGTTTTCACCCGGATCGCGTGTTGGCTCCGCTGCAAAGTGGGTCCCGAATTAACCAAAGGAGGGAGATCAAGGCTTGGTTGGTCTTCGACTGCCAAAACAGAATTTCTGGCTAGTGGGAAATTGCCAAAGGGGCTACAAATTCAATAGTTGCAATAAGAAGCCACCATGAGTGCTTGATTTGAGCCACACCCAATTTGCTTGGTTGCCAATCAGTATATAGCCAAGAAGGGCAGAACAGGGTTTCCTTTATCTCCCCCTTTTAACATCACCCAAAAGGAAACTTACATAAATCTTAAAACTGACCCCAAAGGTGATGTTAATACCTGAAGTCTCCATGACCCTAAACAAATGGGGTCATTACCCAAAAAAAAAAGGGTCATTCACCCATTCTTAAAGGGTCATGGAGATCCCAAAATAATAATAAACCCAACCATCGTGATAATTTTCGTGAACAACTCCATCGTCCGTGGGCGTCTGGCCTCCATGATCTTCGGCGCGAACTTTTTCACCTCGCGGAGGACGGGTCCATCACTGTTGGCGTCTCAAAATGTTGGAACACGCCCCGAACGTTTGCACTGGTTGCAGGTTCGTCGTGGCTTCCCTTTGCGAGCCCAAACAAAACGCATGTGTTCTCCCCCTGTCCCTTTCTAGGTCCTCCAGCAGAGAGCTTAGAATAAGGGTACCCTTTCTTCTGTAGTCTATTTTAGTAGGGCAACCCTCCCAACCAAAAAAGAAACGGTTCAAGTTGGCACCTAGCTGGGGCACCTAGAACCCCAGAAAAAAACACATCTTGCCCTCATCCGCGTCAGCCGCTGAATGAACACTAATAACCTCATTTGATGCGTTGCTAATGCTACTTGATGCATTTCCTGCCGTCTGATTGACGAAATCTGCCACCTGGGCCCAGGCCTTCTGCCGCAAGTCGTGGCGGCTGAGCTCCTTGTCGTTGGCGGCATTGGCCAGGGCTCCCTCCACCAGGACTGCAGTGACCTCACCGCCCGGGGTTGTAGGTGTTTTTTGTTTTTTGTTGTGTTTTTGTTTTCTAATATATATATATATATATTGTTTGTTGTTTTTTGTGTTTTGTAGTTATTGATTTATACCTTATCTTATGTTGCATTGTTATATTGCGTTGCATTGCATTTGTTATATTCCACCTGATTTTCAAGATGGCTCATAGCACAAAACAAAAGCATGAATCGAGGGCACTGAAAAGAAGCTGGTTGGTTTATGTTCATTTGTAGTTATTTATACCTTTTGCGGCCCCCTCCGAAACCTTTTAAAAGGTCATGGGAATTTGGGGGGTCCGAGTTACAGGGGTCACTGAAGGTCCCCAAATCAAAGTTGTGGTTTGCTGGCTTCCATTCAAACTGCCACTGTTGAAGGTGCCTAAAAGGGAAATGGAGGAAACCCTGAATTCCCAAGGTTTCCAACCAAGGCATGACAAAATCTCAACAAGCGCGATGGTTTGTTGGACATATTGGGTGCCCCCCCCTCCCCCATGTCATCCTCCAGTACCGGAATTGGCGGGCCCTTGACGGCCCATGCAGAACAATACGGGTTGAGGCTACCTTTGCAGGACTGGTCTTGAAAGAGGTTGCTGTACGGAGCAAACCCTATGCGCACATTACTTAGGGTGTGGAGCTGTGTTTGTTGTGCTTGCGTTCCAAGCAAAATGGATCTCGGGGCTGTCTCAAACAACTGGGCCAACAAAAAACACGGGCTATCCTCTGGCACCAACAGGATATACATACATATATATATATATACAATACTCAAAGTGTATCATTCGCATTCAACCCAATACTCCGTGCCCCCGCACAGGCAGAGCGTGTGTTCGTGTTGTGCATGTCTGCGTGCATGCACATCAATGCATGCAGGGTGTTCGTGTCTGTGTGTGTGTGTGTGTGGGGTGTGGTGTGGTGTGGTGTGGTGTGGTGTGGTGTGGTGTGGTGTGGTGTGGTGTGGTGTGGTGTGGTGTGGTGTGGTGTGGTGTGGTGTGGTGTGGTGTGGTGTGGTGTGGTGTGGTGTGGTGTGGTGTGGTGTGGTGTGGTGTGGTGTGGTGTGGTGTGGTGTGGTGTGGTGTGGTGTGTGTGGTGTGGTGTGGTGTGGTGTGGTGTGGTGTGGTGTGGTGTGGTGTGGTGTGGTGTGGTGTGGTGTGGTGTGGTGTGGTGTGGTGTGGTGTGGTGTGGTGTGTTGTGTGTGTGGTGTTGTGTTGTGTTGTGTTGTGTTGTGTTGTGTTGTGTTGTGTTGTGTGTGTGTGTGTGTTGTGTTGTGTTGTGTTGTGTTGTGTTGTGTTGTGTTGTGTTGTGTGTGTGTGTGTGTGTGTGTGTGTGTGTGTGTGTGGTGTGGGTGTGGGTGTGGGTGTGGTGTGGGTGTGGGTGTGGGGTGTGGGGTGGGGTGGGGTGGGGGGGTGGGGTGGGGTGGGGTGGGGTGGGGTGGGGTGGGGTGGGGTGGGGTGGGGTGGGGTGGGGTGGGGTGGGGTGGGGTGGGGTGGGGTGGGGTGGGGTGGGGTGGGGTGGGGTGGGGTGGGGTGGGGTGGGGTGGGGTGGGGTGGGGTGGGGTGGGGTGGGGTGGGGTGGGGTGGGGTGTGGTGTGGTGGGGTGTGGTGGTGTGTGTGTCTGTGTGTCTGTGTGTCTGTGTGTCTGTGTGTCTGTGTGTCTGCGTGTGTCTGTGTGTCTGTGTGTCTGTGTGTGTGTGTGTGTCTGTGTGTGTCTGCGTGTGTCTGTGTGTGTCTGTGTGTGTCTGTGTGTGTCTGTGTGTGTCTGTGTGTGTCTGTGTGTGTGTCTGTGTGTGTCTGTGTGTGTGTCTGTGTGTGTCTGTGTGTGTCTGTGTGTGTGTGTGTCTGTGTGTGTCTGTTCGTTGTGTATGCGCGTGGTTGTGTGTGGGTGTGTACGTGTTTATGTCTGTGTCTTCACGTGTGTTTGTCGCATTGGCTAATCATATTTTTGGGCAGGGGCGCTACAAGCTGCAATATTAGCATTCCCATGCAACGCGTCGGATCTCTCGCCATGCTCAGAAACACAGTCACGAGTCATGACACCGCGCTGGGCTGATCCCGAGCCCGACCTTCAAAGGCAGAACCCGGCCGTCAGGCACAACTCACAAGTTGGACCCGTAGAACTGTTCAGGTCGCCAGGCATGCTTTGGAAAAGAACATGGTGAAAAGTACAACTATTCGCTTAGTTTTAGCGTAAACCTTTTTTTCTGTCACGTGCTTGCTAAGAATACGGCCCCTGAAGCTCGATGTCGCCCGAAGTGCCGCCTCTTAGAGAGGAGGTACCACCCAGGGCCCCTAAGGTTGACCATCCCCTCATTCTAAAGTTGGGGCGTGATTCATCTCCGAGCTGCCAGATTCATCAGTGACACCTGGGCCGAAAGCAAATCGGGTTGACTTCCCAAGCAATACATGTACATTGAACGGGTCGTGCTAACATTCTGGCAAAACAACAAAGTTACTTGAAAACAAGAGTACCCAAAGCCGCCCCCACGTGATTTCACCTCGCCAATGGAGGGAAACCCCCGCAACAGCTCCGCCCAGTCGTTGGGACAGTTCCGATCCAGAGTTGCCAGTGGCATAAGTTTGGGGCTTCTCAAAAGGGGGACCTCCTTTACCCAGGTGGATCCACTAAGCTGTCTACAGGGAGCCAACCATGTATGGGTAGCAACACGGGGAGCCAAAACCAGAACCATGGCTGGTTACCTACACGGGCCACTGGGATCCACTGGGCTCGGTGATCAAAACAACCAAAGGGATGTCGTAGTGAGATGCCTATGGGACAAGCCAAAACAGCCAATCACATGCAGGCGATTCTGGCAAGCGGTCCCACGAGCGAATATGTTGAATACATATATATATATATATATGCCAATAGGCAAGCATGCCATGTGTCCAAATCCAATAGGTGCTTTCTAACAGCTCGACAAAGCGACAGCTTTGGGCTGGTAGTGAGGACAACCAAACTAAAACTAGGTAAAACTCGTGCCATCTATTTTCAGCCAAACTGATCTGAAAGGATACATATGGTTTGCTTGCTTCAACCTCTCAGCCTCTGTCTTTGGGCAAACTGTGCTCATGCTGCCTTCAAGCCAAGTGACAGAAACCGTCAGGATGACTGCCACAAAGAATATGATGAGCTCTGGCCGAATAATGCATATAGGCATATACCTCAGCTGCACATCTCCTGGCACTCAGTGAACAAACGTCGTATCAAAGTAAATTGCAGGTGCGGCTGCATGTGCTGCAAATCCAATTTCGCGAATTGATAAAAAGAATGAGCTCAGATTGCAACGGGTCAACGATGTTGATGGTATGTCTACCATGTTGGTCCCCCAGCATCTTCTGCAGTACGTAGCCGTCGCAGAAACAGGAGGCATGGGGAAAGTTCAGAAAGCCTCATTTTCTTTTAGGAATTGCACTGCAGCCTCATGTCTGTCTCTGACATGCTCCGCCTCCGGGCACTCACACAAGGCATGTCGCACTGTAGCAGGACCACCACACTTCTCGCATATTTCAACGTCAACTGGTTCACGGAAAAAGGGCTCGTGTATCCACTCAGAAAAGCATCAGTGATCCGTGTAGAAAGAAATGCAAAATCACTGCTCATTGCCGCAGCCCGCCAACACAGCTGTGACTCACACAAGCCAACAATATGGAGCTGAACACGTCGAAATTGAGTCCTGCAACTGCTAGCCACTGGATGCCGAATTGTTGCACGTCAGAAAAGGGTAGGTCACGAGGGTAGGTCACCAGACCGCTTGACAAGAGCAACACGCGTGGCTGACGTGCCCATGGTGGACTCCTGTTCGTGAACATGTTGTTAGATTGTTGTCATCTCAAAGCTGATGCAAGCAGCTGACATGGCATCTCCATCCCAATGTTGGCCCCCCTCCTGTTTTGGGTCAACTTGCAATGCCCATCACAAGGGACACAAACATCCTAATTTCTCTCCACATCCCACTCCGGAGGAAGACACTGGCTAGTATCCATCGAGTTGCCACATAAACCACAGTCTGAGTGAATACGGATACGCGCACAGCGTGTTGGGGCTCTTTGCCATCCCCTTCAATCTAAGGTGGTTTCCGCTATGGAGAAAAGTGGGCATATGCTGGCCTATAATAACCAACTAGGTCCTCCAGTAGAGAGGTTAGAATATAAGGGTACCCTTTTTTCTGTAGTATTTTAGTAGGGGAACCCTCCCCTCAAAAAAGGTAAAAAAGGCACTACTGGCGGACCTAGCCAAGCATACTAAGTGGAAACAGGTAGAAATGTGCCAGAAGTCCGGCCATGCACTGCGAGGTCTGTTGACCATGAGAGCAGCTGATCGCTATGTCGGACCCCCCCGCATGGTTTCGGTGTCCACCTCATTAGAGAATTTTTGTTGGAGGAAAATAAAATGCAAGGTCGGGACAAAACAGAACAAGTACCTATCCCTTTTGGGTTTCCTGTGACAATTCACAGTGAGCTTGGGGATTGTGATTTTGGTGACCCTTTGGTGTACAGCTGCAAGGTGTCTTATGTTCAAAACCCACTCTTCAGGATGTTGCCCATTAAAATTCGTAGCCATGCAGCACGGCATGTCAAAATGTTGGCTCATACACGCCGCGGTGCACAGCCGAGATGGAGTCCGCGCTGACAAAGGACACGAGTGTCAGCAAGGTCCTGAACAAAACGAAGCATGATTGCAAACTCATGGGAACATTTGCGCGACCAAAACCCATGGTCTGTTGGTTCTACCTGGAGTCTCCAGGACCCTTTAAAATGGGTCCGTGACCCCTGTATTTTGGGCCAGTGGCCCCATTTTTTAGGGTCATGGAGACTCCAGGTACTAGCATGGTTGTCAAGGTTTGTATAAGCTTTACTAGAAATCCCAATTCAACCAGGTAGAAAAAGCTACTGAACTGTCCAATGGGGGGGGGGGGGTGCGAAGCAGGAGCTGCTCATTTGGCTCCAAAAATGCGAAGCAAAGGTCAACCCCTTGCCGAAGTTGTTCAGTGATCCATGTTGGGACTGGACACATGAACGGTTGCGCAGGGCACAGAGCAAAACCGCCAACTGGTGAACACGAAATTGCTCCAAAACGAATGGTGCACGGTTTCAGCAGCCGGCTCCTTTGTAGGCTGCCAAAGTAATACTCCACGATATGCGCAGTGTCGGGATGCCTCGGGCAAAGCCACTATGGCCAATCATACCGTCGAATCGGGCGCAAGTGGCAACGCCACCAGATCTCTCAGATACAAAGAGAACAACAGCATCAGCAACAGCAATACCAGCAGCAGCAGCAGCAACAGCACGATCAGCGCAACAGCAGAAGCAGCGCAACAGCAGCAGAAGCAGCAGCAGCCAATGCTGACGTCGTGGGAGCGCCACCGCGTGCAAGGCAAATATAGCACCAAATGTGTCGCGTTGGCAACCTTTGGGTGATGTGCATTAACATCAAGATATCAAGTTGTCTTCATATATGCGCATCATTGGGTGATATTGGTGCATCGACAGGTGCATGAAGCAGGACTAAAACGAAAGTTCATGTACATCCTTCCTGCAAGCAAAAGAGCCAAAACTAGACCTCCTCATGTAGAACCAAGGCCAGGGCCCTTCAATAAGAACCCGTGCATTGGCTCTTTAGAAACTGTTTCCTAGCAAGCCCAAGCCTAGGTAAAGGAATCGACTTTTGAGCAACGGCTCCAATAAGCAGAGCCGCCCTGCCAATAGCGTGTCCTTGGTGATGATCTCCACACCTGGCATGCAAAGGAGACGACCACAGTGGCGACTTGGACCACACCTTATGTTTCACATATGCGGGGCCTAACAGTGGACCCCCCCCGAAACAGAAGGGTTTGTCCTTTGCGGTCCCCTGTAAAGTAACCCAAAAACAGTACCCATAAAACCGCATATACAGATATGTAGATATATTATATGTATATATCATATGTAGACATATATATATATATTTGTATATATATATATATATATGTATGTATAGTTAACCCCGACAACGCAATTAACATGGTCTTGGAAAAGACCCCAACGGTCTCGGCGTCTTGGACAAATGGTTTTGGCCAAATGACTGATGCTTACTGCTTCTTCAGCTCTTTGGAAGGCCCCGAAAACAAGAGGCCCCGCAAGGAATTTGCTGATTGAGGGATCCCAAAAGGAACCGTCTTCATGGGTGAGCTCGAGCAACCCCCTAGAACCGCACAAGGGTTGATCCCGTAGGTGCGTCAGTCGCAAAGATAGCACCTGCTGACGAGAACCGGTGGAATCAATCTATGCTCAACCAAACTTACCTTAATTGATCTTATTATCACGCCTGAAAAAGAATCGATCGAGGAAGGCTTTGGGACACAAAGAAGCACCTTGCTTCATTGGCGGCTCCGATTCGAATCGGAGGTGAACACTAATACCACCAGCAACTGCTTGTTCCCATGTCCAAAACCCCAAGTACTGTCCAAAAGCAGTGGTTGAGGATGGATGCAACGCACTGTCCTGATTGGTTGCATGCAATGGATCTTCCCAGACAACATGGGCCATTCCAAGGGTAAACTGCTAGGACCTTATCCAACTCGAAGACCAACGAGCGTTTAGAAAATGGCCACCAGAAAAGGCTCGATGGCATCTAGCCAAATGTAAGGGCTGGAAATTGCTATGGGTGAGGATATGAACTGCCGATTCTTCAAGTTTCCTCCTGGGATCTCTTCGCCAATCAACTGGGTCTGATACATGTAACAGGGATGCGCATATTGACCCAGGCTGAAACACAAACCCGGTCAGCATGCTTTCGTTGGCCCGCTCAAGACATGGAAGTTATCCCAGGCTGCTTTCACAGGACATGGAGGTTGATCAAAAGGTCCGAAATACATCCCATGGGTGGGAAACCCACTTATATCCACTAATTGGGAAAAGCTACCCATGATCATTTTGGAACCTGGAATGTTCATCGACCCTCACTTCATCCGCATAGATTCCATCCTGGGAACAGTCAGCGAAGCCCAGGGAGTGCGCTCAGAATGGGCACTCCCACCCCCCCCCAAAAAAAATGAAAACCAAAGACAGATTTCCCCTCAGATTCCATTTAAGCAATTTTAACAATTTATGCAACGGAAGTCATTTAAGCCATTCCAAAAACGCGAAACGAGAACCCCCCCCAAAAGAAAACAACAGAAAAAGGGGGACATTCACATCGTCCACTTAATTACACACAAGGGGTTGCATGTGCACCTTGGCGGTCAAAATTGCCAATCTCCGCGTTGTTCTGGGTTTGTTGGGGATTCCCCCCCCCCGTGCCTAAGCAGGCGAAGATGTACAAAGTCAGGAGCAGGATGAAGAAGGTGGAGAGCATCGCGTTTCCCGAGGTCAGCAGGCCATAGACCAGCCGCCAAACTGTTCTGAACATGTGCAGCATCCGGATCGCCTCAGGCCGAAGCTTCCAAAAGCCGTGCCAAGATTCTAGGTGTTTCGCAACAGGTAGCTAGCCATGTTCCGTTGGGTGGTTCCTTTTTGGTCACCTTGTATACTTGGAAATGGAACCACTGAGGCGTGCTGGAATTTCTCAATGGAAAGACTCGAGATCATGGGGATGCACAGTGTCGCAACACTTCACCAGTTGTCTCTGCTCGCTCAACGTCTGCCCCGCGGCAAACAAAATGCATAGCGTTGATCAGCGTGCAAGTGAAGACTGAGTATCTGCCCTTGGTTTGGGGACAAATGTGGGTCTTGGGCGTCGGCTTCGAACAACAATCCGAGCCATGCAAGCAGACCGAAACCTGCGTGTCAGTCTGTGCATGACGGCCCCTGGCTGCCATGTCCAGCCGGACAGGAGCCGCAAGGGAAACCAAACGCAAGCGCCAAAGACCACCCCTGGTCCGGCTTCAAGTCCCCTCTCCAATCGCTGTCTCAACAAGGTCCAGTATCCAACCCAACCCTGTCCAGTCGCCCGAGCATGTTACGTACTCTCATGCCTTCAAGCCAGGCTTGCGTCAAAGCGACTCTCAGAGACGAAGCGAGTATCCCTCGATTGTTGGCAAGATGTCCTTGCTATTCGCTCCGCCTGAACGCCCCCCAACAACAATAGTCACTCCATTCGGGGCAAGCAGTTCCCAATTAGCCGCATGCCTGCGAACAGCTTGCGGCAAACAAACCTGCCGGGTCTGAGGGCCCCGCCCGTACCAGGCGCAGAAGCCGAAGAGAACGCACCACCAAAATCTTGGTCAAGGCGCTCTCGCCTCGAAAGCCCCGACCTTTTTGCCCGACGCCCTTCACGAAAGGGCTAGAATGCAGCTGGCAATAAGAAAAACCGGCCGGTGGCAGAGTGAACTGTGGTTCTGCGGCTACCTGCATGTGTCTCGGATCATTCGATATCACTCCAAAAAATAATGCTTAAACAAACACAATCTGGTGACCTATTCACAAGTTGCGGTCCTAAGTGAAGAGAGACAAATGAATGGGAAGGCTAGTGCTCAAAATTCATGCCTTCCCCAATCCAGCATTCTCCCTCACTTCTCTTCGTTCATTCCCTTCATGCCCTTCTCTCAATATTGGCTCACAGAGATGCCAAGTGAGAGAAGGGATAGAAGAGATTGAAGAGATAGGGCGGTATACAGGTGGAAGGAATAGGAGCGGTGTAGGAGGGACTTGGGATTATCTTGCACACATTAAAACCATTGAGTTTCATTCATGTTGGTTACTTTTGGTCTGCGAGGAATCTGGAACGCATCGCAAAAGGACCAGAAAATAAACGTTTCGCGTCCATCGCATTGGCCTCCAATCATCCACTTCTCTGCAGCGAAGAGACTTTTGGAGGAAAGAGATAACTTGCTGGTTTGATAAGCAGGAAATCAGATGGAATGACGCCTCAAAAAAAACTTCCCCTATGTGGTTTCCGATAAGGGAATCCCCTTCCGGCTCATTCCCAAATCCCGTAAGGTCATTCACCAAAGAAAAAGGCATGGATGATGAGCGGATGGATGCTTAAGATGTAAACAAGATATGGAAATCATACTAGTCAGATTGCATGTTGAGAGATAACAATAAACAAGACATAAACAATGACAGGCTTATAGTATTTAAATCAGAGATTGATGACAACAAAGAAAACCTCATGCCAGGATGAATCAATGTCTAATAAAAAAAGGCTTATCGAAAACGTAGTACCTTTAGAGAAAGATGATTATATCTTTCAGGTTGTGTGTTTACAATCAAGTTTGACCATGTACAAAAACATGTCATAGATATATAAATATAGACTAAATATGGAAGTCCTTTGAGCTGAGAACATATTTAACTGTAAGGCTAATAAAACAAGTAATCTTACGTGACTTAGTATTTGTCTGTTTATTTATGAATTTATTTTCTTTCATTATCCATTTCTCTATGTACAAGTTACTCAAGGTCTAGCAGCACGTGAATTAAATTGCGCCTTGCACAATCATTCCAAACCTGAAAGACTGGATTCCCAAAACATCATGAGCTCAGGTTGCCCTATGTGAGCTCGCACCATTTTTTGGCCGCTGATTTGAGACAAATACGCTACTCAGCTGATAGAACATACAACAGCGATTGTGACCAAACTTCCATGGATTCAAGCAGAGGTTGCCACATGCCGTCACACAAAATGACAACCACTGAATTGCTCTTTGTAAAAAGACAAATAGACGGGGACCTTGTTCAGAATGCCTCCGGGTATCAAAACGTCTAGGCGAAGCGCCCGAATCCATGCTGCTCTTCAGGATGGGGTCCAAAATGTTTCCAAGCAAACCCATCGCCACCAAGGCGAGGTCGAAGAGAAACCTGAGGTCAATGCACAGGGCTCGTCTCTTTTGAGTGGTACCAATTTGGGGGGGGGGGAGAAGTGTATTTGGCTGTGGGTCAAAATTAAACCAGGATATGGACCGCAGGTTTTAGTCTTCATTCCCTCGAGGGTAACCAATTTCGGCTACCTATTTTTGACCCACAGCCATTTATCTTCCAGAATATGGGTGGCTCGTGTTGGGGCCCTACAAAAACGCGCTCACATTTCATTGGGTTCGCTCAATAGATGCAGAGCCCCAGCTCGAATCCAGCAACTTGGGGAGCCCTGTGTTCTTGTTACACCCCTTGTTGGGTTGGTTTACAGGGAATTGAAAGGAACACCATCCCCCATTTCCCCTCTTTTGACACATACCCACTTCATTGTTCCTAAGCTCCCAATTTTGGTCTCCCGGTGATTTACAAAGCAACCAGCAAAAAGTCTTCACTTTGCACATCGCAACCGCGGTGTCGCTATCCGGTAAAAGAATAAAAACGCGTGCCTGCTCGAACATGGCTCCAAATCAAAGGTATCAGCAGACTGCCCCGCAAGGAACGGAGGGTTTAGAGGTCTCCGCATCTGAGGCGATGTCTACCTATAAACTGTTAGGAGGCATGCCTCAGCTTTAAAGGGTCACATAGAGAGCTCAGGTCGGCTCATGTTCTGTAATATCTTCCTTTAGCGTTTTTTTGTCATAGAAACATGAAGCTGTCCCTTTTTTTCGCATTCTCAAGCGGTATGTTCCACACCAGTTGGTATCGCGGAACGGGATGCAAATCAGATCACGTCTCTCAGAGCCCATGAACGGACTCATGACCCGCTTTCCAAAGGGCTGCTTTTATGCGAAAACATGCAGATGGCCACCAAGAACGACATCCTCATGTTCCAACCACATGAGTTGCACGGGTGAATGCGGGAACATGTTGCGACGATATCAACGCTTGGACATGAAATAAGGACACATAACCAGAGAGTGGAGAGTAACAGCGGTGTGCAACACAATTCAGAGATGACAGCCAGGCATTTTTGCCGCCTCACACAATCTGACGCACAAGTGAACAGGGATTGCCAAACACAGGACGCAAGGCTCAAGCAACACTCCAGTTGATATAAGGGAGAAGCTGAGAAAACAAAACTGTTGCCACCATTTGCAAGGAGAATGCATGGCATGTCTGAGGATTTGTGACCCAACCTCTGGCACATTTGGTTGTTCACTAGTTGGGTTCAGGGCTGTGAAACAAATCTGTGCATGCTTGTCCTATGTGGACAGTCGCTACCCCTTGACACAGCCAGTTGCGCAAACGACAACAGCATGCTCCAGCAGTCTCGCTGCTCGAATCCAGGTCGAACATGTGCCGTGCCTGGTAGAATCTTCCTGGAGTCTCCGTGACCCCTAACAAAAAGAGGTCATCACCCAAAATAATGGGGTCATGGACCCATTATTAAAGGGTCATGGAGACTCCAAGTTTGTGCAACCCCCCCCCTGCCCCCCACGCGGAATTTCTACGAATTGTTTCTGGCCCCCTGTCTTTAGTGACCCGTTGCTCGGCAGTTCAAACCACGGGCTTGCAACTTCAGCGTTTGCCACTCGTAACATGCTTGATTCTGGTCCACGTTTAGTGATCTTTCAGCTTACACGTAAGCAATCTTCACAAGAGATCCCGAAAAACAAATACATCACCCCGCACAAAAACGAAAACAGGAAAAACAACGCACCAAGCACCAAACAGAAACCCATCAACTTGCGTCACTTGCGCCACTTGCGGTCTTTGTTTGCCATGGCACCAAGTGTCCTTGAAGTTTGTCCTGCCGTTGGCCACCAGGCGAATGGCCAGCTCCGTCACGTAGATGCAGATGAACATCGCGTCCAGCGCCTGGCATCCGAGCGAGGCAGGGGCTTTTGTCTAGGCAGGTATAGCTATGGCTGTGGTGGTCAAAACCCAAGGTATTCCTGGTGAACATCAAGGTGGCAAATGGATGTTCATCCCCAAATGGAGTCATAGGATATGCCGCACAGCCGTATGGGAAGGGATACAGCTTCTCAGGTGTAGAGGTATGGCCAAGTGATTAGTGAGCCAGCTGGGTATAGGTACGGGTAGGGGTACAGCTGTAGGTATAGATATAGTGGTGTCGTGCGTGTGTGCTTGCAAAGTGAAAGATGTGTCTGCTTGCCACCAGGCTGTCTTGCCAAAGTGAAAGAGGATCGTTTCTCGGAAGATTCGCTCGCAAGAAACAACGAATGCTACAACTTCTCATGTTCGCGGAGCCAACATGTTTTGAGGCCAATCTCGACTGTAAACCCGTGCAGGGAAAGGGGTCCTTTGACAGGTTCCGGAAAGTCTCCCTGATTCACCTCTGTCTCGGAGACTCCCGTGCTTGCCAACGTGATCAGACTGATGGGTTGAAACGGGGATGCCACTCGATTCACTTGCCCCAAACCATCCGAAGTCATCCCGAATCAAGTCCTCGGAGCCCTTCCTTCCTCACATGAAAAGGGCTCGGTGCCGTTCCTTTGGTTTCTCTTTAAACCCACCTGGACCCTCAAACTACCCTCAAACTACCCTCAAAAATAGGATTTCACCCCATAATGTTGGGCTATAATCCACTTTTTTAGTGATTTTGAGGGCTCAGGCACCCCAACAAGGCTACGTATCATCAAACAACAGCGCACACACCCAGACGCGCATCCATAAGCCGCTCGCAAGCTTTCGCGCGTCACACTTGCAAGAAGCGCCTCCCCAGGCCATTCTGGCAAGAGCTCTGAGGAGATGGACTTCTGGGTGTCGATACCAATGCAGATGGAGTTGAAGAAGATGATCATGCCTGCAGCTGATCATGCCCTACGAAATGCCTAGCAAGGGCTGTGGTGGTCAAAACCAATGGAAACTACCATTTTGGGTTGGTATATAGGTGCACCACCCAATTGTGACCCTATTTTAGTGGGGATTGGGATGTTCACTGGGGGTAGGGGGTTTTGACCCATGGCCATATTTATGTCCTGAGTTGGTACCGGTTTTGAGTGCTGTTGTTTGAAAGGGAAACCAAAAGGAAAACCGCGTTCCCTTTGTCTGTCGCAAAAAGACACATGCCCACTGTGGGTGGACGAAAAATAAAGGCAGAACAAAGGGGTGCTTTGGGGGTCCAGGTAACTAGACTGGCAGCTGGACGCATTGGGATGGATGCGTCTCAATTTTGGCCCAACTAACTGAAATGGCAAGGGTATCCTTTTGATTTCACCATGCCAACAGGTGCGAAACTCCCAAGTGAGCAGAGCGTGTTTTATCAATTGAGCTTTGGTCCTACTGACATGGCTATAGAGGCATGTATAGCCTTTAGCATAACACCAGTCAAACCAGGTAGTAGAAGCACCGTCTATGAGGGTGTTCGTCACATACTCTTTTGAGTGTCATGTTGGAGGGTACATCGCACACAAGCCATGGCCAGGCAACAGGACAACCAATCCGAACAAGCCAGGGTTTGACTTGCTGGGTTTCTTATGTTGTTTCTCAACATCATTTTGGAAAATGGGCGCATGTATGCATGTATGCATGTATGCATGTATGCATGTATGCATGTATGCATGTATGCCTGTATGCATGTATGCCTGTATGCCTGTATGCATGTATGCATGTATGCATGTATGCATGGTATGCATGTATGTATGTATGTATACAGATATTTATGTATGTATGTATGTATGTATGTATGTATGTATGTATGTGTGTGTGTGTATGTATGTATGTATGTATGTATGTATGTATGTATGTATGTATGTGTGTGTATGTATGTATGTATGTATGTATGTATGTACGTACGCACGTATGTATGTGTGTGTGTATGTATGTATGTATGTATGTACGTACGTACGTACGTATGCATGCATGCATGCATGCATGCATGCATGCATGCATGCATGCATGCATGCATGTATGCATGTGTGTATGTATGTATGTTTGTGTGTATGTACGGGTGATGTGTGCATGTGTATGTATAGTTGTATGCATGTGTGTGTATGCGTGCATGTAAATGCATGTACGTATATGTTGTGTTCAATATGTTTGCATTTATATGTATGCAAGTATGTATTGATCGATGTATCTAGGTGCATGCATATGTATGTATATATGATACATGCATATCTATGTAAAGGTATATGTACATGTGTTATGCATATGTATGCATATGTAGGTATACACATGCATTCATTCCGGCATGCAGGTATGCAATGTGATAATGCATGTGTATATATATATATATGCAATCACTTATACATGTATGAACATATGCATGTATGTCTGAATGTATGCATGTGAGATTCTCTGTTTGCTTGTTTGTTAGTTTGGTCGGTTGCTTGTGTGTTTGTTCGTGCAGAAAACAACCCACAAACAACAAAATGTTCTTCTTGACTTCCAGCGCGGTTTGCCCAGAACTCGGGAAGTGACTTGCTGGTGCTCAGCAGGGAATGACCTTGACCGGGTGCTGGGAATGAACCGGATTTCGGGATTCCCGTAAAGGAAACCAAATCGGGGATTATTTTGATCGGGGATTATTTTGTTCGGGGTCATTCCCTTTCCTTTCAATGAACCTCGGGATTTCCTGAAAGGAAGCCACAGCCTGGATGGCTTTTATAGGGGTTATTCCATTTCTCATTCCCTGCAATGAACCTTGGGATTCCCCTAAATTGGATGGTTTTGTAATAGGGGTTATTCCACGAATCATTCCCTGCCTATCGAACCCATCGGTGGTCATTCCACTTCTCATTCCCCTGCCGATCGATTCAAAACTGGGTGTCCGAAACGGAACCCTGGTAAATGGCATGGCCCAAAACCAGCGGTCCATATCCTTCCCTGCCTATCAAACCTAGGAATTCCCTTTTAAATATAGGATAGTTATATATATATTATACATATATATATATATATATATGAATATATGTATGTATATAGATGTGTGTCATTCCATGTGAGTCCTTCTCTATCGACGCCATCGGTGGTTAAAATCCTCATTTCGAGGTGCCCATGGCCCAGTCGAACTGAGGCTTGGCCACCAGCCACTTGCACCAGCTGCAGAGGTTTTTGTGGTCCCGCACGCTGGAGGAGTTGGACTCCTCGTCGATGAGGTCCTTCCACTTGGAACCTGGAGGTCTCGAAAAATCGGGGGGAACACCACCTAGAATGAGTGGTGGTAGGTCTCAAAATCGAGGAAAACCGCCTAGAATGAGTGGTGGTAGGTCGCAAAATCGGGGAAACCCACCCACGTTTCTGGGTGGTTTTCTGTTGGCTTCCCTTCAAAGCCATCTAAGAAGGGCACTCGCCTGCGATTTTCATCCTGGCAAAGGTCCCCTGAAGCAGGCCAACAAGTTTTACGAGCAAAATCATGGCGACTTGCCGCTACAAGGCAGCGATTGCTCCCTAAGAGGACAATTCACCTAAACCAAGCCCGACCAGTAATCTTTAAACGTACGGAAAAGGGTCACGTCGGGACAAGGCCATCTTTTACCGTGGAATAAAGCAGTCCATTTCACACGAATAAAACCATGGAAAACAACGGCAGGAACCTCCAGAAGAGGAAGCCACCACATGTTCAAAACCGTAATCTTCGTGGTGCCAGCGAGAAATCAACGGTTTTGGGAATGAATCAATTTGCAAATTAGACTATAATTCCAAAAGCTGAATTAAGAATTGGATCCCCAAAGTCAAGACTGACGTTGGAATCAGATGTAACATAGCCAGACAGCAAACAATACACAACAGATCGTGCTTGTTGTGTGCTGTTCGTTGCTTGGTTGTTGTGTATTGTTGATTGTCAATAAATGTAAATAATAACAAAAGACAGGAAAGTAAGGTGAGGTAGGTGCGGGAGTGGGGTGTGGCAACACAGTAGAAGGGCCGAGGAGAAAAACAACAACACAGAACACGCAAACCAACAAACAAACAAGCACACACACACCGAACAAAACACAAACATATTGAAACACTAGACACTAGCAGAATCGTGTTCTTTATGTCAGTTGTGTGCTTTGCGTTGTTTCCTTGCATACTTGTCCTAATATTGTTGAACCCCCCCCCAATAAAGGTCTTGGCTGTACATCATAACTTCAGAGCAAACTACAGGATCGGGGTCCATAGATTCATCCCCCTTTCTCAGAACCCATCGCATGCTGTTTGTTCGGGTACGAGTTGCCCCCCAGTTGGATCAGAGATCCCATGCTTGGTTGACGTTGGAAGGGGAGCAAAACATATTTGTTTGAAGCTAAGTGGGGATTTCCCACTAAACCACAATGAGCAAAAATGTAAAATGTTTCCCAACAACAACCATGAATGGGTCATATTGACAAGCCAACGAGCCGCGACCAGTTCTTGCTCCTTTGCTCAAGCCGGGCATTCTTTGGGCAGCCGAAGAAAGAAACCTTCACTTAGCCTTCCGATGCGTCAGTTGCCGACCTGTGCTGTTTGCTGAAAGGTAGATCAGACAGGGACCCTCAAACAGCACGGTTTTCCAAAGGCCTTCATTTCAAAGCCCCGCAAATGGACCATCTGTCAACAAACCAAACAACACACCCAACATGCATGTTGGTTCTGGTAAGGAAAACACAAAGCAATCGGAAGCAAATCAGATGGGTGTGGGTCAATAATAGGTACCCAAAATGGAACCCTGGTAAATGGAAACAATGAGTACAACCTGCGGTCCCCTGGTGGGTTAAATCCTGCGCCACTTGGGATAAAAGAAACCGTACAAGTAATGGGCTAAAACACCAACGAATACCTACGAACTGGTGCAGGATTTTGTTCATCCCCAGTATGTCAACCTGTACTGTCTAGGTCCTCCAGCAGAGAGGTTAGAAGAAGGGTACCCTTTTTCGGTTGTCTATTTTAGTAGGGGAACCCTCCCCCCGAAAAGAGTAAAAGGGTACTACTGGGCGACCTCCATGGATGTTGCGACCCCGACTTCCGCGACTGGAGGCTCCTACACATCTGATGGGTTCTGCCCCTTGGGTCCAAGAATGGTGCCCATGTCCAAATTTTCCCGAACCCCGAAATGGACTAATCATCGTGGATCCTCGCGCCGGTCTCTAAACAAAGGTAGGGGAACCTCAACAAAAACACACACACACACACACACAAAAAAACAAAAACATGGATCCTCCTGGTCTCCATGTAGCATCATGTAAACCAAGCCAGGGGATTCTAAAAAAACACGCCTGTACCGCATCGCGGTCTGTTGCCCATGCCGAGCGACCGTCAAGCTCTGCCGCGGTGGTGGCCCTGCCAAACCTTGGACTCTTCAACTTGCTACATTCCGCCGGAACAAAATGAGGGTGATAGATTCCCTTTAAACCCATCCAGGGAACATGATATGTCCAGTACCTGGAGTCTCCTTCTGACCCTGTAAATTGGGTCCATGACCCCATTAGTTGGGGTAATTGCCAACCATCTTTAAGGGTCATGGAGACTCCAGGTAGTGATAGATTCCCTCTAAACCCAACCAGGGAACATGATATTCAAAGGAAATGGAAGGACTTCAAAACAGGAACGCAGAAGATGGGCAAAAACAGAGCCCTGTTCAAATAATTGCGCTCTGTGCCCCCTGAAAACCCTCGGAGTAGCCCAATCGCCTTGGGTAAAGGGGCCCCTCTTCGAGTCAAATATTCAGTGTGGAATGAATCATCAACTAGGTTAGGGCATCATGCATGTGTTTCAGTCCAACTCATTTGACATCAACCTGAGGTTGCAGATCCACCACTCAGATTTATCGCCACAAGGTAAACAAGAGAAAACCTGGGAAAACGGAGTACTCCGGTCATATGGCTGAAGCTATGGCGTGACAGATTTCCAAGTTGGAAAGAAGGAAACCTTTGCAACACCCCAAGGAATCCTTGCCGCGATCATATTTACCCAGTGGGGGCTTTTGCCACTTGCGTAGATTTCCTCTTCAACGAGGAAACCCCCAGTAAAGGCCTTTCACTCTGCAAGCGCCTTGTGAGCTGAGTGAAACCCCAAAACAAAACTCGAGTGATTGAGCTCAACAGCCACCTTGAGCTTTTCGTGTCAACAGAGAGGAGTCTCTTGTGAGGACGGAAAGGTTGTGTACCATTCTCAAGGGCAGGGAGCCTTGGGTCCGTTGAGTGCTTGAGGTAAGGGCCCTCACAAATGCCAAACCAAACCAAGCGACGTCTTCTTCCGTACGCTGCTCTGCTTGCTGCCAGACTCCTCTTTGCAGTCGTCCATTGCCTCTTTCATCTGCAGCCAGTTCAGATTGGGTGTGGCGGTCTCGCTCTCCTCATCCGTTCCAGCTTTGAAGCCATTCCTGAGTTGAAGCGCCACTGCAGCGAATCGGCGAATTGTACGATCTTGGGCAACATGGATGAAGTGAACGGAAACTGGCAATCAATCGCTTGTGAGAGCCCTCCCAAGCATATTGAAACTGTCCGTGCATGTTCCTCACCCATTGCCGAGTTGAGGTGTGTGTGTGTGAGTATATAATCATTAGTCAAGTGTCAGCCAAACAACATAATCAAACTATCACACGCTCTCTCTCTCTCTCTCACACACATGCACACGCACACGCTCACGCGCACGCGCGTGTATGCAGCACAGTATCTCCGACATATCACCCACAAAACAGTCAATAGTACGCGCACCGGACAAGACACTGCGTCAAATAGACATAGGAAGAAAAACACAAATACAGTGACCTGTTCAATGCACGTGTGCCGGGCGACTTGGGGCAAGAGTTACCCTGTGGAAAAGGTCAAAATGGACCTTCATGACGGCAAACAGGTCACTTAGGGATCGCTCAAACGGTTCACTTAGGGATCACGGTCACTTAGGGATACACGCTCACTTGAGGATCACATTCACGGATCACTTAGGGATCACATTCATTGATGACGGAGGTGGGGAGGGGGGGGGGTTGGTATGATAAGCACACCCGCTCAACTGCTGCAGACCAGCCTGCTCCTTTACCGGATTACAAAGTATCTGGGGAGGGGGTGGGGGGGGGGGATGATAAGCACACCCGCTCAACAGCTGCAGACCAGCCTGCTCCTTTACCGGATTACAAAGTAACATGGCTCTGGGGAGGGGGTGGGGGGGGGGTTCGTATGACAAGCACACACGCTCAACTGCTGCAGACCAGCCTGCTCCTTTACCGGATTGCAAAGTAACATGGCTCTGGGGAGGGGGTGGGGGGGGGGGGATGATAAGCACACCCGCTCAACAGCTCAGACCAACCGGCTCCTTTACCGGATTACAAAGTAAAATGGCTCTGGGAGACCAGCCTGCTCCTTTACCGGATTACGAAGTAACATGGCTCTGGGGAGGGGGTGGGGGGGGGTTGGTAAGCGCGCACGGCCTTTATGCAGACCGGATTACAAAGTAACATGGCTCTGGGGAGGGGGTGGGGGGGGGATGATAAGCACACCCGCCAACAGCTGCAGACTAGCCTGCTCCTTTACCGGATTACAAAGTAACATGGCTCTGGGGAGGGGGTGGGGGGGTTAATCCCAGGCTGTTTTTGACACACAGACACTGCACAACACCTCGTTACGGCTTTATAGAGATACTCGTATGTTTTTCAAAGACCGCTTTTTAGCGCACACTGATTTAATATACCTCCTTCTGGAAACGATGTACAACATTGTTTGGTTGCCCTCATGGTATGATAAGCACACCCGCTCAACTGCTGCAGACCAGCCTGCTCCTTTACCGGATTACAAAGTAACATGGCTCTGGGAGGGGGTGGGGGGGGGGTTGGTATGACAAGCACACCCGCTCAACTGCTGCAGACCAGCCTGCTCCTTTACTGGATTACAAAGTAACATGGCTCTGGGGAGGGAGTGGGCGGGGGGGGGATGATAAGCACACCCGCTCAACAGCTGCAGACCAGCCTGCTCCGTTACCGGATTGCGAAGTAGCATGGCTCTGGGGAGGGGGTGGGGGTGGTTGGTATGATAAGCGCACCCGCTCAACTGCTGCAGACCAGCCTGCTCCTTTTCCCTCGCTCAACAGCTGCAGACCAGCCTGCTCCTTTACCGGATTACAAAGTAACATGGCTCTGGGGAGGGGGTGGGGGGGGGGATGATAAGCACACCCGCTCAACAGCTGCAGACCAGCCTGCTCCTTTACCGGATTACAAAGTAACATGGCTCTGGGGAGGGGGTGGGGGGGGGGGCAATGATAAGCACACCCGCTCAACTGCTGCAGACCAGCCTGCTCCTTTACCGGATTACAAAGTAACATGGCTCTGGGGAGGGGGTGGGGGGGGGGGCGGATTACAAAGTAACATGGCTCTGGGGAGGGGGGGGGAGTTGGTATGATAAGCACACCCGCTCAACTGCTGCAGACCAGCCTGCTCCTTTACCGGATTACAAAGTAACATGGCTCTGGGGAGGGGGTGGGGGGGGGGCATGACAAGCACACCCGCTCAACTGCTGCAGACCAGCCTGCTGCTCTTTTACCAGAGTACAAAACAACATCGTTCTGGGGGGGGGGGGGCTGGGTGGGGGGCATGATAGGCACACCCGCTCAACTGCTGCAGACCAGCCTGCTCTTTTACCGGATTACAAAATAACATGGTTCTGGGCGGGGGGCTGGGTGGGATGATAAGCATATCCGCTCAACTCTTCTACCGGAGTACAAAATAACATGGCTTTGGGTGGGGGGGGGTTGGGTGGGGGGATGATACCGCATCACATGTGGTCTTGTTTGGTTTCATTGGGGGTCGTGCTTAACAGGATCGCAACCATCTAACCAAAACAGGACCCACAAACGACCTCTGAAAAATGGAAGGGTCCGCCACTGACATGTCAACACGCATGCACACAACCACATACATGGACTCGCCAGCATACATAGTAACATATGTCATGAAACATACACGTCACATATGTCATGCGATATACACGCCAACAAGCACAAACAAGCGCATTCCTGCTCGCGCATGCGCGTATATAAACATACATCGCCAGGCAAACATATCAACACGCATGCATGCGCGATAAGCCTTCTGAAAAAAGCGATCCCGGAGCGATCCATTTGCGCGATCCCTAAGCGAACCATTCGCGCGACGCCTAAGCGACCCACTGCCCTTCATGACTCCGCCTCACCTGGGAATATGCCGAACAGTCTTGATGCCAATGGTGGGAGCAGCTCCGGTGCGTTTGCCACACAGGTTTCCCAATTTTCTGAGACGGGAAGTCGCGATATGTTCGAAGGCGCAGAAGACCTATGTCGCCTTTGTCTCAAGCCTCTCGCCTCTCGCTTTGGGGACCTTGGCTACAAAAACTGACTTGATGCCTGGGCTTGTCAAAGCTGGTCTTCAAATCCGATGCGAAATATGCGGCTGACTGGACTCGTCTCATTGATGGCCGCAACAAGGCCAGGCCAGCAACACAAAGGTCGTAAATGCGAAACCATGCGTCCCCTGCAGGCTCACATAGAAACCCCAAACACATGCAAACTAAGACGATAAACGTCCTTTATCCTGTTAACCCCCTTTTCCAGGAATACTTTGCAGTGGAGTAACATATGTCGCTCAATTCGATCGCCCGCCAGGCGCGCCGAGGTGCTGCACCTGATGCTGGAGGCGGGCTTCCTGTGCGGACAGCTGGTCCAGGAAGGCTTCAATGTCGAGAAGTGACCGCTCCTCCGCCGGTCTGTTCGAAGCTTCCCCGAACTAAGATGGGAACAAAAGGGCACCCTTTTTTGGTTGGTTGAATTTAAAGGAGAACCCTTACCCCCAAAAATGAAAAAAAGGCACCACCGGGCAACAGAGTGGAAGTGGAGGCCCTTTCCAGGAAGAGTCTGTCTGTGCCTTTCCATGAAGGGAAGCTCATATCTTTGTCATTCCGACAGTCCCGAAAGGGGAGTTGTCAAAGTATGGCCCATGGACGTGTGCGCCCCGTGCTTTAACGGGTGCTTGACTTTCACAGCCCTGAGTCTCCGGTACGTTGCCACGGATGGGGAGTCAGTTGCGCAAGCATCACCCAAAGGACACTAGACACTTGACTGCTGCCTGTTGCTGCAATCTATCCAACAACAAGTCAAGCACAAGCCGTCTGATGCTTTTGGTCATAAAGCTGGTGACATGTGGGTGTTCCATTTTCGTGAATGTACCTTTTTCGGCGGTACCTCATGCAGAGACGCAGTCATGTATGAGTGTGGAGACAAAGGACAAGCAAAGAAGAACAAGCACAGTTGTATGAATGTGTGTGTGTGTGTGTGCGTGTGTGTCCTTTTATTGGGGTCATACCCTCTTCGATAAAGTCCGGGGGGCTGGGATTTAAAAACAAACCTAAATTGTTGGATCCAAAGTCCACGTCTTCGCCAAACCTGAAGAGCAGTTTTAACTACAAACTTGTATGTCGGCTCTGGAATCTCGACTCAATAATTACAGCCATGGTCGGGGGGAAGCGGATTCCGGGCAAAATGCAAAACATTGGACCCAGAAAAGGGCCTTCAGTTTTACCCCGATCGAGGAGCTCAAACGCCGACTTGCCTCCATATGTTACGATAACAATATACATATATTTAATCTTCCGAGGCTACGTAATTTCTGCCGTTTGGCCAAATTGCCTAATTAGCACCGTTTCAACAAATTTCAGCCGTTGCAATCACAACTTGCCGTTTGGCAAATGCTCGGAAGTTTCCTTCATTGACTTTTTCTTTTTAATCATTGCCTCAGGTTTGGATCGTGAAGGGTGTTGCAACTGAAGATCGAAGATTGTAACATCACTACAAAAGCTTTGGATACCAGGTAAACTCCTGCTACTGCTGCGTCTCCTTGAACAAAGACAATCGTTGAAGCACACACGCTGGATTTGGGTCTAAGCGTGCTGCCATTCGCGTCGGCCAACGGTGACGTTCAAAAGCTCCGACGGGTCTGGAACCAACATTTTCGCAAGAATTTCAGGCAAGCGCAAATTTGCAGCACAGACAATTTTGTTGCACGTTGGCGTCTCGAGAAGCGCTCACCCAAGAGGATCTTTGAGCTCCGTAGTTTAGGCCCCTCATGCTTTTTGTTACGAGCCGCAATCACCCCTCGCATCCTCTCAGCACACCACAAACACAAATCACATCAGAGCGTACTAGCGTCAGACAGTGCCAACACCAGCCAGGATAAGCTCAATTTTAAAGGAGTTTAATTTGTTGTGTCTGCTTACTCATATTTTTGAAACAAATGGCTGTAGCCGACGCAATCACAGCAGCTGCAAGCGGCAGCGACACTCACTTTCGAGGACCGCCGTTTCGTTTTTGCAAATTTGCACATCGCAGTTTTCGCTCCTCCAAAAGCTGCGATTGCAAGCCCTGTTGCTATTCAACAATTGACGCTTCGCAGGTGTGTGCAGCAGTAGGCAAGGCCAATCCAGCAGCTATCTGGCGGCAACTGCTGACGGAGCAACTTACATTGCATTGCATTTTTTGGTGTTGGTTTGGTTCCCTCATGTTTTTCCTTTCACGCGCTTCCAACTTTCTTGGCTTGGATGCAAGCCAGCCTCAAGTGAATTGGCCTTCTGTCCTTGCATGCCTTTAACCACTATGGAAGAATTCCCCTTGTGAAGCTACAAAACTTTCTAAGCAAAACAGCGACCCTGCGACCTTCACTGCGCAAAAGCAGTCAATTGATTTAGTTATGCGCGTGCAAAAAGGCGCTGGATGCTGTCTGCTGAACCTCCCATGCTCAAAAGGCCTGATAAGGGGAAAGCAGCACTGCAAGGCGGCATTCGTATGCTGCGAAGAAAAGTGCAGCATGTTCGACCTGCACATTGTAACCAAGATACTAGCACGAAGAACAAGCCCCACTTTAACCCAGAATATGCACCCTGATGCTGAAAAGAGGAACAAGTGCACTTTGCATCAAAATACGCTGCTTCATGTCAGCGTATTTAATTAATAATAATTAAACCTGGTTGTGCCCGAAACTGCTGCAAATTATGCACCTTTTGGAAGATGGAACATATACATGTATTAGGTTTGTCAGAAGATTGGGAGGCCACAACATGGCTGTTTGTCCTTTAGGTTCCCTCCAAAACCGCCCCAAAACGAACATGGTTCCGCTCCCGCCTGCTGCTGCCGCAGGGTCAGCAACGACTTCTTCAAGGCGTCCGGGCCCGGGTCTCCCGGGTCTTTGGGCGGGCGCGGCATGGCGTCCACGGAAGTCCGTTTCGGGGCTGGTCCCGGAAGGCGGACGCGACTAAAGAAACGGGAGAAACAAAAAAGCCGTCCCCAGAAGTTGTAGTGACAAAAACCCTCTCTTGTCCCAAGCTGTTTGGTTGTACCTCTTGATATAGACATGGTGAAACACCTGCTTTCATGCTCGATGTCCAGCTTCATGCCCTTCAAATGGGACTGCTCCAGAGTCTCTTGACGGTCATGTGCAACGCAGACACGCGCGTCAAGACAAGCTGGAAGAACTGAAACGCACTGAATTGATGCCACCTGAGTTGTTCAACTGGCTAGCCGGAGCCGGCCAGGCGGGCGGACACTGGCTGCATGGCAGCAACAAGTCGGAAAAGCTCGGCGTCAGACTGTTCGGCCTTTGGCGGCACATGCCGAATGACAAGTAGCCCGGAAACACTGAACAGACAGCTCTTAACAAGTGTACCAGCAAGAGACAGAAGCAACAACAGCCGTACGGAGCGACGTCGTGTTCTGACAAGCTGATTGCACTACACAAGCCTGTTGGGCCGCAGCCTTCATAGCAGCATCCGCTTGTTTGACTCATCTGGTAGCTCCTGGTTGGCATTTGGCCGTGCCCGGAATCATAGGTTTCTTTTGGACACTCCCCTTCAGACCTGGGTGATTGCAGTAGCTAGGCACCAGATTGCCAGATCAGAGACGCCCTCAGAACAAAACACATAGCCTTACTCAGAGCGAGTGTTTGGACGTGGGTGAATTGAAAAGCCCTAAACCAACCCATGCCCCGCAAGCACTCTTCGCCAAAAAGCGTGGGAGTTCGGAGGAGATGCGAAATCTCACGCCCCGGACGCAGCCCCGGGCAAATAACATCCTGGACTTGGTTGCTATTTTCATTACTCACTTGCCCACAGGAAAGACCCCAACCCAAAGGATGTCAAAATTGGAATCGAAGCCCCCAACAAGGGCATGGCTTCGTGGTTTGCTGGTTGGTTTCCTGAACGAAGACCAAACAAACGGGCCTTGTTTAAAAATGGCTACCTAAAACACAATCAGCATGCTCCGAAGGATACAAAAAACGAGCCACCCACAACGACTCCGACGGTGGATTTCGCTTCTTGTCTTCGCTTCCCGGCGGGGCGGTGAGCGCGAAAGCCTCGGCGCCGGTGTCCAGCGGATCCAACTGGAACAGGACCTGTGCGATGGCTTCAGGCCCATTTCTGCTAGCCTGGTTTAGGGAAAAAACCAAAGGTCCAAGCATGCCTGATTTACTAATGGACAGATGCGGTTCTGGTTCTGGCTGGCCCCAGTGCTGCTTGGTTTATATGTACCTAGAGTCTCCTTCTGACCCTTTAAAAATGGTTGGCCATTACCCTAAATATTGGGGTCGTGGACCTATCTTTAAAGGGTCATGGAGACTCTAGGCAAAAACAAAAGGTCCAAGCATGCCTAATGGACAACTGCAGTTCTGGTTCTGGCTGGCCCCAGTTCTGCTTGGTTTAGAGCATGAATCCGTTGGTTCAAAATCCCAAACCAACCCATTTCTGCTCGGTTGAGAGTATGAATCCGATTTCCGCTTGGATTAGAGGATGACACCGAGAACAAACCGTTGGCACCTGGGGTGTTTGAGAATGTGCTTGAGCCACTGGACATGATCTTTAACTTTGCTTTCTCTTGTTTTTGAACACAGAGCCTTTCAATGGAGGGCAGGGAGTACAGAGGGGTAAATCATATATGTCCACTAACAGACTGAGATGAAATGATGTGAGGCAACAGTACAAAGTTGACAATACACTCATGGAACCACAACAAACATCATTTGTAGAGGAATCTCCTGGCGGACTTCCGGTTTTGGGCTCCATCTTAATCTGGGGCATGTCCGGGGAAGTGCAGGAAAGGCTTGACTGCAATGCAAGGGCAAGTGCTTGGCATCTTTATACTATTCGTGGCTTTGGCTGGGAGCAGCAAGGGCCAAGAACAAGGCAACCATAAGAGCGATTTGCAATTGAGGGTTTTACGCGGAAAACTATACTCGTTCACCCTTGCTGTGCTTCACTTGTTAAATGAAGTTTGTTTAAATTGATTTTCATTTGCCAACATAGTTTACTGCGACGTAGCAGTAGCAGGGGTTGATTTTTTATGGACCAACACAAAGAACAGGGCAAGGGAAAATAATTGGGAAACGGGGAGAGGACAAGCAAAAAGGCCAAAAGAAAGGAATATCAAAGGCTATAGTACAAAGTCCAGGCACAAGGAACACACTTGCGGAATGTTATGGCACTCAGTGCTGCGCTGGCTCAAGTGTTTTGTTTCTGTAGTTTGATACTCCTTTACTCAAATGGCTTGTTTCCGGATTGATATTGAGTTCCTTCGATCTTCCTCTGAATGAATGTTGTGTACCTACCTGGATTCCCATGACCCTACGGGGTCATGGCCGCCAATTTTTGGCAAACTGGTGGCTTCCTTTCAGGAAATCCCTGGGCTCATTCAACCACATTCCCTACCTATCGCGCCAAAAAAACACCCCCCCTTTTGGGGCCCAGACTGAGCCACGCCCAGGTCGTTTCACGATCGATCCCGCTCGAGTGGCCTCCACCCGCGTGAGCGGCGATAGGTGCGAGGGCTCGGGGTCTGGCCTTGGTTGCTGTAACGACCCCCTGCAAAAAGTTTTCAACTTTTTTGGGGTTTAGTGGAAAACCCAACTTGATGTCCCAAAAAGTTAAAGTCTAAACACCCAAAAGCAGTCAAGTGGCTCCGTAGGCAGCTGGGTCACCACCGAGAGCGGCACTGGGCCCTGGCGGTTCCATGGCGGGCGAGAAACACGCATGCGGGTCGAAGCACCCGAAGCACCCGACCCCTTAAGGAAGACCTGGGGTTTTCGCCTGGACTTCTTGTGGCGCAGGTTTCCATAAACATACATTCGCTCAATTTGGTTGTTTCGCCAGGTTGGTTGTTTGGTCGAAACGAGACTTAGCTGTGTATGTCATGGCTTTATTCAAAATCCCATGGGCCGTTTTCGCAGGATGAGAGTTTCTTGATTGCGTTGCTGGCTAAGGCATGCACAGGGGCTCCAGGTGTGCTCGCAACTGCGGGATGGACCTGGCTGTCGATCAGGCAAAGCTCAGTGAGGAACGCAGGCGGCGGATCGGCGACTGCATCGCGCCCCAAGTTGCTCTCCCAAAAGTCGGCCAGACCCCCCTCTCAAGGAGAGCCCCTCGGCGAGGGCCTCTCCGAAAGCAGGGCTTGGTGGAACTGGGTTTTAAGGAGAGATTTTCGTGCTTCGCAGCCAGCCAAGCCGCTCAGCGCAACTCGCCGAGATTGCTCGCCGAGATCCTGACTTTTGGGAGAGCCCCTCGCGGAGGAACTCCCCGAAAATTATTGAGCCTGCCCGTTGGATTTCTCGCCGAAAACTTTGTGGCCTGCCAGCCAAATTCCTCGCCGAAAGAATTGCTGATCATTGCAGATCCGCCGCCTGCGTTCCTCACTGAGCTTTGCCTGATCGACAGCCAGGTCCATCCCGCAGTTGCGAGCACACCTGGAGCCCCTGTGCATGCCTTAGCCAGCAACGCAATCAAGAAACTCTCATCCTGCGAAAGCGGCCCATGGATTTTGACTGGCCGGCAAAGTAAAGCCATGACATACACAGCTAAGTCTCGTTTCGACCAAACAACCAACCTGGCGAAACAACCAAGTTGAGCGCATAGTTTTTGTCTCCCCGATGGTTTGTCTTATTCATGACTGGATCCCTGGGAGCAAAGGGAAGGGCCTCAAGGTTTTCAGGAAAAAAACAACAACAAAAAAAAAAAACGAGGGCCGCTCATGCGAGCTCTCAGAAAATCCCCAATTTCCTTAAGCGTGTTGGTCCCAGCTGGCTTTTTCTGGATGCTACCAACATGATGTACGGGGTCCCACTGGGGATCAACATGGGTGCAATGGGACCCGAACTGGCGGTTCTGCGCCATTGAAACACCATCCCAAATGGGCGTTCAAGCTCGGGGAAATTGCATGGGTCGTCTGTCGTAAGTCGACATGTAGTCTCCATCATGAAAAGAGAGAGCCAACATAAAAAGCAACACAAGCCAGCTTGACTCAGAAAGAGAATATGTCATGAGCCACTCACGATCTGCTCAGGAGTCATCGGGAATCGGTTGACACGGACACCCATAAACTTACCATCCTTAGGGCTAAGTTAAGCCCGTCTTGACACAGGCACAAACAACACGCACCCACACCCACAGTCGTTCGATACTTGCAGCACGGGACCACAAAGTTGAAACACATTCCGATGTTGTCATCCGAAAGATCACACCAAATGTCCTGCGCCAAATAGCCAACCTTCGCCAACGTTGATCCACGATGTCAAAACATTGAAAGGCGAAATTGAATTTTCATGATCCAACAAGTTGCCAGGGGCCAAGTGCTTTATCAACACATTGCACCCAACACACTTCAACTTGGTTGACGATGGAAGGGGAGCCAAAACTAAAATGTTTGCAGTTAAGCGGGGATTTCCCACTAAACCACAATGAACAAAAATGTAAAATGTTTCTCAATAACAACCATGTCAAGAGCTTATGCACAAGGGCATTCGTGTCACCAATGCTTCACTGGTGGATGAAAATCACGCCAATGTCAAATGTGAGATAATGCCACTATCCACCATTGACTGAGGCTTGTGTCGTTATAAGTCAACTGTAACTCAAGCCTTATAAGCTGATGTGTTGACACTTGATGTTGGCTGCTTTTGTACGTGTCCTTCTATCAAAACGTCCCATGCACTTCACAGTGCTGCGGAACGAGGCCCGTCACTGGGACGCGCTTTTTTGATGCTTGTTGGCCCGTGCTGGCGGCAGACTGACTTTGCTGTGAGCGTTTGCAGCAGAACAGTCTGCGTCACAGCAAAATGTCTTGGCCAAGACAAACATATGGGTCTGGGTGCTAAAGCTCATGAAGAGTGAAAAGAAAGCTGATTCTTGTCGTCAAACCACAATGCTGCCACTTCCTTGAGAACACAAAATGCGCTCGCTCCGGAAACAAATGATAATGATAATAATAACATCTCTGATACCTGAGCAGAGCAGCACTCTTAACTCCTATGTTGGAGGAGCCTCTGCTTTTGAAGCCCCCATCGGACACTGTACCAGCCACAAGCTTGCTGGCCCTTCGAAATTCAGCACTTGCCAGGCGCGCCCCGTCGTTGGTGGTGATGAGATTGAAGACTCCGCTGGTGCCGTTGTAGACCTCCACGTGAAGATGCCAGCCTCGAGCGCAGCGCAGAGCGCTGTTGTTTGCAAAGGCCCCGAAGCGAGTCATGATCAAAACCTGGCAGACGCCCAGAACCATGTAAAGAACTAAGAAGCCGGCCGCAACTATTTGGGATTGTCCCGTACTAACCTTCATCTACCCGGGTTTTGAGCACGTGGCTCAAGTGGTGTTTTCATGTCCGGTGTTCCTCTGGCACCTCCTGTCTGTGTGTGTACGGATCGCTCCACAGGGCACGCGCCAAGCCCGGGTTTTTCGCCCATTGTTCTAGGGGCTGATTCCCGATTCTTTTTAACCATCGTTATTTCTAAAAACCAGCTGTTTTCCCTGGGGTTCTGATGTTCAACTCGGACGGCCGAGCCGCGTTCTTTCAAGAAGTTGGTGCGGTCCATGGGTGTCTCGACCTGCCGAGAATGCTTCGCCACTTCGCCCCGTGGGTTCTTCCCTTCAAAGTCAACACCGGAAAAACGAGTCTCATTTCTTTAAAGAGGGGCATCTCCTCAAAAAGAAACATGAAATCATGAAACCAAACAAGTCAAACAAAAAGGTGCCAGAGAACCCCACGAGCCAAGAAGCGTCAACAAAAACAACCCTGTAAACGGTACGAGGCATTGATGGCATTTTCGGGGCCTTGGGATGCGTGTTGAAAGCCCCAGCCCGCGGGCTGACAAAGCAGCTGAAATAAAAGGAAGGCTTCTGACTCGCTGGGGCATAATTAGTTCGAATGGGGCTGTGGACTGTTAAAACCAAATCAATAACAACTGTGCAATTGCTGAGCCCCATATTTTGCCCTCAGACCTTCCAACATGCAAGTGAGCAGATATGTCAGCCAGAGAGGGTCTCGCTAACTTATGGTAGAACTGCATCGGTGCAAAACTCCACCCACAACGTCTTGCAGGGGAAAAAATGTCTTCTGTGTAGTGAAGACAAACTCAAGAACATGCACAACCCTGTAGGGGGGTTGAGTCAAGTCTGCCAAGGAATGTACTTAGTTGAAGAACAGCGCAAACTGGCAAGAGCGGCCTTTTGGTTGTCCACGTTTGGCAAGCAACCCAATTGGACAGCAGGATTATGCTGCTAATAAGCGAGCAAAGCAAGCGGGTCCCACATGAGCCACGGTCAAAATTACTTGCTTCCCCAAGAGGACATTGTGTGTCCCCTGCACGTTTTCTGCGGGAACATTTCGCACTCGCTGCGAACCCATTCTAGACCCAACCCCTAATTTGACCATAAACACATGAGGACTTGGATAAGTCATAAACCAAACAGGGGTCACTGGAATTCCCCAGCACCTCACTTGCTGAGTGGATGGCCCCAAAAAAGTGCAAAAACTTTATATGTACCACTAAAATGGTCCAAACCCAAAAAACTTGAAGTTCATGAACTCAGGAAGTGAGTCACCAGTTGCTCGACCTACTGCCGCGCGAAACCGGTCAAAGCCGCTGCCTTGAACATGAGCCGCAGCTTCGCTTCCACGGGCGCGGCTTTGGAGAGCTTCAACACCGTCCTCGTTAAATGCCAGACTGGAGTGGACTAGGCGAGGCTGGACTGGGGGACTCTTTGGTTTCCCTTTAAACCTACATATTCAACAAGGAGTCTCCCATTTATTGTAAAAGACAAACTGATTGCTGAAAGATGCACGGATATGCACGGTTTCGTTGAGAACCCTCAAACGGGTGGTTTCGCTTGGTTTTCCTTGAAAACCAGCCAACAAAGGACCCATGGCTGGGTTTGCGCCAAGCCCCTTTTGTAGCTGTGGAAAGGCCATTAATTCTATGTCCAAAAGGTTTTTTTGGGGGCCTTCGTTCAGCGTCCCGCTCCGAGGCTGTTCTGGCGAAGCAGCACCCAGGAAGCACACACATACAGCACAACAAGCAAAAAGGAAGATCCGCAGCAGCGGCAGCGTGCCTTTGCAAAAGCTTGAGCAACAGCCTCAGGAGGTCCTGTAGCCTTGTTTTCAAGCATCTGGGCATTTGTCAACTGCCAGGCCGCTCTGAACGGACGAGAAGTCCACATGGCGCTGGCTACCATCAGCGAGTGTCACGGTTGGCTGCACGAAGGGATGTCTCGTATACAAGCCGCGGCTAAGTGGCAATCACTTCCCTTACCGAGCTGTATTTCGATTGTACACCCCCCTTTAAAACAATACAGGGGTGACCGGATTTCCCCTTCCAATGTTGCAATTGAGTGGTGGTTTCCATTGAAACGATCGCCAATTTTGCAGGTTCCAAAAACGGGCGTGGAGGAACCCCTGTGGACGGAGCCCTCCCGCTGAGGCCCAGGCGTGTCGGCAATGCGTGTAGCCATTGGGTTACCTGAACTGGTGTAGCATCAATGTTAAAGGCTTCTGCACTAAGGAACACACGGAACTATCATTTACACGCCCGACACATCACGGGCTTGTGGCCCAATGACTGGTAGCTTCATGAGCTGCAACCTGCCGCACAAGCAGTTGCGGTTTTCCGTAATTGTTCTGACGTGTCAGCAAGTCGCTCTGAGAGGCTGTGGCAGCTGTGGCAGCCAGGATTGATACAACCTTCGTTTAAGTAGTTGGGGGGTAGCTTCCCATTTTGGAGGACCCCCCCAATACATCCACCCGCTTCATTCCGCATAGACGAGCCGCTGTGGTCGAAGTCTCTGATCATCTTCCGTCGGGTGTCGTCCCACTCACAAGCATGGGGATCGGGCAAATACATCTCCTGCGGGGAAAAACCGAATGACGCTAGCGTCGGCGACATGTTGGATCTACGACCATCTTTTGCCCTGCGTTCACAATGGACCTATTTGTATCCCCATGTTGGTGCGCATGCACATAGGAACATGAATCACCAATAAGCAAACCAACAAACACCTGTGGGTTAGGCAAGTCATGCAATCCTTCGCGAGAAAACAAGGGGAAGCTTGGAGGTAACTGGAAGGGAAACAAAGGCAATGTTTGTGCGCTGCGGGTGCCTCACAAAGGTGCTGACTGATACAATGTTGCTTGCGGAGATGACATGAAACAGGCGCTTTGCCGGTGACATTTCGCTCTCCTGGGCATCTGTCTTTGTTGCGAAACATATTGAAGTCAAAAGCTTGCCAACAAGTAATTCAATGTCAGCACTGAACACTTGAAATACATGGACGACACCTCTCTGCAACTGCCACCCGTGGCCGCCTCGGTTTGCTTATGTATTGAGTTATACATTATGCAACCAGCCACATTTAACGGAGAGATGTGTTGCTGCAGCTATTCTTGTTTCTGCTTGATGTCTTTGTTTTAACACATAAAACAACGTTGTTTTAGCAACGCATGCGGCCATCCGTCCAAGGTCATGTTCTCCAAGGTCTCGTTCTCCGGGTCGAAGAGGTGAGCACTGGGCGAAGGGGCGCTTCGGACCGCACGAAAGGCGATCAAACCGAAGCCCGGGTGCTTGGATTCCCACGTTGAGACAACCCATGCAGTGGCCGTGGTGTTTTTTCTTGGGGGGGGAAGAATTATTTGGGGGGTGGGGTCTGATCCTATATTGAGCCAACCCCAACATCAGGTCACTCTTCTTGGACAACTGGGAATTCAGCTTCGGAGGCTCAGAGTGATTCCCGCCCCCCTGTTACCTGTAAGGGTAATTGGCTCCGCTGGACATCTTCAGTTGGCACCCGACCATCAGGTTAAGTGGCAATGGGTCAAAGCCTTGTACCCCCAGTGAACATCCCAATCCTGACTAAAAATAGACTAAAATGGGTGGTGCACCTAGCCCAACATGGTACCGTTGGTTTTGACCCACAGCCAAGTCTTTTTGCAACCCACAATCAATCAAAGAGCACGTGACGAGTGGCCCCAAAAGGGGAAGCCCCCTCTGATCACTTGGCTTACAATTACAAGCCCCCCTCTTTGCGAGCCCGTGGTAGAGATACTGGCTCCCCAATAACACGCGCCGCTCCAGTGAATGACCGCCACCGCGCTACTGGGAAGAATCTCGCTATTGGCTCAAGCAAGCCAAGCCCTTAGACCATCATGTTGCTCGCTTTCCCTGCAACCTGGCTCAGTTTGTTTCGGCGCAAAACGACGCTTCACATGAGCGAAACCACGCGGATGTCATCCGGCAGCCCGCTGAAACATTCGCCGGAGCGGCAAGTCCTTGCAGTACCACTCCCCCAGCTGCGTCTCCGGCATCTGGGAGGCCGAGAGCCGAGAGCGAGAGATGGGACTGAGGCGAATCGACCCGAAGTGTCCTGACCGTTCAATCGGGTCATGGCCGGTAGATGACCCCATGTTTGAAGGGTCCAGGCATGGTGCATGGAGTTTGTGATTCTTCGCGTGAAGCACGAAATGCACGCAAAGAATATGTTGCCGTGGCATTCTGCTTTGTTCTACCTGGAGGGATTGCTTCGCAGCTTGTTGCTGGATGGTTTGGCCGATTGAGTTCTGGGAGGGTCGAACTGACCAACCTAACATAGCCGCCACTGTGCAGCAAGTAACTACAACCCATCCTGATTATTGGGTCTCTTATTTTTGGCCCCTGGGTGCACAGAAGATCATATAATTTATGTAGGTCGGATGAATGGTTGGGTGCTCCCACCTCGTTCTCCCTTACTCGTTGACCTCGGTTGCCGACTCCGCGTGCATTCGTGATCTCAACCACCTATGTCTCGTTTCCGGGTGTTCCTGCCTCGCTTCCGCCTGGCCTTTCCTGTAGTCTTCTGCAAGTAAAGCCAGTCGCTCATATCAACCTATTAGGATTCCATATTTAGTTTACCCAAAAGCATGACATAGTTTTGGAACAGCACCCAAGAGCTTCCATTCCCGATCTTCCCCAGAGATGCTGTTCAAACACAAATTTGGGTCTTGACTATGGGCATGGGTCAAAATTAAAGCACTAGGGGACCGCAGGTTTTAGTCCTTGTTTCCATTTACCCGGGGCAAGCCATTTTGGGGTTACCCTATTTTGGACCAGCACACTCATATGAGTATTCCTGGCCGCAAATTATCATGGGTAACTTTTCCCATTTAGAAAGTCGCGGATCACCCATGGTCATCCCATGTTTATCGGACTTTTTGATCAACCCTTATATGGTAATGAATTTTAATGAACCCCTTCCAAAACGGTTGGACACAAATCCCAACCTAAATGATGTCTACCAAAGTGTCCCTGAAAAAAAACGTAGCCGCAACCGCCGAAGCCCGCCCCATTCTTTAGGCCAGCACCCCGGTCGGACCCAATGTCCAAAGCTCTGCGGTCTCGCTGAACCTGGGCGGAAAAAAAGCGATGCCAACTTTGGGGAAAACCCTTCGGGGTTATCCCCTTGTTTTGGGGGACCCCTCTTGTGGCTCGTTGCAAAGCGAAAGCACAGGGAATACCACCTTTGTTCTTTTTGGGCGGGAGGTCCGCTACAAAAGACACGCCCTCTTCCCCCGTTGTGAAGGGAAAATGTATTGGAACCTGCTTCGTTCAAAGGGAACACCAAAAGGACACATATCAATTCCTGTTTGAGACGCATCTGTACCAGCAAAATTTGAGTCTTCTTGGAGTTGCCTGGCATTTCAAGGTTCTTCATACCCCTTTTCCCTACCAAGCCTCCAAGTTTCTCTCATTCGGATCGGAAGCACCGCATAGGTAGTAACCAGTAACCAGGGGAAACCAGCATGTAAGCCATTGAGGTAACAACCCCTGGATACCTTTATGGTGGTAACTGGAAGCACTGATGGCACCGGGATTTGATCTATCATGCCTTTAGGCACGGCAAGCGCCTTTACTGCAATTCCTACGATGTACCTGCTCGTCGGATAAGAAGGCAGCACACGCTGATCAGTTGGAGCCTTGCCCGTCGCCTGCGAAGATAACGCCGGCGTTGCTCCCCTTGCAGACCGGTTCAGATGGCGGTGCAGCAGCACCCCAATCTCTACAATGTTCTTGCCTTTGGCTGTGTATAGCCCTCACTGCAACCCAAGCGAAACCACGGAGACAACACAAACACCACCAACACGCAGTCGTGAGAAGGTGGAACCCTGAATGCCGACCATGGATAAATTAACGCCGGGAAGATGATTATATATGTGGTTCCGTCAAGACTGAATCCCCTTGACACGAAACCCGCTAACCAACCGGCGCCGGTTCTGCCACCTGCGGCCAAGCGGCAACTTGAAGCCGCTGGGGCCAGCGCCTGGCGCGAGGGCGCGGACGGGAGGGGAGCCACCTTCTTAGACCCCTTGGTCAGGGGAATTGGTGGTTTCCCCCCTGAGAAGGGAACTACCAGTGGGTTGAAAGGAAATTAGGGAAGCTTCTCTCATTTGAAGGCTGTGATTGAAGCAGCATACCATCAATCTTTGGTCTGACTCGCCCCCTCGCAATATATACCACACCGTGCACCTCACAACAAAAGCAACAAAGCTGGCTCTTCCAAAGGTAGCAGTAGCCCCAAGAGGTGTACATCTTGTGGCACGTCTTGTCGCACTGGACAACCAAAACGGTCGTTGAGGACTGCCTGGCGTGGTTTCTTTGAAGCAATTACTTGCGTGTTTTTTGTTTTTCCCGCTCCAGGGCAGACACACTCTTGACAAAGAATAATCATGATATTTCCCCAAAAACAAACTATGTCTCAACGCATGACATTGGCAAACATATCGCCCAATCTGTAGGCAATCAAGTACGGCCACATTTATTGCGCTATCGAACACCTCATGCGAACAGCTGATGTGCAGCTGGCGCCTTAGTTTCCCAATGCGGAGCAAGGAAGCACGTTGCAACATACATCTGTATACCCCGCAAGAATTGGCAAAAAGCAAGGCCACCATCGTAGAATGACCAACACGCACAGAAACACAAACCCACGCAACAAACTGACAACACCACGCACAACAATCGACAACAAAACAAACAAACAAACAAACAAACAAACAAGCAAACAAGCAAAACAAACAAACAAACAAAAAAACCAACCAAACAAACAAACCAACCAACAAACAAACATACAAACAAACAAAACAACCAACAAAACAAATCAAACAAACAAACAAAACAATCAAACAAACAAACAAACAAACACACGCACGCACGCACGCACGCACGCACACACGCACCCACCCACGCACGCCCGCCCGCCCGCCCGCCCGCGCGCGCGCGCGCGCACACGCACGCACGCGCACACGCGCACGCACCCACCCACCCACGCACGCACGCACGCACGCACGCACGCACGCTCCCACACACACACACACACAAACAATTACGCTCATGCGCACGACACACACACACACAACACAACAAACAACGCATAGCACAAAACACGTACACAAACAACACAGGCACTCAGGAAACACACGACTAGCAGAACAGCAGCGACACAAACAAAGCACACAACACGACAAACCACACTATCTACACACACACACCCCACACCCACCCACCCACCCACCCAAACACACACACGCACACACTCACACACACACACACACACACGCACACACACACACACACACACACGCACACACACGCACACACACACACAAACACACACACCCACGCACACACACACACACACCACACACACACACACCATACACACACACACACCCACCCACCCACCCACCCACCCACCCAAACACACACACACACACACACACACACACACACACACACACACACACACACACACACACACACACACACACACACACACACACACACACACACACACACACACACACAGACACACACACACACACACACACACACACACACACACACACACACACACACACACACACACACACACACACACACACACACACACACACACACACACACACACACACACACACACACACACACACACACACACACACACACACACACACTCACAACACACAACAAACAGTGCACAACGCACACAAGACACCACACAACACACAACACAACTGCAAATATAATGCGAACACACCCGCACGGGAGCGCACGCCCACAACGCGGAGGGAAAGAAAGCGGCCAGGCGTCGAGGCAACCTCCGGAGCTCGGGTCCCGCCTTTGGCCTGGATCACCAGATCGCTGCCCACTTGCAGAGGCGCAGAGGAGGTCAGGTCGAAGGACAAATCCTGGGCCGCTCGGGTCGAAGATCTGAGTCACAGCTTCTAACTTGGGAAGGCGGCAAAACGCCGCGCAAGTGCCTGGAGTCTCCATGACCCTTAAAAAATGGTTGGTCATTACCAAAATCATGGGTCGTGGACCCATTCTTAAAGGGTCATGGAGGCTCCAGGTGTGCGTATGGTTTGAATACATGAGTGAGACAAACCGGGGCCCTGGGCCGACTCGCGGCCCAGGATGGCCGCATTCTCACGGCCGGTTTGCCCGAAGGCGTTGCTGACCTGGCAACTCGTCAGCGACCAAACAGCTGGAAGGGAGCCTCCGGGGTTTGAAGAATATCTGGGGGAGTCCCATCTCGAAAAGAAGGGCTTCAAATCCCCAACCAAAGCCCGTACATCAACTTGGGTGAGGTTCATTGGTGGATTGATCTCCCTGGCAATTGATGGCCTTTTGGTGTATACCGAGCCAGAATTTGTGGTTGATTAACCAACAAACGAGGGGTTCAAATCAGGGCTTCGTATGTGGATGTATGCATGAAGACTTGGAGAGAGTGAATTTATGAAAGGGGCTGCAGATATGAGAACAGCTTTGAGGCCCTCCATGCTCCTCTGGATAATTACCAAGTGTGTTCTTGCTGTACTCCTGCACTCTTGGAATACCTGCGCGTGAAGCTGCGTCGCCTTCTGGAGCTCACCTTTCCAATGCCCATAGAATTCCAACGCCTGAGCCAACGCCTCAGTCCTGGCAAGAGAACCCCGAGACTTTGATCGGCCTTCTTCAGTGGGCTCCTTTGTCCCTCAGCTTTTGTTTTGCACCAATGGCAGAAATCCATGGAAACTCATCCAGAAACATCGCGCATGTGCACAAAGTCCACTCAAGCTGCAGTGATCCACTCAAGCTGCTCCAGTGCGCCAAAAAGCTAAGCCAAAAAAACCAGAGCTGCGCAACAAACAGCCACGGGTGGTTTCAAAATAGCAATCTCTGTTTAGCCTCCAGGCTTGGCGATGGCTGCCTTGAATAAAGCCTTGGAGAAGAGATTGGTGAGCAATCAGTTGAAGTTGACTCAATCAGTGAAGTCCGCCAACTCACTCCCGGGACCCCCTATGATTGAAATGTCCAAAAAATTGGAAATTGCCTTGCAATAGTTCCAAGAAGGAAGAGGACATCACCATTTGGGAAGGTTCACTTTTTGAAACACCCAACTAAGAGTCGTGTCAATCTCTCAGACGCGCCACTGCTGGTGCAATAAGGGGTCTCCAAAGAGACTGTAGTTTGTACACCGCCGCAAGAAGCTGCACATGCCAAGTCTGACTTGCTAAGTATTCCAGGCCTCCCAGTTTTAGTATTGACATCGGTGGCATTGCCGCTTACACGCAACCCCCTGATAGTCCGGGCAACACAGGCGCCTACCGCCAGAGGCCAATAGGCCAGCACGCTGGCAAAGGCGTACGTCAGTTGTTGTTAATGCATTTAAGCTCGAGGCTTGACCAGGTGTCTTTGGCCCAATCTCAGTACTACACGACATAAACTAAAATGCCCAGATTCTGTTTCTGACTTAGACCCCCGAAAGATAACATAGTTTTGGAGCAGATCCCAGAGTCGCTCTGTCCGGACCCACGCCTGCACACGGCCAGGAACCAGAAAGCCCTGCCAGGTTCATTCCGGTCGCAGATTTATTTGGGATCCAAGTGGGTGCATTGTAATACCCCAAGGATCCCAAGTGGACGCATCAAAAAAACACACACGTAACTATGACTTTCGCATCAAAGATTCGTAACTATGTAATTTCTGGTTGGCAAAGCTGAGGTGGCTTTGTGTTGCCCTCCCTTACCTTGTGAGGAGATACTGCGAACCCCATCTTGGCACAACCTCAGAAGGCACCAAGCGCTCGTACAAGTTGAGATCAACGGCAACAGCTGACGGTGATGAACAGATGGAGCGCTGGAAATTACCACAGCCCGTGCAAAGTTCGGCTTGCGGATGCCCGGATTGCTTGTGCATCACGGAATGCCATGCCACTCACATTTGACAACAGGTGGCACATTCTGGATCATTCACTCCTGTGCAATGGCGTATCGAGAAAAACCAGCTCGCAAGTTGCGAGCATCTGCCAAGGCACTGCAGCTTTCAGGCTGGCAAGCTATGAGGCCGTTGCGCAAGCTCCAAAAGGAACACTACGGTACGTTTGCCATTTCTGCAAATACGTGATCATGCATACGCCTTTCAGTTGGCCTGCGTTCACGTGTCTGTGTATATATATATATACATATGTATACACTGCATACAAACACAACACATATACTGTCATTATACTGTATATGTATATGTACATACTTGTATATATATATATACACGTATATGGTGTATATGTATGCTCCGCATAAATCAAGGAGGTGTCCCAACAAGCTGCGGATCACGTGTATACTCGCTCTGGATAGCGGGCAATCCAAAAGACTGTTGAACAGCATTGTAGAGGAATAACCAGTCGGAAGAGTGACTTCTTCACCACCAGGTCGCAATCGTCCCCCAAATACTTGCTGGGGGAGGGGTAATGAAATTCCAGGGGTCAGCCCCTCCCAATTCAAAGACTTTAGCTGTGCCTCGATGTAGGCTTCATCGCGGATGTAGGGAGTGCCCTCCCTTGGTGCGCGCGCGGGCGACAAAGAAGACAGAGTCCGTGCATCGAAAGCCGAGCAATGAAGCAAATCCAGAATCTATATTGCTTAACTTCTCATGGCTAACGGTTCATGCCCATCATGTGGATGCAATGCATGCCGTGTGAGGTTCAACAAAAACACATTGGATTGAGTTAAAAGGTGTCCACTTTGAAAGTGTAAGCACCAATCCAATCTGAACCAATACGTGGTGTCACCCCGGGCCCAACTAAACCATCTGATCAAAGCCATCTTTTCAAGCTATCTTCACTCAGAATAGGGACCGTCTGAGGGTGTAGCTCCCAAAGGATTCGCGTTGGACGAGTGCGCATGCCAGCGATCTGTGGCCCTGGCTTGTCATCCGGCAGTTCCCAGGTGGACAAATGCCATCGCGACTCTCCTGGCACCTTGGGCGTGCCGAATCGCCGAACGCCCGAACCGATCGCTTGCGAAGCCTGGCAGGAAGTGCGGCAGCAAGCGCGAATACACTGGCTTGGGGACAAACATAGCCATGGGTCAAAATCCCGTACCCCCAGTCATAGACTAAAATGGGTGGTGCTATTATATACCCCAAAATAGTACCATTGGTTTTGACCCCCAGCCACATGTGTTCAACCAACACTAAGACTGAGACAAGGTGGAGAGCCAGTGTCAGGGTCAGCGGCCCGCCATGTGAGCAACGACGCATGTGTCCCCCCCCCCCCCCAAATAAATAAGCTCAGGTGATATCCCCAATAGCATGCGGTGCTCTTTTTAGTGTTCGCACCACCCCGCAGCCCTCAGAACCTTGTGGAACCCTCGTGGAACCCTGGTAGAACCCTGGTGGAACCCTGGTGGAATCCTGGTGGAATTTTACCTGAGGGCCGCCCCAGACCACCCCGGAGCGTATCTGGGCTGAGACCCCAAAGCTTTCAGCTGTTGGGGAAAAAGGAAGACAGTAGTGTAGCCTCAGAGAAATGGCAAGGGAAGAGAAGGCTCCCTTTGGCCACTGGCAGCCACGTCAGCCAAATCAGGCTGAATATGTATATTATACAAATGTGTATACATATATATATATATATATGTATTCATATGTGGTCCACATATGTACTATACATATATGTATATATATATATATATGCAATATGTGGTTGCAACAACAAGCACGTTAAATTCATGAGTCCACCAATTCTGAAATGGACCCTGGGTTGCATATTCTGAGACCTCAAGACCAAGGCGCATCGGAGATGAGAACATCCGAGATGACCAGGTGAATCTCGTCGAATGCTAGGCCGCGGAAGTCTCCGGTGAGCTGTTGAATGCCGTGGCTTTTGGCCTAATGTTGACCCGTCCCATTATTCGGGGGGTGCTCCCTCCAAAAGTAATGAATCCCCAGTAAAAGGGGACACCCCCTATTAATCAACCAGGGGTTTATTAATCCGGAGTTAACATTACCTGGAGTCTCCACAACCCATGATGGTTGGTCATGGCCCCATTCTTAAAAAAAATCATGAAGACTCCAGGGAAATGAAAACTACACACATTAGCGCACCTTGAAATAGATCCCACATGTGCTGAAAGCTCACCCCATGTTGCCCCAGTTGCTTGCTTCAACCGCAACACCCAAGCACCTTTGTCTGTTTTACGGTTCTTGCTTTGCGCTCCAGTGTTTCTTCGGCGCGTCTCCTCCAAAATGCCAGCCGCTTAGTGGGCGAAGGAACGACGCAGTTTGAATCATTATGCCTGCACGAGCATTGAAGCTGTCATTGCAGCTAAGCTGTCCCCAAATGGTTCCATGTCTGTTTGGGGAAACAAGCAGTTTTGGCCTTGCGAATCCTTTGGACAGGCTGCATGCAGCGCATTGGCGCAGATTCAACCCGAATAGTCCCCGACCATCGTCAAGCGAAGACGTGTGTTGTGGTACAGCTGGCAGATGAAGCCTTCGCCCTGCAACATCCCTCAAGACTTCCTTGCTACGGGTGTGTCTCAAAAGCGTCAAACTAAGGGACCTCCAACATGATTCGACCGGGCGGGTTACCTTTGACTTCCGTTTTTTCAACCCACCAATAGGCTACCCAAAATCTGTGTTTGACATTCTCGCGAACTTCTAGCGGAAGCCAGCAAAAATCCCCCCCTTACGAGGGGGAGGGGGGTGGGGGAAAAGTCCCGCAAGTCCATTTTTCATGGGTCTTCGCCAGACGACAAAATGGACAAAATCGTCCGAAAAAATGTTTGACGTTGGCACGAAAAACCAAAGGGAAGCCAACCACCCACCCCCCAAAATCCCCTGGTGGGTGGGGGGGGTGGCTGGGGGGGTGGGTGGGGGGGGGGTGGGTGGGGGTGTCCCAAATTTCCCTTTTTAAGGGACCCGGTAAAGGTCCAACAAAAAATATCAACGAAAAAGCGAACCGGCGCGGCGCTTTGAGCACCCGGCCGTCGGCTAAGATCACCAAGCGGAAGGCATCCCAGGTGGCATCCAGGATCTGGATCAGACGTCCCGCAGTTGTTTTGGGAAGATGACTGATTTTCTAGGGCTCACGCAGACTTCTGAGCTTGTTTCTTTTGTGAGGCGACACAACTGCATTTTGTTTTTGGTTGACACATACCAACCACGTCTGGGTCTCCGATCAAAAACCATGCAACATGAGAACATCGCCCTTTTAGACCTCAGCACTTGAGAAGTTGTGATCCCCACTTCGAACTGGTGCCAGTGCTAAGCCCCGCATCCCGGTAGCTTTGTGCGCTTGCAGGCCAAATATCCGGCGGAAGCAAAGGCCTCTCTAGTGGCGCAGTGATCACTGCCTTCCGTTGATCATTTGAGAGCGGACTAGAACAAAAAGAGCCAAATAAAAGAGGACTGCCACTGGACAACGGCATCTGCCTCTCTCTCTCTCTCTCTCTTTCTCTCTCTCTCTCTCTCTCTCTTTGTTTCGTTCTTTCTGTCCAATTTTCTCTCTTTCTTTCGCAAGCCTTCCCTCACCTCAAATTGCAACAATGGTTCCCGAATCTGAAATAAGAAGTCCACAAAGAAGACCCCTTCATCATGAGCCCGTTCTACCCCCGAATCGGTGAGCTCGCTACACTGTTGCCAATCTAATTTGTTGCCCACATCTGCGGTAGACAAAAAGTCACATCAGGTTCTGCATATTTAGTCCAGTTACCTGGAATTTCCAAGGGTCAAACATGAGGTCACAACTCCTTATCTTGGTAGATGACCTGATGTTTTTTGAGGACATGGAGACTTCAGGTACTCTGATGTCGTATTGTTTCTATATATATATATATAAATGTAAATATGTTTAAAACAAAAACAAAAAACGCCTGGAGGACAAAGACCTTCCCCGGGCTTTCTCCGGGCCGCTCAGCCGCTCAGCGCTCGACGGCCCGCTCCCGCCTGCGGAATGCTCCGCCGGCCGCTGATGTTGGCCACCGCGTAGGCATCCTGGAACTCAAAGCCGATGGGGTCCTGGCCATGGCCGGCTCACATGTGCGTGGCATTGACCTATGTATGCATGTCTCTTCCCTCAGTTATTCATATGTTCAATAAATCTAGCAGTTTCTGTGCATACAAGTATTTGTTTTGTCTATTTGTATAGTCATCATGCACATACGCAAACAACAAACAATCACATCTATATCTATTGCTTGTCCAACTAAGTTGCCAGTGCATATTGAGTAATGTCCTCGCCCAAACAGTGCTACCTGGCCCCGGCGTCTAACGGCCAAACATCCAAGTTGTGTGGAGTCTCCATGACCCTTAAAAATGTGTCAATGACGCCATTATTTTGGGGAATGACCCCGAATTCGGGCAGCCGACTCCAACTTGTTGGGAAAACTTACATTTTTTTGTGACCAGATTTCCCTGACGGCTTTCGGCAAAGACAGGGACGGCCTTGTCTGTCAATTTGATTTGAGTTGGGAACCAATGGACCAAAACAACATTGCAAGACATGGTTGGCATGACCAGCGCGGGAGTAAGTTAAAGGCTCTTTTGTGCAAGTTGAGATCATGCCCAAGGCACATTTCGCTGGCTAAGGTGCCCTGCTGGAACTCGCTTAAAGCTAATTACAGGCCTCACTACGCACCGTGGCGAAAAGACGCCTGAGCTCTCCCTTGCCATCTCAGAGCCATCGGAGGAGGGAATGATAAACCCATCACAATGAAACCGCCTGGAATGCACTTGGACATATTCACCCCGGATCGTAGAAGCCGTCCGAATGGGGTATGGTCCCCTCCAAATTCCAAGCTGGCACACCATCCCTCAAGATCCGGGGGTTCTGCAACAAAGGTTGAAAACTGCAACAGCTCCAGCAAGGCTGAAATCTGAAAGGTTGACACAACTCCGCCAATCAAAGAAGGTATCCACTCCAAGACCAGTGCTTCCTGGGGTTACCCTCAGCCACAGCCGCAGCCCCTCTCCAGAGCATCGATCTGCAACTCCGAGGCACCCTGGACCAGCGTGAAATCTGGGCGGCGATTCGACGCCCGACCGAAAAACGACACCCGATTCGACACCGAAAGCCGAGATCTGGGAGTTGGAGTCTCCATGACCCTTTAATATTGGTCAATGACCTCATTATTTTTAAGGGTCATGGAGACTCCAGGTAGTAGGAAACCGTTGAAAACTCTGAAGCACGGATCGTATCCTCCCCAGCAGCTTCTCCTCCAAAAGTCGGCCCTTGCTTCAAAATCTCTTGGCCGCTGCAAAGCCCAGCTGGAACCAGCGATGGCAGGCAAAGGCGGAAACCAGGTGTTGAAACAACCTCCTTTCGGTTTCCCAGAATCCGGGATCAGGTGTTGGTTGGTTGGGCATATGGGTGGCTCATGGTGGCTCGTCTTGCTTTGAGGGTACCCCTTTTTTTTGTGGGGTTCAAGGGAAACCAAAAGGAACACCAGCATTTTGTGGGGTCCCCTAAACGACACTCATATGTTGCCCAGCGCTGGAGCCCACCAAACACACCTCCACAAGCTGTCACTCTGAGGTGATCGCCGAAGTAGATGGTGGTCCTTGACCCAGCTCCTCGCAGGGTGCCTGGCGACTTGTGCACTTGAGGTGTGTCCGATTGGAACAGGCTCTCTTTGCAAAGGAAACTTTGCGCGCACACCTGGGATCAAACATGATCCCGCGGCAATTTGATGAACATTGGTTTATCCTTCTCGGGTTGCACGGATTGAACACGTTTAAGTGTGCACAAGCTGTCCTAGACACCTTGTGTGCAACCTGGCTGTATAATATATATCTGGAGGCCCAATTCCGCCAATCTTCGGCAACAATCTCAAGAGCTAAAAGCTGCCTAATGCGATACTCATGTGTTCCATTGCGACAGAATCGCGACGGTCAAAGGCATAGGTGGGCTGGCGTGCTGCCATTTTCATTGCTTCCATCTGGTTGTGCTGGACATCGTCATGTTGGAAAAGTAGATGGCCCTGGTGAATCAAATAACACCCATCTAAACCAGTGCCATCTGTTTCCAACCCGACAGATTAACCTAAAAAGGACACCTATGCTGCTAGATCGTTGTCATGTGGTTCCTTCTTATCGGTTTGCAGTAAGTTGCTTCTGGAACTCAAGGGACGACTACCTTGACACAACGATCATGGCACATCTCTGGAGATGTCCTGAGTCACTCACCAAAGGTCTTCGCAAGGCCTAAATGAGTCCAAAGACCCAGCGCAAGGGTAGAAACTCTGTCGCTGACGCAAACCGACGGGAAACCGAACCAATTGTCCACCCTGTTGTGCTCGTCCTGACAAAATCCACGCATTACCTCAAGTCTTTTGAGCGCAAGCCGAGAACATACTTGCGCCTGGAAGGCACTTTGCCATGCTTATTCAGCGAGTTGTGAGCCGCAAACTCAAAGCATGTGTGGTGCCCAAACGAAGTCTTCGTGCTTTGTAGATTGTACCGTCTTCGAACGATTGTTTTGTATGTACAAAGAAATGAGAACTGCTTGCCACCAGGATTCCTGGCAAGAATCATCTTAACAAAGCCCAAAGCCAAGGTTTGTTGAGACTAAACAACAGGATTGACCAAACTGTGTTTAAACAAACAGACCCTGGTCCCTTTTGCAGGAAACCAACACGATGCTATGAAAACAAAATAGGTTGAAATTCTTCAAACCGCCCCCACCCCAGCCTATGATACCAGAGGCCACGTTGAAAATCACAGGGATGACCTCAGCAACTGATGCACGCGCATGCAGCATGCTGCACTTGATTCCCCTCCTCCTTGTCACCCCGAACTAAGATGCTAGGTGCCCTAGGTTGCATCAACCGCCCGAAAGTCGCATCACTGCATGGCCGCGCAGTTTCCAGCAAAGTCGCATCAGCCACAACAAGTCACATCAAATATTGCTAGAAACACTTCCCAAAGGGTTCTCAGGGTCCTAAATCGAGCTCCGAAAAACATGGCTTAGTTGGAAAGGTGGTATATTCCTCTGGTTTCCCTGGTAATCCACCCCGAAAAAACGTCCATCAAAAAACTCGCAAATCCACACTGCCAACCGCCTTTTTCGCCGTCACAGGCTGTCCTGTTCGCTTGGCGCGAAAACAAAGCCCAGGGTCTCCATGGTCTGCTGCAAGTTGTCCAAGTCCACGCTGTCAGCCAAGAGGTACCTCTGGTGTTTGGGCGTGTGTGTGTGTGTGTGTGTGTCTGTGTCGGTGCTTGCTTGCTTGCATTCGTATTCGTGCGTGCTTGCGTGCTGCTTGCTTTGTGAACCTGTTCAGCTTGGTTCAAAGGGAAGATGGTCCGCTATTCTGACACATACCCACTTGGGCTCATCTAAAAGATCATACAATTGTGGTTCCCCTGTGGTTTGTTTAGCAACCCCATTTCGCAGCGTGTGTAGTGAGAACCCAGTCAGGATACAAACACTGGTTGATTAATAGGGGGTGTCCCTGTAAGGGATGCTTCACATTTGGTAGAACCCCAATCCGAAGAGTTGAGTCCGGGGTCGACATGTCTCCATCCAAAACCGACTTCAATGCGAGCCACGCATTTCCTAGATACTCCCTGGGTTCATTCCCAAAGCTCTGGGTTCATTCCCAAAGCTCTGGGTTCATTCCCAATGCCCTGGGTGTTCCGAGCACCAGCAACAAATTGCAACGGTTGAAGTCGGTATCTGGGATTCCCCAGCCTGTTCTTTGAGGTTCGGCCGAGGAATCTTCAGAATCCACATGCGTGACCCACACCTTGAAAAGCCGGTCTCCTTCTTTTGTTTAGCTTTGCCGATGGCACAGACTCTAAGGGATCCAGACCACCTCACCCACTCCCTACCCAACCTCCTCAGCGCCAACAACAATTTTGATACCCCAACCACTTTCAGGAACGATCAATGGGGCCAAAACCCGGCCCCCAACCAAGGACCCCCCTCATATTCTTGCCGCAGTGAACCGGCTGACCCACCCATACCCTCAAACTGCAACATAACAAACTCCAAATGGTCCAATCCTCTTCCGTTCTTCCCCCCCCTCCCCCTCCCCCAACCCCCCTCCCCCAACCCCCCTCGCCCCCCAACCACCCCCAACCCCCCCCCACCCCCCACCACCCACTGCCCACCCTCCCCCCGAGGCGCTCTCCGGCGTCAGTGCGGCTGGCCATGACCAGCAGCGCCTCAAAGGTCTCCGCCGCCAGGCGCCCCACCGACTGGAACTCCAGCAGGTAGTCCCGCCGGGTCTGGGCCTGGGAGGAAGCTGGAGGCTGCGGTTTGGGGGGTGGGGGGGGGGTTGGGGTTTGAGGGGGTTGGGGGGGTTGGGGGTTGAGGGGGTTGGGCTGTAACATATGTGAAGCATATATGCTCCAACATGTGGCATCTGGCCGTATGATGGACATGACATTAAGTGCCCCGCTGTACCTTGCCGTTCCTGTGCCTTTACAATTCCAGAGGCCCACAGTACAAAGGCCGCAGACTTAGGCGTCTCCAAATCCATGGCACCGAAGGCCTAAAATTCGATGCCCTCTTGTTCTTAGGTTGATGCGACCGGTCTCATCGGCACAGATGGGTGGCAAAACCAGCGGGGAACTTCATCTGCTACAGCCAATGTTGCGTATTAAAGCACGGGGCACCTTCAACACCAGTTGGTTTGCCATCAGTTGCTTTAAAGAACAAGAAACAACACAAAGAACAAAGCCTGTTGGTCAATCGCCGTAGTTCTGCTTGAACGCACCCTCCCCCCCCCCAAAAAAAAAGAAGAAGAAGAAGAAGAAGAAGAAAAACACAACAACAACCAACAAAAACAACAAAACGAAAAAAAACCGCTGGTTTCCTTGAGTTCCCGTCAAACACAAAAAACACACACCCCCAGGCATCCTCGAAACTTCAGGCTTCAGCTTCGGCGCGGACATGAGGTACGTGAGCACCTTGTTGTCCTGCGGCAAACAGTCCATCGCTTTCACCTGGACAGGCCGCAGGCGGAGGCCACGCCTTAAAGGCGATCCTTAAGTGGCCGTGGTGGTCAAACATAGGGTAACCCCAAAATGGCGCAAGCCCTGGTAAGTGGAAGCATGGACTAAAACCTGTGGTTTTTTGGTGGTTTCATTTTGACCCACAGCCAAGTGGTGGTTCGGATTTGGATTTGAACCAAACAAAAGAAACCAAAGGGGGAACCAATAGGCAATGGGTCATGTCTTTTCCAGACCCCCAACCTCAGGTAACCCTTACTTTGTGGTTTGGATTGGTGGCTTGGGATTTGGAATCCCTGGTTCCAGCGCGAAAGCGAGAGAGAGAGGGAGAGAGAGAGAGAAAAGAAAACACAATGAAAAACACCCCTTAACCTCCAAACCACCAATCCAAACTACCAACCAGAGGGAAGCTGAATCCCGCCTCCCAATGCACAATGTGTACGCCAGGCACCAGTGGGATTGCCGGTTTATTAGGGCTTCATCCAACCCAACTGGTGCGAAATGGATTTGTTCACGCACCGTATTTTTGGTTTTGATCCCATGAATTTACCAAAGTCGCCCAAACAGAAAGGCAAGTCGAAAGGAAACCGCCTGCCCTAGTTTCCGACTTTCACCCGGCTTCCGTTTCATGGGGTGGCGACGGCTTCATGTCCAAAGCCCTGGTCAATGGTGAAACACGTCGTGCTCCTTTGGGTGTTCCAGTCATAAAACAATGGAACCAGGAGGCGCTTAGAACACGATGTGTGCCGACCCCTCGCGCCTGGAACTTCAGCTTCCTCTGCAGGCTGAAGGTGTCTCTTGACAGCGGCAAGGTCACCATGTCCCAGTCCTCAGATGGGAAATGTAGCAACAAAGACCTAGCACACAGCATAAAGGGGATGGTTAAAGAGATTTGATTTGTGACAAGGGTGCCTTTTTTGAGGGCTCACTTCTTTCCGGTTGGTGGTCAAGGAACCCAAAAAGCAAGCCGGCCGTTTGCGTGAGAGACTTTCCGGGCGGGGGGGAGGTCCAAAACCCCCACACGTCATGTTGGTGGGCCGGACAAGCGGGTACTGAGAAAGTCATGCTTTCTAGTTCGGTTTCATAGTTAGACACTCAAAAGTAGAGAGTGGATCCTGAGGTTTGGGTTTCCCAGGCAATACCTCCCAGGTACTGGTGGATTTATCATCCATGCCGGGCACCACTTGGATTCAATGAAGCCCTCTCTGGGCGATAAACCACCAATCGCAACTGCAGGATTTGGTCATTTGGTCCATCCACCACTCTCAAAAGCCCACAGCGCCTTTCACTTCCGATCCACTGGCCAAACAAAGTCCTGGAGCTTCTTTGATTTACCACTGAACTGGTCTTCACAGCCACCCAAGCCACAAAAAGTTCAGGAACTCAAAAAGCGCGGGGCAAAAAAAGGGCAAAGAGGTGGCCTCAGAACTTTTCAAGTCCAGGAACCCCAGGAGTCTTCGGCCCACTTCCGGCCTTGGAGTCGTCCTGGGCGGGCCGCAGCTGCAGAGCCAAGGGCGCAGATGTGACGCGCACCTCGCAGCAGCCCAACTCCTGCGCGCGAGGGCCGGAGGGCCGGAGGCTGCCCATCCCTGGGGCTGGGGAGGGAGGGGAGGGGAAGGGGAGGGAGCCCAAACTTGGCTGACGTTGGAAGGGGGGCAAATATATATATATATATATATTATATATATATATATATTTTGCAGTTAAGTGGGGATTTCCACCACTAAACCACAATGAGACAAAATGTAAAATGTTTCCCAACAACAACCATGCAAAGAAGCCATTATTGAGGCCCTCAATAAGGGCTTGTTTGGCTCCCTCCCCCTCCCTTCCCTCCCCCCCAGGTTCCATGAATCCCATACCTCCAGCGCCGAATGGGGACAGGGCAACCTTGTTGCTTTGGCATTTGATGTTGGTTGGGGGGTCCTGCCAAGAAAAGTTGGTGGACACAGCTGTTTGTGGTCAAGCTAGATTTGAAAAGGAACCGGCTCCTCAACAGCAAGGACAACGCTGGATGCGAAAATATAAAAAAGAGGCCAAATATTAGTGTTGGTATTTGACTTTATCAGGGACACCGTCCAGGAAAAAAAAAAAAACGGGATTGGGCGTCTGGACGGTGATCCAAAAAATAGGTGGGGCTCATGGAAAATGAGAAAGGGGCATACAACACAAAGCTGCCTCAGCTTCCCCACCAACCAAACATTAAACATAATATGATTAGTTCATTCTGGTCGACAATGTGTAGTGAACCCAGTGCAACATACCAGAAAAGAGATCCCTGAAACCACCAAGTACACTCCTGTCACCACTCAAAGACGCAGCGTTCTTAGGGCGCTCTGTGCGATGTTTTCGGGTTGTGGAAGCCTAGCTCGTGTGCCTCAGTCTTCTTCATTGCGATAGTGGCCTTTAGGAGACTGCGCCTTCCATTTTGGAGCTCGATGCAACACTCAATGAGCTGAATTTGGTGTCGAAGCTTGGGTTGTGCAAAAACAAGACGCGACCAATGGACTCAGCCAACAGGGCTCCCAATATATCCCTTTAAGCATCACCCCCGAAAGGAAACTCAACTAAGCTTGGCCATAAAGGTGACGCTTCAAGCCAAAGTGACTGGACCCCTTTTCTGCCTTTATACCTTTTCTTTATGGGTCAAAGGCAGGCAACTGGAGGTCCAGGTGGAACTCGAGTTGGACCGCCCACTTCCTCCGATTCGCACAGCGACCGATTCGCGCAGCGACCACCCGCCGCTTCGCGCTTCGCCTGCCAGCCGCTGAGCTGCGAGCCCGCGTGCAGTCGCCCAGAAGCCACCGCGCGGCCCTCCGGCAGACGCCCGAACTCCATCTCCTGCAGCAGGCGGTAGGCGTCCTCCGCAGCCGCCTCGGCGGCAGCAATTTTTTGAGCCCAAAGGATCCCCTTTTAGGTTTACCCCATGTGCAGGTTTACGAAGGGAACAGACATTAGACTTACAGGATGAGGGGTTGCCTGCAATCTGCTACGTGTTACATCTTCTTTTGGCTTTTGAAAGCAACAAATCTGCCATGAGGGGGTTCTACTACCTGATGTTTGAAGGGAACCACCTGGAGTCTCCTTCTGACCCTTGAAAAATGGTTAATCATTACCCAAAAGAATGAGCTCACGGACCATTTTTAAAGGGTCATGGAGACTCTAGGTATAGGTTTACCCCATGTGCAGGCTCAAAAAGGGAAAGAGACATTATGGCCAACCTGCCATTCAGGTTGACTTACAGGATGAAGGCCCGCCTGCCATTTTGCAGCGTTCCTGATTCGGTACGCGTTGCGTTCTGCATTGACGCGGTCCCCTTGACTCACGCGGGTGTTTCTTTTCTTGCTGGTCGAAGGGTGATTGTGGATTGTTGTTTCAAGTTCCACGTGTTTGGTGATGGTAGATATCATTTCTTGGGCAACTTTCCAGTAGGCTAAAGGGGTCAAAGGCACAAAGCAGCGGCCCCCAAAAAAAGGTCCAGGACAACTGGGCCACACAGTGGCACTCATTACCGAAGTCCCCGGCCTTCAGACTCGCAGGTTCCATCAGCCTCCTACGAATGCGTCGAATGCATAGCATCAATGACCACCGGTAGCTTTCGATTGCCAACCTACTTCAACATCTTTCGCCATGTCAATCATGGCGATTGCCACCATACACCAACAAACACAAGCGAT